TCGATTTCAAGGGCTCGCCAACCTCGTCAGCGAATTTTCTCCGCCTCGCAGACAATTTTCTAGTATACCTCGATGTCCTAGCCTTTCGATTTCGTGTAGTCCTAAGCTTGACGTGCATAACTGTAGCTTTTCGTGGCCATGTTAGAGACGTAATTTTGTTCAGAAATGGAGGCTCATGTTAGCTTCCTGTCGTCGTGTTGTCGTATTGGAGGGGAGAAATTCGCGTCAAGGAGTGGACAGACGAAGTATCGTGTGGCAGATCATACTGAATCCATTTTGGCAGTGTTTCATCTCAATGTGGATGAAACCAAATACACCCTGAACATTTTTGCCACACTTGAAAATTGGCCATGGAATGCACTGTTACTGCCAGGGGCCCAACATTCTCTGGAGCTCTAGAGGTGGATGTACACCGCTCAAAGACTGGGAGCCACACAGTGGGACAAACTGTTTGAAATGCAACCCCAAGCCTGGCAGGAAGTCCAAATGCAGAACACAAACTCAAGACAAACTTGCGGCATGGGAGAAAACGCGGGCGATGAAACGCGGGCCATCGCCCGCAAGCACGAGCACATGCACGCCGCCACCACTGACAGCAGCATCACCAACAAAACCTCGCCCCACCACACCAGTACCTGATCACTGGATAGTTTAGTCTGTTCGGTTTACGAATTCAAAAAAGGCAGACAAAATAAAACTAAAAACACGAGCGTCGCATGGACCGAATCTGATGAGCAGCAGCGCGTCACACCCGCATACCAAGTTTAGTAATAGTAGTAGTATAGTATTTATTCATATTTCTCTAGGGCTTAGTGGGTAAATCTCTGCATCCAGAACAGTTCAGTTCAGATAGGAATGCAACAACACACGCACAATGTCCACTATGTCACAGTGTGGTAGGGAGAGAAGTGTTTGCAGCTTGCTGGTAGACGTTCAGCCGTGCATGCATTGGCAAATGGCTAGAGCAGACGGCCCGCTGCCCTTAATGTAAGGCACACACGCAAGCGTCAGAGCTACAGCAGCCAAACAACATAGTTCATGGATTCATGAAAGACTGCACCATACACTGCGCCAGCTCTGGTAGGGTGCCCTTTTGAGCATCGTCACTGGTCGGTGACGTTTTGCAGGCCTCACCATCAAAGATGCGAGGTGATGCTGCTGATCGACTTGCTGGCATGATAGTCACAATCATAACTAACGAAGGATGGTTGGAAGTCAAAACCAGCTGTAGATGTAGATTCCAGGTATACCAGACAATTACTGACGCCAGCACTTTATCCGATGCCCCATCAGCGTCAACTGTACGCCGATGGTCACAGGACCGTGACAGCCTTTCGATCGGTCTACGGTCGAGAGACGGGGCTGCAAGCCCAAAGCAGCGGGTATATAGTGTTCGTCACCAGCTGAGCAAGAGAGCTTGCTGAGAGATTTAGGTGTGCACTGTTCAGCAACCAGTCCCAATATAGGTTTGTCCATGAAGGCTGGTGATCCTCAGCTATCATACAACAAATTCCTACTCACTGCGCATATGCGCATATGGCTTGTGAAACAGCAGCAGAAACTGCACTGCCTTGACAAACGCACCAGTTACCATGATGGAGCAGATATGCCCAGCCCTGGAAGCCAACACCAAATCTCCAATCGCTAGTACAAGTAGCTCTTCACTAAATCATGCCTAGTGCATGCTTGCAGTGATATTTTCAGCAAGAGCGCTGCAGTTACTACTGAGGAGATATATTGCGTCCTTGAAGTCGAAGGCGCTCATCAAAGATGTCTTGCCATCAATTCTTGGCCTTATGCAGGCACGAGGTGGTCTCCCGTGGCATTGGCCATATTACCCCGAGCTGCACTTGCTCGAGGAGCACGTTGTTTCGCTCATGGAAGTCCTTCGTGTTGGACTGAGTAGGCTTGCTGAGAGAACAGAGCGCTGAATCCATCCACGTCCACAACTACGAATAATTTACAAAAACATTCCGACTGCAGATCAGCGCTTGAAAACGGCGATGCAAATCAGCGACGTTGGGCTTCTCCATTCAAAAGTAGAGCCTTCCTAACGAAGCAATTCTCATGTGACACTACATAGTCTCTCAAGCACTCTAGTTCAGGTCTTCTTCTCTCCACTCCATTATCATTTCGATCTTCACTCGGTCGACGTGATGGTAGTAGCTATGTAAATAATAATGATGGATTCCTCCCGATCCTCGTCGCGGCTAAAATTTGTTCGGTGTTTGTCTAAATTCTCAAACTGACAGGGTTTACAAGAGAAATGTACCTAATTTTGTGCGATTGATGCAAATAAATCGGAATATGTCTGACTTCATAAATCCGTGCGGTAAACCGCATGAAAGGACGCCATGTCGTTAGATGGTGCACATGAAGTCACCGTGAGTAGTAGTAGTAGTAGTAGTAGTAGTAGTAGTAGTAGTAGTAGTAGTAGTAGTAGTAGTAGTAGTAGTAGTAGTAGTAGTAGTAGTAGTAGTAGTAGTAGTAGTAGTAGTAGTAGTAGTAGTAGTAGTAGTAGTAGTAGTAGTAGTAGTAGTAGTAGTAGTAGTAGTAGTAGTAGTAGTAGTAGTAGTAGTAGTAGTAGTAGTAGTAGTAGTAGTAGTAGTAGTAGTAGTAGTAGTAGTAGTAGTAGTAGTAGTAGTAGTAGTAGTAGTAGTAGTAGTAGTAGTAGTAGTAGTAGTAGTAGTAGTAGTAGTAGTAGTAGTAGTAGTAGTAGTAGTAGTAGTAGTAGTAGTAGTAGTAGTAGTAGTAGTAGTAGTAGTAGTAGTAGTAGTAGTAGTAGTAGTAGTAGTAGTAGTAGTAGTAGTAGTAGTAGTAGTAGTAGTAGTAGTAGTAGTAGTAGTAGTAGTAGTAGTAGTAGTAGTAGTAGTAGTAGTAGTAGTAGTAGTAGTAGTAGTAGTAGTAGTAGTAGTAGTAGTAGTAGTAGTAGTAGTAGTAGTAGTAGTAGTAGTAGTAGTAGTAGTAGTAGTAGTAGTAGTAGTAGTAGTAGTAGTAGTAGTAGTAGTAGTAGTAGTAGTAGTAGTAGTAGTAGTAGTAGTAGTAGTAGTAGTAGTAGTAGTAGTAGTAGTAGTAGTAGTAGTAGTAGTAGTAGTAGTAGTAGTAGTAGTAGTAGTAGTAGTAGTAGTAGTAGTAGTAGTAGTAGTAGTAGTAGTAGTAGTAGTAGTAGTAGTAGTAGTAGTAGTAGTAGTAGTAGTAGTAGTAGTAGTAGTAGTAGTAGTAGTAGTAGTAGTAGTAGTAGTAGTAGTAGTAGTAGTAGTAGTAGTAGTAGTAGTAGTAGTAGTAGTAGTAGTAGTAGTAGTAGTAGTAGTAGTAGTAGTAGTAGTAGTAGTAGTAGTAGTAGTAGTAGTAGTAGTAGTAGTAGTAGTAGTAGTAGTAGTAGTAGTAGTAGTAGTAGTAGTAGTAGTAGTAGTAGTAGTAGTAGTAGTAGTAGTAGTAGTAGTAGTAGTAGTAGTAGTAGTAGTAGTAGTAGTAGTAGTAGTAGTAGTAGTAGTAGTAGTAGTAGTAGTAGTAGTAGTAGTAGTAGTAGTAGTAGTAGTAGTAGTAGTAGTAGTAGTAGTAGTAGTAGTAGTAGTAGTAGTAGTAGTAGTAGTAGTAGTAGTAGTAGTAGTAGTAGTAGTAGTAGTAGTAGTAGTAGTAGTAGTAGTAGTAGTAGTAGTAGTAGTAGTAGTAGTAGTAGTAGTAGTAGTAGTAGTAGTAGTAGTAGTAGTAGTAGTAGTAGTAGTAGTAGTAGTAGTAGTAGTAGTAGTAGTAGTAGTAGTAGTAGTAGTAGTAGTAGTAGTAGTAGTAGTAGTAGTAGTAGTAGTAGTAGTAGTAGTAGTAGTAGTAGTAGTAGTAGTAGTAGTAGTAGTAGTAGTAGTAGTAGTAGTAGTAGTAGTAGTAGTAGTAGTAGTAGTAGTAGTAGTAGTAGTAGTAGTAGTAGTAGTAGTAGTAGTAGTAGTAGTAGTAGTAGTAGTAGTAGTAGTAGTAGTATTGTTCTGACTAGTATGTATGTATGTATGTATCTACCTACTTTCTACTGTACCCTACTTGATAGTTTTGAGGGCAGGGAGTATCTTTGGGCCAGTTTATAGTTTTGAGGGCAGGGAGTATCTTTGGGCCTGTTCATCCCTCAATCTTACGACGGTCAATGACAGGATCTGTATGATTGAAACATATGTGTGCAGGACATGATGCCACAACTACTTGGCTTAGTGTTGTAGTAAATAAGGCCGGTCGGAGAAAGTGTGTGATTGGAGATTTGGACAAAATACCATTGTAAGCACTTTTACAGACAAAAAAAGTTAGTGCAAACGGTTTGGCTGTCCAAGTGGTGCATAGCATTTCTTCCACCACAGACCCTTTTCAAATGTATTGACCAACAGTAGCCAGCTGAACAATAGCAGTGGCTTATCTGCTTCGCCAGGATCAGCTGAAGCAACAACATCAGACGGGAACTAAGAACAGATGCTATTTTTAAATGTGTTGAGCTGAATGAAGCTGTAAGTGATACAAGCAGTTCTCTATTCAATACATTGATTGCTATCAAGCAGTTCTCTATTCAATACATTGATTGCTATCAAGCAGTTCTCTATTCAATACATTGATTGCTATCAAGCAGTTCTCTATTCAATACATTGATTGCTATCAAGCAGTTCTCTATTCAATACATTGATTGCTATCAAGCAGGGGGAACGTTTTACTGTACATAATGTGTGATGCTTCTTGCACGTACTGTCTTAAGAGGCAGGGCTTGATGGTGCGTCTGTCCTTGCAAGACATTCAATAGCACTGTACTGTTAAGTTTGTCAAGCCAAGGACTAAGGGAACAAGGACTCACACTGCTCTGCGCGTGCTCTGTACATCACTGTCACAGACGTCGAGTTTTCTGAAAAAAGGTGCTGTCAACAAACATTCCGCTCTTGGCTACAACATTTGCTGTAGCGATGTGGAGTTGCGCACTCTTGTTTATCTATTCTTCGTAAGACACATCCGTGACTTTTTGAAATAATTGAACTCACCCTTGCCTGTAGCTTGCGTAGTCCCCTGTCGATTGATTTTTGGGTTGGCAACACTGTACATAACCTCTACATCCTTCCTATTGCCGTCAGTCTGGAAATCCTAAAGAGCACGAACAAAATATGGTTGGTCAGTACAAAAAGGGGAGAGTGGGTGAGACAAACAGAGAGATGGACAGAGACAGGCACACGAGCACACACATAGAGGGACGAAGACAAAGAGAGAAATTTAGACCTTGAGAGCCACAGTTACCAAGATCGGAAGAGGGAGAAAAAAACTAAATTAAAACATTTAATTTCACTTAGGCCACCTAGAATTTATTCGTTGTTTCGGGTCACTTCAGTCATCCATACCAGGGTCGGTCGGTCGGGTTTTGTTTTGGTTTCTGCCATGCATGCATGTAAATGTTTGACTTTTATGATTGTAGATTGAGTATATCGAATATCCAAGCTTTTGTCCATCAAGCCAATAGATCAAATCTGACCCCGTAGACGATCCAGCGCAGTCATTGTCCCACCAGGACCAGATCTTCGCGTGGCTGGCAACTTGTACCGTGGGATGCAGGAGAGGTACTGCCGAAAAACGGCCCGCCGAAGAGCAGACCGTGGAAGAATGGCCAGGCTAGAATATCACCAATTTTTAAGAACGGTCTAGGTTTTTTTTGCAGATTAGAACGTAAATTGTAATGGACAGTATAATCTACACTTGGACGTATAACTTTGCATACATGTACATGTAGGTTAGGATGATACACATTTATTCTACTTGATGGTAAGTGAAAACATGTGAACTGGAAGGTGTGCATATGCAGCACCCTGCACTGTCCATGTACTGGTATACCATGCACCGTCCATGTACAGGTCGTCCCCCGTTAATACGAGTCCGGTTAGTACATAAACCCCGTTAGTACATAAGAAGTCTCAAGTCCCGGACGAAACGTGGTCACTTCCATACAAATTTTGTCGGTTAGTACATAATTCGTTAGTACATAAACCCCGTTAATACATAACATTTATCAAGTCCCAGAGATTATGTATTAACGAGGGACGACCTGTACTGGTATAAGCATGTACGATCCCAATGTAAACTTTCGTACATAAAATGATCCACACAAGTCATGTACATGCATGACTGTAGATCTACCATGGCGTAAGAACGAGATGGCTGTGATCACGAAAAATAAGAACGGGCTACCAAGTATAGCTATGACATGACTGAAAACAGGGACAACAACTCCAGGGACAAACAAGAGGACTGAAAAGACGAGACTCCAGACTCGCAATTCAATCATGCTCAGACCACACATGGACGCGAGACAACAGACAGTTTGGGGAATTTCATTATACAGGAAAACGATGCATCGTTCTAGAACAACCCAGGCTGAAATGTCAATCCGGGTTGATCTGAACTCTCCCCTTAGGGCAAGGGTTATCACACAGCCCTACCAATCTAAGGTCACCCTTTCAGTAATCGATCCGGTTCCACCCTCATCATGTAAGCACAGACTTTTTTCCTCCCAACAGACTTTCAACAGGGCTGAACATTCACATGTAAGTGCAGCTCAACTTTGCCAGCTCTGGTCGCCGATGAGCTGGAAAGAGTGTAAATCTGGGAGGAAAACGCACATCTCTATCCACTTTCATACTTTGCCTTCCTAAACTGGCTGCACTAATCATAATAATTAAACCGTTTCAAGTCAATGAACTTTATCCTGGTACAGTAGAAATATACGCAATATCGACGGCTCGCATTGACCAGTTTGCTTGTAAATCAGTGTAACATTAGTGAAGTTTCCTACAGGGCATTGACTTACTGTCGACGCTAGAGTGATCTTTGATGTGGCTGCGGCTGACCCTGCAACAAATCATGCACAAACAATTCTGGATGTTCAACTACAGGTATATGACGATGACGAGACCAGTTAATAACATGACAATGCAGTCTAAGTACAATTCGAAGCAGCAAAGCAACACACCACCCCACATGGGTGAGTTGCCAATATCAGAGATAAAGAAAGGGGAAACATTGTGAAAACGAATTAGACAAAACGGGACCCCAACATCTGACGGTACTCAGAGCATGCATGACAATATAGTGAGTATTGTGGACGAGTTGACTACAATAATAAGTAGTTTCACATGATGTACGTTTCGCCGTATTGTTCATGACGGCTCAACTGGTGTGCAAATTGTTTTAAATGATTCGCTACTCTTGCATTATTTGCAGTGAGTTGTGAAACTGAACATACCAGCAGCTTGAAATACTCCTTGAGCTGCTTGAGAATGGTTTGTACAGGTAAGTGGACCTGCATTGGAGTATATGCCATCTGCAGCCTGATACATCAGAGTTGTCTCCTTCTCCCCAGAATCTGTACGGCATTAAAAGTCAATAGAATATACGCTAATCGTAAAGACCGGTGACTTTCCATTACCTGAGAGGAACTTTAGCCATTTCAAAACGCACACTACAACTGATCACTAGCGCGCCATGGTCCGCTTTGATGGTTTCTTGTGTGTTGAAACACTCCACTACACACTGGGCTATTGGAAAACAGCCACAATACCATAGCAAGGAAATTCATTCTGGCATAGATGTTGCATTCAATTTAGCCGGACATGCCAATGATATTCTGTTATAGACTGCAATCACTTCTATATACCACAATAGCTACGTACTGCCCTCGCTGCCTGCTCTGTAGAACTCATTGGCTGCTTATTGCCTTTGGCGCATGTCTACAGTATTTCCCTTCATGGATGCTGGCCCTTACCTTGTTCATCTGGGCACGATCGGCTCATTCTCATTCTAACCTAAGTGATGATAACTACCAGCAATAATAATTAGTACTCCTCGTGTTGTTTGTGACTGTCGTGTGACACAAGCATGAAGTATATATAAATAACAATAATACCCTAATCACGGTGAAAAAGAAGGACAACATGTTACGAGTTATGACTAACTGTCCACCAACGTAACCAGATCTTATACAGTCAGCGAGTGCGACAAAATGGCACAACACTGACAAAGGAGTACCAAGACATTCGGCGACCTGACACCTAGCTCCAACACTTCTCTAAGGCCCAAACTAACAACCTTCCAACTTGGAAGGCTCAGGTTCGGAAAGGTCCAAGAGGGGAAGGAAAGCGCAATGAAGAAGAGCACGAGCTACGAATCACGGCGGAGAGAATGCCGAAAGTTACTGGATGATGACGAAACTAGTAAGACTATTGGACAGAACGGCCTTACTACAACTCGCCGACGCAACGCAACAGACCACCCAACTTGGGAGGCTCAAGTTGATGTAATAAACATAGATGGGGAAGCTAAGCGAAGACGAATTGTGACAAACCGAAACACCAACATCCTACTGAACTCCACTATCATGTATGATGGGCTAGTTATGTACAATAACAAGTAGTTCCACACGACGCACATTTCACCATATAGGTCATGACGGCTCATCAGGTGTGCAAAGTTCAACTTGGATGGCGAGCCAATAAAATTATGGTGAAAAATGAGGACAAAAAGTTACGAATTATGACTAACTTTCCACCAACCTAACCAGATCAGTCAGCGAGTGCGACAAAATTGGAGCTAGGTGTCAGGTCGCCGAATGTCTCAGTACTCCTTGTCAGTTTTGTGCCATTTTGTCACACTTGCTGACTGTATAAGATCTTGTTACGTTGGTGGAAAGTTAGTCATAACTCGTAACATTGTGTCCTCCTTTTTCACCATACTTTAATTGGCTCACCATCCGAGTTGAATATCCTAATCAAAGTGTTATGATAACAGTATACGGACTGGTGGTTGACTGTTAATAATAACTAGCAACTTATTGGTCCTTTCTTCTTTAATACGGACACCGACAAGAGAGCTTGGAAGCTCAGGGCCAGGGCGGCAAGCGCGGTTTTCGGACTCTCGCATCACACCTCCGCGCGCACCCTCCTGCTGAAAATGGACACCTACAGAGTACCCAAGATATTCAGGCAGAAGTTTATCGTTCTTATCTGGAGGTCTCGGAATGGGCACGCAAGTTCTGATCTGCAAGCCCTCCTAGTTCCTTCGTCAGCTGGCCCAACTAGGTTGCACTCCACCATGGGTCTGCGCTAACCGCCAGTTTGCACCAGGTTCAGCAAGGGTTGCCTCTCATTCCGGACTGCCCAGCTGTGGAACACCTTACCCAGCGATATACATGCCATCTCCAAGCTCCGCCAGTTCCGCGCCAGCATGATCCCACACAACCTTAGTACCTAGACTAGAGTACCAAACGTCGTGTTTGATGATCAGCTAGCTTAGTTTCTCTCCACCTCTATCCTTATTACATCCTTCCCCAATTTCATTAATTACTGCTTTCTATCTGCATTCGCCACCTTTTCATTGGGCAGATCTGCCCGTTTGGTTTGCAAATTAAAATAAACACAACAACAACAACAAAAACAACAACCTCCGCTATCGTTTTTTGCCTAGCGAGAGTCAACTTTCTCTTTGCATTCGAGGGTTATACGACACCATCTACCACCTTGATGACCTAGGCAAAAAAGCGCATAGAGATGTAATACATTTTTCATTTCTCCCATTTTTTTTAGACATAACCTGGGATTCGAACCCGCATTATCGCCCTGCATGCATTCTCCGATACACTTCGCATACGTTGCTTCATGTTATGATTTTGCGTTTGAAAGCCCTATTTGAATAATGAGGCCACCTGTCTTTATTAGTACAGAACGGGACTGGAACGGGATAGCGTCAGGCATGCCGATGCTGTCCTTGATGGTAAGGTACGAGACAGGTACGGAATAGCACCATGCATATGCGCATGCCAATGCTGTCCTTGATGGCACGGTACTGGACAGGTACGGGAAAGCGCCAGGCATGCCGATGGCACAAACAAACAAACAAACGCGGAATTAAAGCTGTGTGGACCCTGGCTAGCGCCAGACGTTACTAAAGTAACGTCTTTTGCATAGCTATGGGAATAAAAATTTCAATACGTACGCATCCCCCCCCCCCCCCCACACACACACACATGCAGAATTACAAGATGTGATGTGAGCACCCTACCTGCAGGTTTAGATTGGATACTCATAGAACCATGAGGACTAACGGAAGGTTCCAAATCCACAGAATCATATACATCCATGGTTGAATCGGCGCCAGGCTGGACCAGAACCTGACCTAAGAGAATGCAGTCAAATATACGTATACGAGGTGAATAGCAATTTCTGGACATGAAAATATAATAGAGCCCCACTGGCTGTGTGTTTTACATTTTTCTTATATCTTTGTATTTATTGTATGACCTAATCCTTCATCTTTCCAAATATGTGACAATTGCTCATGCTGTGATCGAAGAGACTTAATAGCAGGACGTTTTTGACAAGCCAATGTTTAGCCTAAATTTCAGTGTATGGAATTCTGGACATGAAAGTAAAATAGCGTCAATAGGCATCCTACACTGCACCATTTTTGTTATTTTTTCTATTGATGGACTGCAGTTGACCTCTTCACACTTCTAGCCAACAAGTTCATGACTATATAGCGTCTGAAGTGGAGTGCACATGGGGAAGCCAACAATTTGTCCATTACTTCTTACTTTACTCAAAATCATGCGACATAGTACAACAAAACCCGCTGAAATGCCGCACAAGCAAAGGCTATCGACAAGGCGTCGACACAAGGAGAAACAACAGCCCAGCTGTCAACTACGGCAAGAAAAAACTTCATCAACTCGACTGACTTGACTCTACACGCGACGAAAAATTATTTTACTTGAAATGTCCAGACATGTACAATGTCCAGAAATAGCAATTCACCTCGTACTCAACCACAGCTGGCAGAAGTTTTTTATCAATTTGTAGTAACCAAACCTTTCCCCCAAAACGGTGTTGCCTAAATTGACTAGTCACAACAAAATATCAAATTTCTGATGATCACTTAGTTCGTGCAGCTCGGAGTAAAAACACTTTTTTTCATTCTCTTATTCGTGTTGGAATTAGCTCTGCCTTCTGGCACTGAGCACCTCTATTGGACAGCCTGGAACCTCTCTGTTTTAACTTCACTAGTCATGAGCGGGAATGAATTGGAAACGTGTTTGCTCCCCACACGGTAGCTGGCGATGTCCCGCCAACTAGGCTTAACACTTGACTGACTTGACTGCCTGATGGCTGGCATCCAGAGCACATGAGAAATTCATTGGGTCTTTGACTCAGAAAACCTGCAAGAAAGCATCGCTCCCTCTCAATACACAGTGTGTTGTGGAATTCACCCCTCATCAGTTGAGCTTGAGTAGGCTGAGGATAATTGTGTCAGAAGAGCACAACTCATATGGTGGTCTCCATGCCAAACCATAACCAGGGATCCAAACTTACAGACCCCCCCCCCCCTCGTGAGAGGACTTCCTATCAAATCATCGCCAAAGTCGCTACCACTATCTCGTAATGTGGCGTGAATGCAAAAGTATACATTTCATTAACACAGTGCATGAATGAGTTTATTGCTGCATGCATGCTCGCATTCGTCTGAAATCTACAAAAAGCACATATTTCAAAAGAAGTCTATAATCTTGAGGCTAAACACGATCATGGCTAAAGATTCTTTCCAAAGTCATAATTATCTGCACTCACACATCTAGAAACACAAAATGTGATCTGAGCAACCTACCTGCAGGTTCAGAAATGATAGGAATAGACCCATCGGGACTAACGTAGGGTTCCAAAGCCACACCGTCATATATATCTATAGTTGCATCGGCCACAGTTTGTGTTGGGGCTTGACCTGAGAAATACAATGAAGTAAAGGTATACAAGTATGCTTTACAACACATATTATTGGCAGTTTCTGTCCGTTTCTGATTGAATATTTCCCCAAAACTGTGTGGTCTACATTGATTGGTCATGTGTAGTACGTGAAGAGGCAGATATTTATGAACTCGGTTCGTGAAGGATTTTATGTAGGGCTGAAACGCTTATACCGAATAATCGAGTACTCGTTTGATAACTCTAACGATCGAGCAATCATTTAGATTACCGATTACGGTTATTTTTGCGTTTTTAAAATTTTTAATTTCTTATACGTGCAGTGCATGCAGCGCAGAGTATAAATATAGTACACAGTACTAAACACTGCGCACGCTGCGTCGCAGCCGCTCAGGACATGATGCGCGCAGTGCATGCAGCGCGAGTTCAAACTCTCACCCATTGTTGGCTAGTTGTTGTCTGTAACGCTGCCCATTAGTGGATAATCATGCCACATAACATTTTTGTGCAAAATTATGTACACATTTCCACTTTTGGTCATTCCACGAACATATTCCAGGTGCGGCCTCTTAAAGATTATAATCGAATATTCGATCGTTATGATAAAGAGTAATCGATTGGGCTAAATGGATGATCATTTCAGCCCGAATTTTATGGCTACTTGAATGCGCACTGAAATTCGTCTTCAATCAACGGAAGTCGAAGTGGAGATAATCTCTAGCCTCTCCTTAACCGGAGCACTCCAAGTTGCCAGGTTGCTGTTTTGTGTGTTTTCTACAAGCCGTGACTACAATGCCACTGCCAGCATGTTTTAATGCGTTTCGCCATAGCAAGTATATGCTGAATGTGCAACGTTGCCTAAAACCAATTCACCAAACAATCTTATTATTATTCTTTTAGTGGATATCTGGTTATCATGTAATTAGGCAAATTTGCATGTTTGTTCTTCGACTCTAAATAAACAAACAACAACAATTATCTTTTGAAAATAAGGAAAATTTAATCTCATAAAAGTACGACCACTGATTCTACATGAAATCATATACATGTAGGCGTATAATTCTTGTGAAAAGAAGAAGGACAAAATGTTACGAGTTATGACTAACTGTCCACCAACATAACCAGATCTTATACAGTCAGCGAGTGCGACAAAATGGCACAAAACTGACAAAGGAGTACTGAGACATTCGGCGACCTGACACCTAGCTCCAATTTTGTCGCACTTGCTAACTGACACCTAACACCTAGCTCCAACACTTCTCCAAGGCGCAAACCAACAACCTTCCAACTTGGAAGGCTCGGAAAGGTCCATGAAGGAAAGGAAAGCGCAACAAAGAAGAGCACGAGCTACGCATCACGGCAACAAAGAATGCCGAAAGTTACTGGAGGATGATGAAACTGTTAACTACCAAAATTTCAACTACCCTAGAAGTACCGGAGGCATCATATGACTCCACCGGATTTAAACATACCTCCTTGAAATTAATTTCGGCAATATGTGTAGAAACAGAAGTCCTTGGGGTAAAATTTACCTTTTAAAAGGAAGAACAAATGACAGGTGCACTATCTTGGAGGCCAGCAGCTGGCATTGCGCGCAGCAAAAGGGCGACCTCTCGTCAGTTTACGGAAAAATAAAAGAGCATTTGCTTGCCATGTTCATCCTGGAAACTCTACATTTCAGTCCATTACCCTGGAAATGGCTGCTGCTGGGCCAACTTGCTGGATTTTTCTCAGCCAGGTAGGTCATTCTTTGACAGCTGTGATAAATACATTTACGAGCGAAAGGAGATCGTGGTGTCGCAACTCATAGCGAACGGATAATTTCCGTTCGACGTCGTGTCTGGTGACCATCGTCGTGATCAAACCTCAAGTAGCAGAGTAGTTCCTGGAAACTATTTTTAGGGATTTTACAGGATTATATGGCGTCCATTCCTATCCAGCCGAAGGGCCGTCGGCAGATTATTGCGGGTACAGAGGACGCCTCTTGCATATTTTAATTTGCGAAACCAATGCCATGATATTATTATTATTATTATTATTATTATTTATTCTTCTTTTACTAGGGAATTCCCAACAGGCGTCAGCGCCTTTTTACAGGGAACCCTAGGTTTAATTTGATGGATGAGCGAAATTCAGCTGGTGAACTAGACATGCGGCAAGCCGGTGGAAGTGTATTCCACCTGGCAGCGCCCAAATAAGAAACTGCACTAAAGCCATATCGGGTGTTAGCGGGGGGCAGAACAAGAGCAGCAGAGACTTGGCCACGGGTGGTGGCTGCAGTGCGAGCACCATGGGCGCGCAAGGTAAAGCGGTCTCGCAGAAGAGGACTAGCAAGTCCATTCAGGCTATTGCCTTCAATCAAAATAGAGTCCTCTCCAATTTTCTGTTTTCCCTCCTACCTTGTGCACTTGATCATGACATGGATCATATTCTGGTTAATAAATGCAAATAATGCATCTGCCCCATCTTCAAAATCTCGGAAAAGCCCGCTAACTTCGGAAGCAACAACCGGTAGCGCGCGTTCGCGCTTGCTTGGTACAACACATGTTCCACTATCTACCAACTTTGCCAGAGAACCCAGCTTCATGAAGGAAATCCTGCCCGAGTTTTGGACATTGATATTCTGTTATGTGTATGGCTCCATAGCTTTATCACCACCATTATCCGCTTGCTCCCTCGACTCCGGTCCCGTATCAGACTGATCGAGAAGCCGGAGCAATTAGTACTCACTCCTCTTCATCTGGAGCATATAACTATTTGTCTCTGTGTTCGGTCACTTCTAGTTGCTCGCGCACAATGCTCCAGGCACTCTCCTTGCATTCATCCCTAAACTCCTGCCCAAACATGTTCAAAATCAATGAAATGCTTTATCGGCAGCGATACTGCCCCTACTGAACATGGCTTCCGCCAGATCAACGTAAATTCAAAGACCGTTCCTAGAATATAGGCCGAGATCAGCTAAAACATGTCTTTGGGGTTTCGTAACAAAAGTTGAGAAATGACGAAATGAAAAGAAATGTTTTTTTCGAGCGTGTTCACTCTGCACTTCGTTCATGATGTGGCGATCATCTTCTCAAATTTTGATCAAACACTTGTTTGGCGGTCTAGTTCAAGTAGCTGGCGAGCAAAGACTGACAATGTTCGTATCTAGTGACACTAGAGCAGCTCGCAGGGCCAGACGATCGCTGTGCATGGCCCAGGTTTGGTCAGGTGTCAGCACGTCCGTGGCGGAGGGTCTGCAGAGCGACGCTGATAATTGTTTTAGATGTCAGTGATGTTGATGTCGACAGCGAAGCTGAATCGTCCCCGTCGTTTCCAGTAGCGAAGAGGCACAAGTTGTGGGCGAGTACATAATCATTAGGCGGCGAACTGGCTGCCTTACGATGTTACTTGCCGTTCAGCTCTCATGAGTCGTCTGACGCAGTCTCGAAAGCGCAGGCGACGATCGAAAGTGTCACTGCCAGAGTCGAAAGAGTATGCAAGTGCAACGCCTCCCAGAGCATTGTGGTGCTTTCCAGAAAAACTTGGGCCATGCTTTTGAACTGATGTCGTTGACATGCTCAAGTCTGTGTCAACATCTTTAGTTCTGTTGTATTGTGCTCCGCCACAAAAGCCACTAAGTAATAGTTTGTCTCTTTGTGTCAGACTGCGCGAAAACTGTCATTTTCTATTTCAAAGTACATATTTTGAAAGCGGTGTTTGGAGCACTTGTAGACTACTTTTTTGCCCTGTATCACCTTCAAGAGGTCAAGTAAGGTCCCAAGAACTGTTTTCTGGAGGAAAACAAAATTTGAAAAATTTCACTCTAAGACATGTTTTAGCTGGTTGTGGCCCATATTATAATTGCCTTGGCACTTCAAATTTTATTTATTTATTTATTATAGCATCTCATAGCACAGTGAGAACACCGGCCAATACAAAGAGAAAGGGTGTTAGCCAACCACGGCAAGGAAGGGAGAAGGGGAGGAGAAGAAAAAAGGAACCGGCATGGAAAAGCAGTGATTGCAACAAAATGAGAAACACAAAATCAAAGTCAAGGCGAGACAAGGCTCTTAAAAAGGCGGAGGGAAGAAAGGTCCTTAGCTTCTTGGGGAAGTGCCAGCCACGCAGAGTACGCAGTGAAAAGGGGAGAGTGAAGTAGAAAGGAGGACTTTGGTTTCGGAAGGGAAAGGGAGTTTCTCGTGCTACGGGAAGAGAACTAGGTGAAACAGTGGAGGTGAGGTGGACACAGATTGAGTTTGAAAGAATGGATAAGGGTGACAAGATGTGAATTATGTCTCTTAGACAAAGGGGTAGTGTCAGCAAGGGCATAAAGTGTGGAAGATGGGAGCATGCGGGGTTTTCGGAGGAGGATTTTGAGAACTTTTTTGTGGTGAATTTCGAGCTTGGCAGCACGGGTTGTGGGAATTCCAGCCCAAGCAGTATCTGCATAATCAAAAATGGGGCGTAGGTAAGCTGAGTAAAAGAGGAGTTTACAAGAGATTGGGAGATGGTAACAGTGAGAAGAGAGGATTCCTAAAGATGAACTTTATCGTTTACATAATGTAATTGATGTGGGGTTCCCATGAAAAATTAGAGTCAATGAAAATGCCAAGATGCTTATGGCTGGAGACTATGTCTATAGGCTGGGGGGGGGGAAGTGGGATGGAGGAGGGGCGGAACATCGGGCTGAGAAGGAAAGAGCATGATTTTAGTTTTAGACAGATTGGGCGATAACCGCCAAGACGACATCCAGGAAATTACTCTTTGAATCCCGTTAGCTAGGTTACTCATCAGGCCAGTGATGTTAGGAGATGCCCGTAGGATCATTATGTCGTCTTCGAACAGTGATGTGCCCGGGGCCGCTGCGGGCAGATCATTGACGTATAAGATAAAAAGAAGGGGGCCGAGGATGGAACCCTGGGGAACTCCGGATAGTACTGTTGTGCCGGCTGAGGACGTCCCATGTACCGTGACGTACTGCGTTCGCCCAGTTAGGTAAGATGTCAGCCATAGCAGGCCATAGCAGGGGCCATAGCAGGGGATTGCCGTCTACAGTCCACGAAGCTTGGCCAAAAGCCCCCGGTGCCAGACGGTATCGAAGGCCTTGGCAAGATCGAAAAAACAGATCCCGACTAGATCTCCAGCATCCCGACTAGATCTCCAGCATCCCGATGTCGACACACTAATTGCACCAGGCGCGTCAGCTGGAGGGTGGTAGAATCGCCTCTGCGAAATCCGGACTGAGCTGAACTCAAACGTGACGAGACATGACAGTACAATTGGTCGTATAAAACGCGCTCACAGAGTTTGGAAACACAGGACAGTAGAGATATCGGACGGTAGTTTGATGCTTCGTGGCGGGACCCTTTCTTGTAGATCGGTATAACATTAGCTGTTTTCCATGCAGAGGGAAAATCAGACATAAGGGGTATGCTATTGAGGGCGCAAGGGACTTTAATACCAGATTAGTGATGTCGTCTGGGCCTGGCGCCTAATCAGACAGGAGCTTTCGAATGTAACGTCGGATGGCAGCAGTCGTAGTAAAGACAGATGTGAGGCTGTCAGCCTCACCCGACTCCTCGGCAATGGGGAGAATGGGTAGAGAAGGGTCATCAGGCACGGCCACTGAGGCGAACTGAGAGTTCAATGCAGTGGCTTTAGCTGAAGAGGTAGTAGCCTGCTGCATAGAACTAATGGTGAGTGTCGGGATATCATGAGATACTTTATGATTTTTTAATTTGTTCACAAACTGAAACAGTGAGGGGCGGTTTTTGTCCTGCAGCGTAGCTTGTACTGTATCCCCGGTATTTCGATCGAGTCAGACTCTTCACCAAGGTCCGTTGAGATCGATATACATGCATGTTAAGCTGGGTTGGGTATTTCTTACACACACTGTAGAAATCGTGCTTTGCCTTAATGGCGGCACGGAGCTGGGTATCAACCCAAGGTGGCTGACCCAAACGTCGGCATGAGGGGGAGAGTGGACGCCGGGAGAAGTACCCGAGGTGCTTCTCCATGGCCCTGCTAAGAATAGAGTGGAAAGACGAAAGAGTGTCATCCACGTGCGAGCTGCGGAGGTGACATTTCCAGTGGACATCAGCAAGTTCAGCATTCAGGTCATCCCATACGCAATGTGGCACCAACTTGAAATTGTAACCTGGGGGTGTAGGGGTAGATGTTGGGAAGAAGTGATGTTGTAGGGTTGGATTTTTGGACGTGACAGGGAGACGGACTCGACAGATGAGCTGCACGTTGTCACAGCTACCCAGTGGAGCGGCTGAATCAACGGAGAGGAACTGCTGGGGTGAATTTGTGACGATGAGGTCCAAGCAAGATGACCGGCCACTTGGGCTCCAGTGCGTAGGGAAGTTGACCAGTTGCTCTAATCCGAAGCACCTGAAGGCGGTTTCAAGTCACTGACCCACCAGGGTTATCCGATCACCAGCCAACCAGCTCGAGTTATGGGCATTGAAGTCACCGGTGAGGAGTAGTGTGGATACAGATAGATTAAGTGACAGAAGGCAGTCTTCAAGACCATCAGAATAGGCCTGGATATCCGCCAGGGTACCACCAGGAGGTCGGTAGGTGGCGCAGACTATGAGCGGACGTTGGGGTGAGTTGGCTGTGCGAAGCTCAAGCCAGATGGCCTCCAAGCCCAGTTGCTGAAGATTCGCCAGAGGCTTCACCGATGTAAAGGAGCCATCTTTCACCAGTATGGCTACCCCACCATAAACTCTGGTAGGATTGGCCGATCGAATATTAGAGGTGGGACTATCCCGTCGATGAACTGTGTAGCCTGCCAATGAGAAGAGGTTGGCAGGGGACAACCATGTTTCACACAAACATGTAACCTCCGGAGAGTAGATGTTGCACAGTGAGTTCCGCTACTTTGTTGGCCACTGAGCGGCAGTTGAAGGAAAGGATGGTAAGGGCAGTATGGATGGGAGGATAAAAGGGACGGGCCAGTGGATTCAGTGTTCCAGTAGTGTTGGGGAAGACAAGGTTACTATTCATTGTGAGAGATATTTTCCGGTGGGTTGGTCAGAATAGAAACGCCATTCCCTCACGGTATGACCCATTGTGTTTGGCCAGAAGGTGTGCTGGCATACAGTATCGGCATCCTTACCCTCGACAGTCACTCTGGCGGAGGCAGTTCGAAAATACTCGGAGGAGTATATTAAGCACTGCACTATTTCAACACCGCGTTCCCTGCACCAGTCGGCTATACTCGCTGCCTCACATCCAAACGGAATATCTCCCAAGTAGGAGACCTTTCGCGGACTGCGGGGGGCAGCATCCAGAGACGGAACAGAACCAGGGACATTCTGGTTCGGTTTGACGTAACGTGATGATACCTGGCGACGGATGGGATTTCTTTGTGGTGCTTCTTCCTTTGCCTGTTTGTTTGCAGGGAGTCCAACCTCTTCTCTTTCAGTAGGGTGAGGTTGGGTCCGTGTCATCCTCTTGGCTTGACGGCGCTGATTCCTTGACATGACAGGCTGTAAGGCTACGTCGTCCTTATCGGCAGTACTGGCACTACAAGAAGTTTCAGCCATGAGCCCATTTGCTAGAACTTGGGCATATGGTCTAGGAAAGTCTGGTGTGTTGGCTAGCTGTCCATTCTCTTTTACTGTTGATGCTTTGTCGCTTTGGAGGGATGACGTATGTGAGCATTGAGCTGCTCCAGCCAGATCCACGGTCTTCTGAGTTCTGAAAGGCTGGACTTACACACCACAGCCAACAACGCTGTCCAACTGGTTCACCTTTTCCCGTGTGGATAGTAAATCATTTCGCAAGCTCGTTAGCTCTGCATCTCTGGTTGCTGAAACTGCAGCAAGTTCATGTGTTAGACGGGCGATGCAATCCTGAAGTTTCTCAAGGCAAGGTACCATTGATGGCAGGCACTTCTCACCACAGGCAGGGAATTGGCTGGGCGACGAAACTGGGGGATAAGTGCCAATACCATTTTTGCGCAGAGTAGCAACCAAGTCTGGGCGTGCTAGGTCACACGAATTAGGTATGTCCTTCTGCTCAGCTAGTTTCTGAAGCTGCGAAAACTCCAGGATCGCCAGGTCAATATTGAGATCTAGCGCCATCACGTGACTGCCTCTGAACACCACTCCAGCAGGAAGTGTTCGGGCGTTGGCTAGCGTTGGCTAGCGCCAGCAACGCCTTCACGCCTGGGACCGACCTCGGTAGCGCAGGAGGAAGAAGACACAGCAAGGCACAGCAAACAATGGCCACCGAAAGGCCAAACCAGCCTCTTTCACGCCGCAATATCGAGGGAAGGAAATAATCCACAGCAATGGCGTGTCCAAAACTGGCCGGATAGTGGTCCACGAAGCCAATATCCAAAACTTCAAATCAAAATCGGCTCTCAATCTGCAGAGAGACACCTCCAATCCAGAGTGATAAAATCTCTAACCGGTCACTTCGGAAGCACTTGCATATCGTTCTATGCTGCAGATGACATAGTGAATCACTTTTCAAACTTAGGGCAAACGAATTCGTCTGTTTCCGCAGGATTCGGGATGACGATATTGACCATAACGACACGTGAAACGTGCATATTAGCATGTCCATATGTACAAATCACCACCTTCATCGTCCCCAATCTCCTTGCTCCCAAATGTATTCCTCTTCACGTTATTCATGTGTGGTTCTAAGCCAAATTCGCCCTTTCATTGATGCCTATGGTATGTGGAGTCATATGATGCCGCGCGGTAGTTCCAGGTAGCACCCCCTGACATTTCGGAACTGTACTACATTTTTGAAAACACAAACCACTGCCATTAACAAAATACAAAATAAATTAAGTCACAAAATTTGGGGAGATTCTAAGCCCCCATCTAACAGCATTCCCATTTTGAAATTCGCAAATGCATCATTATGATGCCTCTGGTAGTTCTAGGGTTAAAATTATTGGACAGACCGGCCTTACTGCAACTCGACGACGCAAAGCAACATACCACCCAACTTGAGAGGCTCAAGTTTATGTAATAAACATAGAAGGGGAAGCTAAGCGAAGACGAGTTGTGACAAACCGAAACACCAACATCCTACTGAACTCCACTATCATGTATGATGGGCTAGTTATGTACAATAACAAGTAGTTCCAAACGACGTACATTTCGCCGTATAGGTCATGACGGCTCATCAGGTGTGCAAAGTTCAACTTGGATGGCGAGCCAATAAAATTATGGTGAAAAATGAGGACAAAATGTTACCAGTTATGACTAACTGTCCACCAACGTAACCAGATCGTATACAGTTAGCGAGTGCGACAAAATTGGAGCTAGGTGTCAGGTCGTCGAATGTCTCAGTACTCCTTTGTCACGGTTTTGTGCCATTTTGTTGCACTCGCTGACTGTATAAGATCTTGTTACGTTGGTGGAAAGTTAGTCATAACTCGTAACATTGTGTCCTCCTTTTTCACCATACTTTAATTGGCTCACCATCCGAGTTGAATATCCTAATCAAAGTGTTATGATAACAGTAAACGCACTGGTGGTCGACTGTTAATCATAACTAGCAACTTATTGGTCCTTTTGTCTTTCTCAATACATGCGCACGTAGTGACATTTTAATGTGTCCGTATCAATACGGACACAGATAAAAATTTCACTACGTAGGCATCCCCCCCCCCCCTAACACACACACATGCAGAAATACAAGATGTGATGTGAGCACCCTACCTGCAGGTTTAGATTTGACACTCATAGAACCATTAGGACTAACGGAAGGTTCCGAAGCCACAGAATCATATACGTCCATGGTTGAATCGGCGGCAGACTGGACCAGAACCTGACCTAAAAGGCAGTCAAACATAAGTATACCCAAACACAGCTGGCAGGGGTTTTTCTTCAATTTTTACCCAAACACAGCTGGCAGGGGTTTTTCTTCAATTTTCACCCAAACACAGCTGGCAGGGGTTTTTCTTCAATTTTTACCCAAACACAGCTGGCAGGGGTTTTTTCTTCAATTTTTACCCAAACACAGCTGGCAGGGGTTTTTTCTTCAATTTTTACCCAAACACAGATGGCAGGGGGTTTTTCTTCAATTTTTAGTAACCAAACCTTTCCCCCAAAACGGTGTTGCCTAAATTGACTAGTCACAACAAGAAATCAAATTTCTGATGATCACTTAGTTCGTGCAACGCGGAGTAAAACCACTTTTTTCATTCTCTTATTCATGTTGGAACTAGCTCTGCCTTCCGGCATTGAGCATTCTATTGGACAGCCTGAAACCTCTCTGTTTTAACTTCACTAGTCATGAGCGGGAATGAATTGGAAAGGTGTTTGCTCCCCACAAAGTAGCTGAGGATTTTCCGCCAACTAGGCTTGACACTTGACTGACTTGACTGCCTGATGCCTGGCATCCAGAGCACATGAGAAATCCATTGGATCTTTGTGTAACAGGTTTAATCAAACTTGAAAAGTAAGAGGCCTGGTTGAGCGTGCCTCGACCAGTTATATGCAAAATGTGATAGTATACATGTGGCAATGGCGCCAATGAAGGTGCTAATAGACAGGCGTAAGACGCACGAGGTGCGAGGGAGTGTAAAGTTATAGAGAACAGGGGAAAACTGTTACATCATCCCCCTCCTATGGAGAGGAAGGAGCTTATAACCCAAATGCTCAAGTGGAATAGAGTACAATAAGCGCAAACACGTGCGAGACGAAAAAAGGCTTCGCACTGAAGTAACACAATAAGACGACTGAAACTCCATGCAAATAAAGTGTAATAAGCTCAACAAATGTGTAAGGTGAAACTAGAAGTTCAACTGCAAAACTCAGCGGCAAAACTCAGCGGGCAGAAGCCAAGGTTTTGTACTTCTGAAGTGGAACAATGTCATTACCAGATTCATCCAACAAATAATGTTCAGGCTCCCAAGTGGCATCAGAGTAGCCTTGCCACTTGACTAGGTACTGAAGCTGATTCTGCCGGCGGCGGTGACTGAGAATGTTCTCCACCACATAGCGGGCATGACCATCAAGGTCCGTGATAGGCGGAGGCGTAGGCTGTCTCCTATTAGGAATAGCGTTCTTCTCGTAGGCACGGAGTGCCGACACATTAAATACCGGGTGACAGCGGCTGGTATGAGGCAACTTGAGCTTGTAGGCATTTGGGCCGACCACATGGGTTATAGGAAAGGGGCCAAACCACTTGGGGCGTAATTTATGGGATGGTCGGTCCCGAGCTTCAGGAGTCAGGAGGAAATCCCGGTAGACCATTACCAAATCTCCCACCTTCAGCTTTCCCTCGACCCTTGTCCGATCTGCATAGAAGGCCTGACGAGCTTGAGCTGCCACTAGCGCATCTTGTGAGATCTTGACCGCGTCTTGTCTTGCTTGCAACCAATCAGCTGAATCTCTGCCTCCCTGAATAGGGTTGAGGAAGTCGGGTGGCGCTCTGGGATTTAGACCGTAATTTAAGAAGAACGGTGTGTTTCCTGTAGATGATTGAGTAGCGCTGTTGATAGAAAACTCACAGAGAGGTAGGAGCATATCCCAGTTATCTTGTTTATGATTTACAAAAGCCATCAGCACATCCTCTACTATTCTGTTTACTCGTTCAGTTAGGCCATCTGTCTGAGGGTGATTGGCAGTACTAAATGCTAGTTTCGTTCCTAAGCGATCAAACAATTCCTGAAAAAATGCTGCCGTAAATCTTGGATCACGATCACATACAATACTAGAACTCAAACCATGAAGTCGAAATACATGTTGAATATACAGATCAGCACTTCCTTTAGCGTCAATAGTAGAGGAAGTAGGTGCTAAATGTACACACTTTGTCAAGCGGTCTACAAATACATATATAGCATCATGACCTGTATCGGTCCTAGGCAAACCCATGATAAAATCCATCGAGATATCCGCCCACGGCTGACTGGGCACTGGTAAATTCTGCAAGAGACCAGTTTTTAGCTGGCCGCCTTTAACTCGTTGGCAGACGTCACATGACTTGACAAACGCCTTTACATCCAGTCCCATTCTGGGCCAATAGAAATATCTAGCGAGTCTGAAATAGGTGCGATCTCGACCGGGATGCCCCGCAGTCACACAGTCATGGTATTCTTGAAGCAGGGCGAGTCGGAGTTTGCTACTCTTTGGAATGCATAACCGGTTCTGTGGTGAAGATCTGAGATAAAGATAACCGGGTGTTTCATTTAGAAGGTAACGGTCGTGCAGATTGTCATGGCTTGAATTTTTCAGTCTCCTGATAATGGGAGCAAGATCCTTGTCGCACTTGTAACCGCTGACAATTAACTGCGCTAAGTCTGGATTAATCTCTAGGGTATGCTCTATGGCATTCAACTGAATGTTAGGAGGATAGGATGACCCGCCTATTTCAGAATCACTGAACAGATCTGGACGGCGTGAAAGCGGGTCGGCAATGTTTTTCTTTCCTGGTTTGTGAAAGACCGTAAAGTCATAGTCAGCTAAAAACTCTACCCATCTTGCCTCACGCTTGGTGAGAGTCGGTTTGGTTCGTAAATAGACAACACCCATATTATCAGTCATCAGGTCAAAGTGGCGGAATAGATAGATTCTCCAGCACTTTAATGCAAATACCACAGCCAACGTTTCCCTCTCGGCCGCAGTATAGTTGCGTTCTGCAGCTGACAGTTTCCGACTACAATAGGCTACGGGATGCAAATCCATAAATTCTCCCTGCTGCAGGAGCACACCCGCCACGGCAAAGTCACTTGCGTCAGTTTCTACCGTGAAGCTTTTCTCAACATCGGCCAGTTGCAACACTGGCGCCTCGAGTAATGCTGATTTTAGAGACTCGAATGCCTTCTGTCTAGCAGCGCTCCATTCAAAGCGTGAATTTTTTCCGGTGATTTCTTCTAATGGACGAGAGATGGTCGAGTGTCGATCTATGAACCTTCGGAAATAGTTTGCAAAGCCAAGAAACTTCCTCACATCAGTTACTGACGACGGAGTTGGCCATGTTTCCACAGCACTTATCTTCTTGGGATCAGGGGAAATTGATGTGCCGTTGATTTTATGCCCCAAGAAGAGAACTTCTCTCACGCCGAATTCGCATTTAGACTGTTTGCAATACAGCTCACTATTTCTAAGTGTTTCTAGAACTGTTTGAAGATGATGCTGATGATCTTCCCAGGTCTTGCTGAAAACTAGAATGTCATCCAAGAATACTACAACGAATTTTCGGAGATGCGGTTGCAGAATAGAGTTCATGAGTGACTGAAAGGTGGCCGGGGCATTAGTCAGCCCGAATCCCATGACTCTAAATTGGAAGTGGCCGAACGGCGTATTAATGGCCGTCTTAGAAACATCCGAGTCTTGAATTCTGATTTGATTGTACCCCGACCGCAAGTCCAACTTGGAGAAATATGCACTGCCCTGGATCGTGTCGAATAAGTCATCAATATTAGGAAGACAAGCTTTGTTTTTGATCGTAATTCTATTCAATTCTCGCCAATCGCACACCATTCTCAGAGTACCATCCGACTTTTTCACAAAAAACACAGGTGCACCGTATGGCGACTTACTTGGCTCAATGAATCCCTTCTCAAGTAATTCTGACAGCTGTGACTGGAGCTCGTCCATCTCTGGTTTCGGCAGGCGGTAGGCGGGTCGAGACGGTGGTCTGGCTCCATCTTCTATCTGGATTTCATGGTCGACTGGTCTCTTCGGTGGAAGCTCATTCGGCAGCTCGTCTGGAAATAAATCCTGGTACCTCTTGAGCAGGTTCTGGATGTCTTGTTGCTCTGATTCCTGGAGTTGTGGCCCGGAACGATTCTCCTCGTTTGCAGCAGTGACCCATGCAAGAAACCCCTCGGCTCCACTCCTCAGGGCATGACGAGCTTGTCGGCCACTGATAAACATGCTTTCCACAGATGGCCGGTCGGCTGTCGGCGGGTTACCTGAAGGCAATTTGGCAACAAAGGGCTCACCGTCCAACTGAACTTCGTTCGTACGGAAGTTGATGCTGGGGTTGTTCCTTGTAAGCCACGGCTTGCCAAGAATAGCGTCGTAGCGAGTCAGGGGATACACAGTAAAGTGCTGTTCCTCACTGAAGCCCCCGACTGTCACCCTTAGCGTGCGTGTGGAAATCTGCGGGACCTCGCTGGTCGAGCCGTCCGCCAATGTTACGCTCAGCACTGCTGAGCTTGCATCCGTGTCAAGATGATGCTTTCGAACAAAACTGTCTGCAATGAAGTCATGCGTCGAACCGGAATCTATCAGCATCACTGCACGGCGACCGCCGATTCTTCCCTGTACGCGCAGTAGGTCGTGTTCAGGTTCATTGCCGACGCTGACGTTGCTGACATGACACCTTTCTGCAACGGGACAATTTCCTACAGCTATGGGTGTCTCCGGCTCCGTAGGTTCCTGGAGAGCAACGTCTTCAACCTCCAGAGCTCCAAACCGGTTAGCGACTGGTACCGGCGTGGGTGCTTGGGTCGTCGCCAGTAAGCGCACCCCCTTTCTTACTGGCGACCAGCGTTTGGGTAGCGCTGTCCACCCTCAGTACAGTCTTTAGCGAGGTGGCCTGGCTTCCTGCAAGCAAAGCAGTGTCCCATTGCTCGCAGTTGGACACGCTCTTGGTCCGTCAGCTTGCGGAGGCCCTGAGTCTGACCACGGAAGCTGGGCACGGAACGCGACTCTCTACTGGCTGGTGGCCCCGACGCCGGTGGCCCTGGCGACTGCTCCACGGTGTTTGCTGCCATGACAGCTTGCTCCAGGGTACGTGGATGCTCACGCATGACCTGTCGCTGGATGTGCGGCACTAGACCCCTGACGAACAGCAGCGCTCTGGTGTGGTGGTCGATTTCCGGCACTTGCAGGCTGAGGCGAGTGAAAGCAGCAATGTATGCGTCCAGCGACCCGCGCTGCGCTGCGGAAATTAGTCCCATACGCGATGTTTCCTCGTTGTGCCGTGGTCCGTACACATCGCCAAGTGCCGCTTTCAGAGCAGGCCAGTCGGAAAACACTTGGTTAGCTTCCAATGCCGCTATCAACCAAAGACGAGCGTTTCCAGTCAAAAATCCTGCCGCGTAGTCGACCCTCTGTGCCGCATTTGGGAGCGCCAACGACCGTAGGGCCATGTCCATTGCAAACGTCCATTCTTTGAATGTAGCGGAATCTCCTCCAAACACAGGCGGCTCTTTCGTAAGGCGGGGTGTTGGCTCCCACGGTTCCGAGTTCGGATGTATCGTTCGGTTTCCTTGGATAACGCGCTGAGCGGTCTTGATATCGTTTATCAGCCGAACGACGAGTACGAGGAGCGTAAGCAGAGCGACCAGAACACCTGCCAAAAGCAGAGTAGGAACCATCCTCTGCTACCAGTGTAACAGGTTTAATCAAACTTGAAAAGTAAGAGGCCTGGTTGAGCGTGCCTCGACCAGTTATATGCAAAATGTGATAGTATACATGTGGCAATGGCGCCAATGAAGGTGCTAATAGACAGGCGTAAGACGCACGAGGTGCGAGGGAGTGTAAAGTTATAGAGAACAGGGGAAAACTGTTACACTTTGACTCAGCAAACCTGCAAGAGAGCATCGCTCCCTCTCAAAACACAGTGTTTTGTGGAATTCACCCCTCATCAGTTGAGCTTGAGTAGGCTGAGGATGATTGTGTCAGAAGAGCACAACTCATATGGTGCTCTCCAGGCCGAACCATAACCAGGGATACAAACTGACAGTCCTCCCCTGAGAGGACTTCCTAAAAAATTATCGCCAAAGTCGCTACCACTCAGATCTCGTAATGTGGCGTGAATGCAAAAGTATTTCATTTCATTAACACGGTGCATGAATGATGAGTTCATTGCTGCATGCATGCTCGCATTCGTCTGAAATCTATAAAAAGCACATATTTCAAAAGAAGTCCATAATCTTGAGGCTAAACACGAACATGGCTAAAGATTCTTTCCAAAGTAATGATATTATCATTCTGCACGCACACTTCTAGAAACACAAAATGTGATCTGAGCAACCTACCTGCAGGTTTAGATTTGATAGGAATAGACCCATCAGGATTAAAGGAGGGTTCCAAATCCACACAGTCATATATATCTATAGTTGCATCGGCAACAGTTTGTGTGGGGGCTTGACCTGAGAAATACAATGAAGTAAAGGTATACATACAAGTATACTTTAACCCTTTCACTACCCACTATTTTCGCAATTGAGTCAAGTCACAGTCTACAAAAATACGACTTTTGTTATATCTCTGCTCTCCTTTGGCCATCTCTTACAAACAACCACTCTCTGGAAAGTTAATGATGCCAGCTAGGCACTTGTAGAAACTACAACACATATGATTGGCAGTTTCTGTCATTTCTGATTAAATATTTCCCCCCAAAACTTTGTGGTCTACACTGACTGGTCATGTGTAGTACGTGAAGACGCAGATATTAATTTATTAACTCGGTTCATGAAGGATTTTATGGCTACATCAATGCGCGCCGAAATTCGTCTTCAATCAAAGGAAGTTGAAGTGGAGATAATCCCTACCCTATCCTTAACCGGAGCACTCCAAGTTGGCAGGTTGCTGTTTTGTGTGCTTTCTACAAGCCGTGACTACAATGCCACTGCCAACATGTTTCAATGCGTTCCGTCGTAGCAAGTATAATAATTATTATGCTGAATGTGCAACATTGCCTGAAACCAATTCGCCAAACAGTCTTATATTCTTCTTTTAGTCGATACCATGTAATGAGGCAAATTTGCCTGTTTGTTCTTCGACTTTAAATAAACAAACAACAACAATGTCCAATACACCACATCACCACATTGCGCTCTTGGTCGATCCAAACTCTGCACTCACATCACCATCACCACAGCGAGGACAATTCCGGTATATAGATTGATATTGACAATGACCCTCCAGACAGCTGTTTCGCTCCTCCTGAGCTCATCAGTGGAGGCATATGATGTTGAATGAAAGAATAATAAGAATAGACTGATCTTTATAGGGCTAAATTGGTGCAATTGCGCTCATTCTGCATAGAAACGTGGCATACCCAAAGTGACAAATGTGACAAAAGTGATAGCAAGGTCAGGTGATAACGACACGCGCTCATGGCTGGGACAGGAACATGTAGCACGTGTGAAAAGGGGGGGGGGTGCTAAAAACAGCAGTCAGTCTAACACCAGAAAAGTTAGTTATTGCATGTGCCACAAAAACAAAGATACTGCGGCTGACTGTACTTGTCCCATAGTGACGTGACGGGGAATAAATGACGAAGCAAACTGGCCTACATGGCAGACCCAGAGGCCCCTGAGGCAATCACTGTCCTGCCAGCCCGTCGCACAAAGCCATACCACGCCGCCATACCAGTTGAACACGAACACTGATGTTGCCTGCGCCTTCAGTCAGTATCTTCCGTCGCAAAACAGCCACTTGACACATGGGGCATTCACTCCAGTCAGGGCCATGCTGCGTCCGACGCTGCTAAATTTTGATCTAGCACTTGATGTTGAGGAACAACCCCGCTTGTCTCGTAATTTCACTGTCGCTTTACAGCGCATTTCAAGTTGAGAAGTTGAAAAGAAGCCATGAGCGTGTGTCGTTATCACCTGACCTTGGTATCACTTTTGTCACTTAGGTCCGACCATTGATTCTACTTGAAAGTGAAATGCACACAGTTCTATCATATAGGCATAATAATATTCTAATAGACATACCAGATAAAGCCGCCGGACTGTTTGCAGCTTCCAATCCATGCAGTGCATCATTTTGAACTGTCTCATAATACGTTCGGTCGGCCTTTAGTTCTTCATTCAAATTAGTCAAATATCCTGCCAGCAAAGATCACAGTCATGCACACATCCAAGAGTCCTGATTGAATTCAAAAGTCAAAATACAAATTCATTTCAGGCTGCGTCCACTCACACTTCAATATTCAAGTGTGAGCGCCCAGCAAAGCTCACATGGCTGTGCTAGCGATAATGAGTTTTGTTAAGCTGAAACCTTAGCTGTGTGTACTGAGGTACATATTGGCCCGCATGAGCAGTGCTGAAACCGAGACCCCTTGTCGGTTTACCTGCTGTTGCCCCTCCTCCTGGCTGCCATCACTATGTGCATCTCTGTGCGTTTTTGCGGGCGTGTGCACCGTCATGGTTTGTGGTTTATAATGTAAAAAGAATTAAATTAAAATGGGAATAAATAAGATAAATTGTGCACTCATAACAACAGCAAAATGAAGAAAGTCAAGTTCCATAACGTTTTCTTGTGACTGTCATCAGTAGAACGCAGTCACATAAAAATGTAATAACTAAAACACACACTTATATACATGTAGCTAATATGGTTTCAGGTAGAATTACAGCAGCTAACAAGTACAAAAAGCGAAGTTTGCACCTTTGCAATGTGTGAATATAGTGTATGTGAGAAAGGTAGTGGCAGATGAATGTGATACTGTGTGAATGAATGTAATGGTTTCTTCAAGCAATTGCAGGTGTTGGAAGCTGTGTATATTCGTACTCGTGACCCTGTGCTATGTAAACAGAAAGAAAACGTTGTATCACTCACACTCTTCAAGTAATACACACGCACCATTACATTCATTCACACAGTATCACATTCATCTGCCACTACCTTTCTCACATACACTATATTCACACATCGCAAAGGTGCAAACTTCGCTTTTTGTACTTGTTAGCTGCTGTAATTCTACCTGAAACCATATTAGCTACATGTATATAAGTGTGTGTTTTAGTTATTACATTTTTATGTGACTGCGTTCCACTGATGACAGTCACAAGAAAACGTTATGGAACTTGACTTTAATACTCATAAAAAGGACACACTTCAGGCTCATTACAAACATCTTGAAAGTTTTTGTCTTCACAAGTGTCATGGCCGCGCGTGGCGGGTTTGTGACTTGGCTTAGACCAGTCTAGTGGCTACCCAGGTAGACGACCAATATAGTCGCCATCCAAGTTGCTAGCTCACACCTGTTTTCCGGCTCACACAAGGTAGTCGAAGGTTGAAGGGGAGCGATCAAAGATACTTTTATTCGTTGGAAGAAGGCGGCTTTTATGTGATTTTGGTTATAGTATAATTGTGATATAATAATTAGTAGGAAATATTTAGTATAGCTTCGGGGAGTTCGCGCACCCACATTACATGATAGTGTTACAAATATGAGTGATCTCCGAGGTTATTCGTACGTCGATCGTGCGACGGAGCCTGGAGTACGCTGTCGGATGTTGCTGCAGCTAGAGCGCGCCGCCTTTGTACGGTGTCTTGATTGGGTCACCCTTCATCTTCTGCCCCGTAGGCTCTTCCTTCTCATTACCCCGTAGGGCGCTTCACGGTCAAGCTGCGACCTCTCCCAAAAAAGGGATAACGGAGTCCGCAGTGCGCGAAGCACTTGCAGGACCCTTTACGTCGTATGACGCGAGAAGAGGGGCCTTGCTTGCTCGACTAACAAAGGTATCAGCTCCCTTGCAGGACTAAGCAGGGTCCCCTCAAGCTCAACAGTGTAGTGAGTACAATGCTGACGGCTTGTACTGAATGTGTAGCCGCCGTACGACAACACTTGTGACTCGAGGCCACGAGTTGTAAGCCATGATTGCTCAACTAACGAAAGTGCCAAATCCTTCGCAGGACTAATCATGGTTCTTACAGAACTCTAGAATATTTCGGAGCCCAGCTTTTGGCTGCTGAATCTCATTGCGTGGTCGCTTTCACGACGAGTCAAGTCCGGGTCATGACACAAGTATACTTTCAAGCCTTCTCGTCAGGTAAAATACAGGCAAGGGAAAGGAACAGGAACAGTGGATTAAATATAGTAAGAAGGTGGTAAAACGAGAAGGCTTGAAAGTATACTTGTGAAGACAAAAACTTTCAAGATGTTTGTAATGAGCCTGAAGTGTGTCCTTTTTATGAGTATTATCGCATTTTTGTCTCAGAGGAAACTGTGAACTTGACTTTCATCATTTTTGCTGTTGTTATGAGTGCACAATTATCTTATTTATTGCCATTTTACGACTATTGTCTCCTCGTCGATTGTTTAGAATTAAATTAGTGCACAAGAAAAGGAATTGTGCGAAGGGCCTCACAATTTTTCTAGTGGTGACTGTGTGGCATATGCTAACTTGCATGTGCACAGCAACACTTGTTAACCACACCGGTAATCATGTTAGAAGCCTATGTATGCTGCTACGAGTAACGTTCACTTGCTTGACCAAGGTCACAAAGATCCCCCTCCCCCCCCCCCCCCCCCCCCGAGCGAAGTGATCCAGGGTAGAGCAGGCTCACAAAGGATTGTGTTTGAGATGGCAAAGCAAATCTATCGAAGCAGACAATTGCAATGAAACTAATGGCAGGGATATATTTTAACCAGCAACACAGATGTACCACCCGCCACCAGAGAGTGATCGTGCCATGGCAGTACATTTGTCAATGGGTTTGTTGTGATCGAGCTGCATACAAGTACCAAACAGAGTGGAACTTACAACTAACAAACAAAACATTGCACATTACCTTGTAGAACCATTGGCTCAACAGTCAAAATGATACTGTGCACATCAGCTTGCGACTGTGTCTTGTCCACTTCACTCCAAGAGTAGGTACCAGAATCCTGGACCACAGCATTGTCAATGCTTAGATCACCTACGTTATTCAGAAAGAGAGAAAAGATTTTTTAAACAGAAGCATGCCAACACTGTAAAATGTAATGACATAATTATGACCAGAAAGCAAGCAGACCAAGATTATACTATACCCAGCAGCATACATATATGGAAGACGTAGTGCAAACTGGTTGCCCATAACTGCACAGCACAGAATATCCTCCCAAGCGATATTACAAAAGCGAAAATAACACAATATCTCAGTGAGTGTTAGAACCCATTGAATACACTAACGACATGCTCAGCGTGCGTCATGTATTACTACTACTACTACTACTGGGCATTGTGGTCACTTTGACAGCTAAGCATTATGCCCTGCTAGCGGCTCATCCTGTACAATTTCCCATCCTATGGTAATGTAGCTATGGTAAGGCCAACCAAAATGGCATCACTCCTGTATGTGGTTGACTATCGGCTTTGACTTTATTTCTTGTCTTCGTCTTCACTGCAAACCCAATATATTTGCTTGCCCCTGGCCTGTAAGCTTCACCCTCTTTCCCTCCTGCTGTATCCACTTGATATAAATCTTTTTACCACTGGTCAATTGCTTCACTAGCTGGCTACCGCACTCCTTGGCAAGGACATAATTAGCATAAAATCATGCCCGTCTGACAATATTTTGGGGAAATCATTGAATTCGGGAGATCAACAGTTGAATTTTTGATTAATAACCCTTAGAGGGGAGGTCCAGTAAAAAAGAAAACAATTCTGGGTAAGGAGTTTGGGCGCGGAGTAGAATGGCGTTATTCCCCAGTGTTTCTGACAAAGAATATTTCTGTTTGCACATGACGTCTTGAGTCCGTAACACACCCTCTGCAATTTCATAGCTTGCAGCTACGTCAAAAATAGTGCATGAAACAATAGTGCCAATGCCATTTCAAATTATTTGGCGACCGATCGATGGTAGTACGAGCTACCCCGAAGACATACCTCCATGTGAGAATGGGGATAGAGCCATGGCTGACCTTCATGAGTTCAGTCTGCGGCTCAGAATCTTGGTATTCTGCTACATAAATGACAACGGGGGCCGGTCAAGAGTGAGCTGCGACAAATGAAGAAGAAGCATCTACTGCAGACGAGGCCGATATAATTGTCATCTCTAGAGACTAGAGTCGACAAATTCGGGAAAGGTGATGCGAGTGCTCTAAATGGTTTTCGATACCAACTCGTTTGGACTCCAGTGAGGTGCCATACAGTCGTTTATTGTGCAAGCATGGCGTATTTCGGACGTAGCTCCATTGGAGAGCAGTGGAGGCTCGTTGGACCACAGGCACGACTCCGCGATTCAAGTCTCACAACATTATGAGATCTTCACGTTTTAGGTCCGGTAGCTGTTCACTGTTTTGTCACTTGTCAGGGTGATGGACTCATCAATGTAGCATAAATAAGGCTGGACTATTTCATGCGGAAAACTAAAATATTTCTTTCTCAAAGCATAACAACCAGGCGAAGCACACCTTCCCAAACTAGATGCGAATGATACGAGTAGTACAGTACTACCATTGGTAGTACAGTTCTACCATTGGTAGTTCAGTTCTACCAATAGGGACCTTTCGCACCCCGCGTACGGATACGAAACGAATGCTGATTCGTCACCTGGGTTCGAGGATTCGTCAGAGTCCCTGCGGAGAACTCGTTTTCACGAATGGAAGCCTCTTCATTCGTGGCACGCTCCGAATCCGTCAGGTACACATTTATTTGGATAGGTACACATGTTTTGCAAGGTACACATTTTTCCCTTGATTCCATGATCCATGCACGTGTGCGTGTAAAAACCCGTACGCCAAGCTACCGGCGCCCGCGGCCGTATTCGTAGTTGCCATGCGCATTTGCATGACGACTTGCGAAACCTGAAATCTGTTTTCAACGAAACGATTACGAGCCGAATCAAACTTTCGTTTCGCATTCGTTTCGTAGCAAATGCGAAAGGTCCCTATTGGTAGTTCAGTTCTACCATGGGTAGTACAGTTCTACCATTGGTAGTACAGTTCTACCATTGGTAGTACAGTTCTACCATTGGTAGTACAGTTCTACTATTGGTAGTACAGTTCTACCATTGGTAGTACAGTTCTACCATTGGTAGTACAGTTCTACCCTTGGTAGTACAGTTCTACCATTGGTAGTACAGTTCTACCATTGGTAGTACAGTTCTACCATTGGTAGTACAGTTCTACCATTGGTAGTACAGTTCTACCATTGGTAGTACAGTTCTACCATTGGTAGTACAGTTCTACCATTGGTAGTACAGTTCTACCGATTGGTAGTTCAGTTCTACCATTGGTAGTACAGTTCTACCCTTGGTAGTACAGTTCTACCCTTGGTAGTTCAGTTCTACCATTGGTAGTACAGTTCTACCATTGGTAGTACAGTTCTACCATTAGGGACCTTTCGCATTTGCTACGAATCGAATGCGAAACGAAAGTTTGATTCGTCTCGTAATAGTTTCGTTGAAAACAGAACTCAGGTTTCGCAAGTCGTAATGCAAATGTGCATGGCAACTACGAATAAGGCCGGTACCTTGGCGTACGGGTGTGTTCGAGCACACGTGCATGGATCATGGAATCAAGGGAAAAAATGTGTACTGTGGCAAATGGGAGCCAGTTTATCGTTGATCAACATTGACCAGAAAATTTGGTGCATACAATTTAATTCTCCCTGCCACGTAGGTATAACTAGTGGTGGGTGCTTTGCCATTTTGTGTAAAATGTGTAAAATGAGCCCCTGAATGGACGAGGAGGACAGTGAATTGCTTCCGCAGGGCCTTTGGACGACGTCAGGCCGTCTTGCCATCACTAGAGACAGTAATGAAGAACAGTAGGTCACGGAATGCACTCTGTGAGAACGAAAACATCGCTGCGATGCTATGCTATCTATCCAATTCCACCGTATAACACAGCCACTAGTTACAAATACAAAAACACGGCTTTCGCAACATACAATGCAGTTCACTCCTCTGTTGACAGATTAATTTTCATCCACTAGTAATCCTTGAAGTGATATCTATCAACTTCAGAACATTGATGACCGAATATTCCAGTTTGTGATGCCATTTTACAAACTTGTTAAAAAATGACACACCAATTATTTGAATCCTGAGAATACTGTGAAAGTAGGACATGATTCAAGACACTTTCCAAAGTGGGATCATTCCCATTTTTGGACACAACGGGCATGAAGGATAGCACTTCCACTTGCAACAATTCATTTGGACGTAGCTTGTCTAGAAGTGACTGAAAACACGTCATTTTACAACCATGTTAAAAAAAGCCAAACCACCTCGTACAGTACGACTCGTACATGCGCATGCATCACTCACTGCACTGACTGACTGTACATTCACAGCGCTGATCGATGCTTGCACGGCCGGCTATGTCCAACCAAAGAGCGCAGCTGTTGCAACGACGGGTTACGTACCAACAAGTAACAAACATTAGTTGTCGTTGGAGTACGGCAACTTGAACCAGAAGAGAATAAAACGATCGACTGGAGAATGTCTCAGTGTTGTGGAGAGTGTTGTTGAACTGCTTGGAGCGTTTGGCCAGCTTGCTGTTGCGTAGATTTTAGTGTTGTACTGCTCGAAGAAGTCTTCTGAATTTTATCGCGATGAGTATCGCAGTGGCTCAGCAGTTCGAAGAGAAAGTCTTCCGATGATCCCTCTTCGAACGTGCCATCCTTTCTCCCAGTACTGGTACTTACCTTATGGTTCTTTTTGATGCCTTGATTCCTTCTTACATTCCTTGATTCCTTCTTTTATTCTTTGGTTTCTTCTCTCATTCTTCATGCACTCTGCGCCCAGCACTTCGAGGCTTCGTAAAATAAAATTAATTTTCGGTGGAAGGTAAAAATCGCTAAAATTAATCGCCGCTAACTGGTCCAGTTTGCTAAAACGCTAAATTTAGCCGCCGCGAAAGTTTGTCGTTTTACAGTACCTGGCAAAACATGTGTACCTTGCAAAAAAATGTGTACCTGACGGATTCGGAGCGTGCCACGAATGAAGAGGCTTTCATTCGTGAAAACGAGCTCTCCGCGGCGACTCTCACGAATCCTCGAACCCAGTTGACAAACCAGCATTCGTGTCGTATCCGTACGCGTGGTGCGAAAGGTCCCTATTGGTAGTACAGTTCTACCATTGGTAGTACGTCACCGGTTACAAGACAACCCCCCTCATTAGTAGACAACTATACATAATCAGGTGATGCCTGAAATGCGTGCATGCCAGTCCGGATGGCAGATAATACTCGTTCTAAGAGAAAACAGTTGAGACCCCCGGGGTTGTCTAGCAAGCACAGTAGACATTTACATGAAAAGTATGCGTCTTACGACTTGTACCTCACCACTCACTTTGCATGCATGACAGTGCGGGAGAAGTCTTGCACTATTCCGTGGCATAGGTCTCTTGACTGCATGCAACAATGTACGCATGCAGCAAGAGCACCTAAAAGTCCAACTCAAAACCAACTATAAACCTCAGTGTATGAATGTTGTTTCAAAACCTGAATCGAATGGTTTTTGTCGCCGAAAAAGCTACTACAAACAGTTCTTCAATCAAACGCGTTACAAACGGTTCTCCAATCAAACGCGTTACAAACGGTTCTCCAATCAAACGCGTTCCGAACATTCAGGGCCCACCATGACCATGCAAAAAACAAAAAGCGTCAACCACCATTTTGAAAAAATGGCGACTGCCGCTAGGCCAGAGTTTGTGCAGTCATAGCGCCTACGCACCTGAGTTCATGCTGATCGATGTACAACGATATACAGTCGAGTCGTAAAATACCGGTATTTTACGACTCCCTAGTCTAGGATGTACAGGAAAGGGCCAGTGCAGAAGCGAATCTTGTTGTTTGATGCCGGGAAAGACACACGGAGAAGACTTCCTTTCCCCAAGCCATCTTGGTCATTTTTCTCAATCCTCTGGTGCGTGTCGTCCAAGATACGTCCGTGCGGTACCGGTGAACTGGAGTCTTGGCATCTACAAGAATTTGCTGCACCTAGCTAACCAATGTTGTCAGTAGAACTAAACGTTTCCTGATAGCAATTCGACACAATCTTTTCTGTTTGGCCTCGCAGCTTTCACCCTGCGAGTGTGGAGTTTCCTGGCCACAAATGAATTCCTTAGTCATGACCATGATTACAAGTGACTGGTATGATCCCTGACTGGCCTGAGTCCTTAGCTTAAAGGGGAAGTCCGGTGAAAAATTTAAATTTCACAGTCCGTAGACTTCGGGTCGCTGAGTCGAATGGTCTTTGTCCGAGGAGGCTGCAGCCTATGGTTCGTCAGATACGCCCAATCGAACATGCGCGAATTTGAGCGCACATCACCCAGATCCAGGTGATGACGTCACCGCGTGCAGCCAGGTAGCCACACCATCTAGTTGTGTACAAAATGGCCATATTCGGAGCGCGTTCGATTGGGAAACCATTTGTCGCAGCTTCTTCGGACCAAGAACATTCGATTCAGTGTTACAAACACTACGTACCCTGTGATTTTCGGCTCGGTAAACCTCGAGGTTATACCGTATTTTAGCCGTATCCGAATTGGACTTTTTCCGTCAGGATGTAATGCCCGGCCTCTACGCCTCTACAGCAATGCGCTAGCTGTAGTGCAGTCAACAAACTCATCACACACGGAACTACTCCCGCACTGCCGTGCTGGGGTAGCTACAACAAGACTCAAGTCACAAGACTCAGAAAACTAGTCAACACACAGACTTGTCATGTATTACACTCGTATCAGTTCATGTAGTCAGAGAATGAGCGTTTCTCCTTGCCGGTGCCGGTGGTTGTGCTTTGAGAAAGAAAATTTTAGTTTTCCGCTCCAGTCCCGCCTCATGATTTTATGCTACAGCGATGAGAGCACAACCATGACAAGTGACAAAACAGCGAACAGCTCCCGGACCTAGAACTTTCAGATTCCATAGCATTGCGAGCGAAGAGCCGTGCCCGTGGTTCAAAGAGGCTGCACTGTTCTCCAATTGAGTAGTCCGAATGCCAAGTTCGCACCAAAACATCACCATGTGCCAGGCTACTGGAGTCTAAGCGAATGGGTATGGAACAACATTTAGAGTACTCGCATCACTCTTCTCCATTTTGGCGACCCTGCTCTCCAGCGATCTGATAATTGTATCAGCCTCGTCTGCAATAGCTGCTGCTTCTTCATCAGTCGGAAACTCAGTAGCGCTCACTTTTGACCGGCCCGTGCCGCCATTTCTTCAGCTGAATACCGAGGTTCTCAGCCCCAGACCAAACTCATGAAGGTCAGCCATGGCTGCATCCTCACTCTCACAAGGAGTTAGGTCTTCGGGTTCGCTTGCACCACCTAATATCAGACGCCAAATCATTTGAAATAGCACTGACACTATTGCTTTCACGCACTCCTTTTGACCTACCTGCACGCTATGACGTTGCGGAGGGTGTGGCGCGGCCGCATGACGTCATGACGCAGCCCCCGAAACTCAGTTTTTCAAACGGAAATATCTCGAGAATGCTTTGTCAGAGACACGTGGGACCAACACCATTCGACTCAGCGCCCAAAACTCTACCGACCCTGAAATTTAAATTTTTCACCGGACTTCCCCTGATTATTATATTTTGTCTTCATTCACTTGTTCGCACGTCTTCGAGTTTCAGCGATTTCACCATCCGATCTCAGCCAAGCGAAGGCCAAATCGACAAATTCGAGACGGTAACCCTCCAAAGACACACGTTCTGAACACGAATCCACAATGGCGTAATGTCTAAAACCAACGAACACAGCCAAGCACCCCACAATTGCAAGAAACAGCCCGTTTTGCCGTGCGCCGATTGGTCAAATCCAAATGATCGTTATTGACGCTTTGTACTGGCGTAGTGAGCCCTGACATTGCTCATTTTGTACACAACTAGATGATGATGTAGCTACTAGGGTGCATGGTGTGACATCATCAACTGGATTTGGCATCATCACCTGGAGTTGACATCATCACCTGGATTTGGCATCACCACCTGGATTTGGCATCATCACCTGGATCAGGTAAACTGTGCGCTCGCAATCCCACAAGTTCCATTGGGCACGTCTGACAAACCATTGACCGTACCCTCCTTAGACAAAGGCCACTCGACTCAGCGAGCCAAACTCTACGAACCCTGAAAGTTTCATTTTTCACCGTACTTTCCCTTAATGTGTAGTATTGAAGAGGAACATATACATGAACACACCACGTGGAACAAACCCATGCAACTTTGCTGTCCCAATAAATCAACTCGTCCCTGAGAACTTACCATTGGAGAGAACAGCCAGACGGGCATCATTCAGATTCTCCACTGGAGTATCATTCTTCTTCCATACCACTTTACCACTCTGATCTTCTTCGTCCTCATAATCATTGTGGACATCATCAGATTTGTGGTAAAGCTTTGGAAGCACTGCAGTGCTTCCCAGGGCTGCCATCACTCGATGGCTGCCGTGCTTGTCGTGAAGTTCGGGATCAGTTCCATACTCCATTATGGATGCCACTGTACTTCCTGCATAGCACACATTTGATAAAACAAAGCATAAGCACAGTGCGAGTTTCTGGGAGTTTCCCACATCAAGTGCCAGCGTACTGGGAGTGAATTTGAACATGCCGCTCGGTCTGTTTTGAGCAAAGCGCAGTTTGCGGAACCTTAATATTAATACAGCATGTTCATGGTAACTAAAGGCAAACCACTGTAATGTTGGCTCCTCTTGAAGGTCTTATCTCGTACAAGACAAGTTGGCCTTACGACGTTTCATCTACCCTTGCTTCGGAGTAACGACCCACGTTGAAGTCAACTAGACGTGTAAAAGTGGACAATATCGCCCTGGGCCTCAATCCTGGAAAAACGATTCTCCTCCCCAGCAAGTGGAACTCACCGCCCATACATGTAGAACGTTGATACAACAGCCTGCAAATCAGTTTAGGCAGTACTTAAACAGATGTGCATTGCCCTAACACGGTGTATGAGAAAGATGACAAGATTCAACAAAACCAAATAATATAAGAAAAAAGGACCAAAGGGCTACCAGTCACTGTATAATTGTCCACTAACACCACCAGTTACTTTAGAATCAGCTCATGCCATAACATTCCACCTAACTGCACCTAATTGAGCTAGCTGACTGACGTTCCACACCTAACTCAGCTGATTGTAAAGTAACTGGTGAAAGTGGATACTTATAGCGTAACTTGTAGCTCTTTTGTCCTTTTTTCTTCTTATCAATTAATCCGTTTTTCTTCTTATCAATCAATCCGTTTTCTTCTTATCAACTAATCCGTTTTTCTTCTTATCAATCAATCCGTTTTTCTTCTTATCAATTAATCCGTTTTTCTTCTTATCAATTAATCCGTTTTCTTCTTATTAATTAATAAGTTTTTCTTCTTATCAATTAATCCGTTTTTCTTCTTATCAATTAATCCGTTTTCTTCTTATCAATTACTCCGTTTTTCTTCTTCTCAATTAATCCGTTTTCTTCTTATCAATTAATCCGTTTTTCTTCTTCTCAATTAATCCATTTTTCTTCTTATCAATTAATCCGTTTTCTTCTTATCAATTAATCCGGTTTTTAATCTTCTCAATTAATCCGTTTTTCTTCTTATCAATACGGAGCATCAGCAAATCGAATATTCGAATGAAATTCGAGAATCGTCACGAAAAGCACTCAATCAGTCGAAACTAGGGCTTTGTTCGACTGAAAAATGCCCGCAAACAGAAAATACTTTTCGAATACTTTTCGAATGCTCCGCGCGTGCTCTAGTACACGGCGCACTACGAGTACTCATTCTTGCGCATGTAGCTACTAGTTCTTACTAAAGTACTAGTCAGGACTTCTTGTCAATCTTGACGCTTTCCTCTCTCTCGAACTGTGAAACGTTTTATCAAGTGTGCATTTTGTTTCATTTCAAGTATCCTGGAATCATGGCTTTGTCACCAACTACCAGCCCCGGTATGCCTCCTGCTCCCAGTACTGCAGTAGCCCTGCTGGCGTTGTCTCGGCATCTGCGTCTATCGTGAGTTCCCCGCAGGGAGAGGGCAACTCAAAGTGTGCCAAATATTTGAGGGTCGACCTTACCATGGATCTCATTCTGCTGAGGCAGTGTAGGGCCCACCCTCACCTATTCGTCCGCAAATCTCCTGATATGCAAGGGATAGCGGAGGAGCTCGGCCGAGATCCGCCTTTTCAAGGGGTCTCCAAGAGAGATCCTATCGCCAATAGCCTGAATCGGATGAAGCATCCGCCGCTTCGCGTCATCCCCAAAGGCAATGAGAAACAACAGCAACTCCGTTCATTGCACATCCCAAAATCCCAGTCCTCAACTGCTCAAGCTAAAAAAAACTCGATTCGAAAATACTGGACTGCGCTACATGCTGAACCTCTTTTTCATTCGAATTTTCTCTCTGATTTTCTTTTTGCCATTCGAATAATCAAATCGAAAATTCGATTTGCTGATGCTCCGTAATTAATCCGTTTTTCTTCTTATCAATTAATCCGTTTTCTTCTTATCAATTAATCCTTTTTTCTTCTTCTCAATTAATCCGTTTTTCTTCTTATCAATTATCCGTTTTCTTCTTATCAATTAATCCGTTTTCCTTCTTATCAATTAATCCGTTTTTCTTCTTATCAATTAATCCGTTTTTCTTCTTATCAATTAATCCGTTTTTCTTCTTATCAATTAATCCGTTTTCTTCTTATCAATTAATCCTTGCCTCTCCACCCGAGTATAAGTAAATACTAGAGTTGAAACTCGGGTATTGAGCCAATAATAACTGACTGTATTTAGTATCTAGTTACAGTGGTGGAGAGTTACTCTTAACTCGTTTCCATATGTCCTTTTCCTTTCTACTAGAGGTGATTTATTTTATTTATTTATTCAACATCTTTTGGCTTCCGATGGCAGCCAAAACGATAAGATGTGGGTGATAGCCAACCATGGTAAAAGAAGGAGAAGACTATATACATGAAAAGGAAACAGCCGAAAAGCTATATTGATTGGTTTTTCATTATGGTGCACGCAGTCATCAGCAGGCCCTCAGGTTTACTTTCAATTCTTTCAATGATGCAGAAGTCTTCACTGAGTCGGGAAGTTGTAGCCACGCACAGTAGCCCTGGAAGAATGGCGATCTTGTGAATTGGGTTGATATGGCCTTGGGAAGAGACACTTTGTTTCTGGTTGAGCGGCCCGAGACAAACCAGTTATAAGGCTTTATATGTTCAGGAACACAACCCAGGAGCATTCGATGAACCAATATACAGAGGCAAGTTAGTTGGCGTTCCTCTAACAGAGTAGTCTGAGCTAATAAGTACAACTCATTACCGACAGGAACTCACGAGTGAAATGAAAAAAACTAACGCCTTCTTGCTCGACACCGTAACGAAGTGGAGATCGCGGCTGGAACACGGAGGCACGCGGAACACGCTGCCTGAAGCTGGCCAGGCTCGTACTTGCGGTGCGCGTCCCCATAGATCCACGCAGCGTGAAAACAGTCATAATTATTTCGGTTCCGCTCGCACTGCAAGATGAAACAATTCAATCATCGTGCAACCAGCGCAGACTCCGAATCAGTATGTCGCTGCTACCTGGGGCTTCACGAGGTGTTTGTCGTGCTGGAAACAAAGTGTCTCTGTAAGTTTGTATCCCTGGTTATGGTTTGGCCTGGAAAGCTGTATATAAGTGGTGCTTTTCAGGCACAATCTTCCTCAGCCTACTTAAGCTCAGCTGATGAGGGGTGAACTTTCGAAAACACTGTGTATTGAGCAGGGAGTGGTGCTTTCTTCCATGTCTGCCGAGTGGAAGGTACGGCGTGCTCCTGGTGTGCTCCGGATGGCGGTCGTGAGTCAGTCAAGTGTCAAGTTCGGCAAGAAGCATGTGTTCCTAGTTGGAACAATCAACTCCATGACCTCTGTATTGTGTTTATAAAAGGGGGTGTGTCAACTGACAACCGCTCTCTTCAGTTGCTATTCACTCTTGGCGTATGCGCTGGATGAAGAATTCTTTTATTAGTGATGTCGAAAATCATGATGTTTGGGGCCAGTCTCCCATCGTCCCATTTTTTAAATTTACAATGCAGTGACATGATGTCCACCACTTTTCTGGGTGTACATGTACATGTATATTGTTTATGGGAATTTAGAATCAACTCGTAAAAACTCCAAGTCAATCTCCCATTGACACACACCTCGTTTATTGAACATAATCATATCCTATCCAATAAAAACAGTTCATAAAAACAGTTCATAAAAACAGTTCATAAAAACAGCTTTTTAGGATCGGACCCAATCCGCATAACCAAGAGAGCTAGCTCCCTTGGCTGCTGTTGGAATATGCAAGAATGGGCCTTCCAGATAAGGTCTAACAAGGAGCAGTGGCTATAATAATAATTATGAAATGAACACCGGTAACCATGGAGACAGACCACACTCTCATTATAGATACTGGTTATAAATAGACCGAATAAGGAAAATGATCTGATAGCCTATGATTATGAAGACTAAAAGAAATTGAACCAATGACAACAAATACTCGTCCAGCACACGGGTTGTCATAGCAACACAAATAACAGCTGTCCGCTAATTTTGTTGTTGGAGATTGAGTAGGAGTTTTTACTGGTTGATTCTAAATACAATAAATGCTCCGGCCTTGGGTTTATGACCAATAAAAACTAATTATAAAAACCTCGGGGGACCTCGGTTTTTATAATAGTTTTTATTGGTCATAAACCCTCGGCCTCCTCATTTATTGTATACATAAACACTGTCCATAGAAAGATAGGCTATGCCTCAGTTTTATAGGAGTGCTTTAATAAAATTATTCCCAAAAACACTACGGCATCGGTGTTCATTGAACTTCATTCTATACATATTTTCATGAGTGCATTAGCACGAGGGAAATGAGAGGGACACGGTATACCCAGAGTACGAATCGTATCATCCATATATCCCATGTACGGTCCCAAATACTAGTAGAGTGAGATCAACACTGAGAAGATCCCTTATTTACTCTTGGAGTGACCCGTGTGAAGTGAGTGGGGTATATGTTTGACCCCAGCGAGGTATATCGCTCTTTTTCACTCTCTTATTATTAACCACCACAGAAACTTGTGCTCTCTAAGCTGTCAAATATCAGCATAATTCACGGCTTATACTAGTATTGAGCACTTAGCCCGAGGACTTAGAGCCTTTTCCTCAAATTAGAAAAAATCAGAACTGAAAAAATAAATCTGAAGCCAAATGGTTGGACTTGAACCCAAACTGTCAGATTCTCAGTCAACAAACTTGGAGAACAGAGTAAAATTGACAACTGAAAACTTCTGTTTACAGAGAAGTAATGTCCAATGTAAACAGCATATGTGCATACAATTTACAATTATGGACTCAGATGGAGAGTAGTGGTTGCGACTTCGGCGATAATTTGTAAGAAAGGGTCAAGTGTGAAGTAAAGTCGGCGGAATAGCGCGAGCTCCGGTGTGGGGAGCAAACCCTTTCTTTCAGATGGAGAGCCAAGGTTTAATTTATACAAAAGAGAAAGACCAAGGAACTACAAGTTACGCTATACTGTCCATTAACACCACCAGTTACTAAACAATCAGCTCATGCGATAACATTGCACCACACTGACTGACGGTACTGACGTTCTACAACTAACTGGCCAACAGCTCTAGCACATCTTGGATGCGCACTCCAACAGCCTTCCAACTTGGAAGGTTCTAAGTTATAGAAATAACATAAGGAGGGGAAGGTGAGCGCAACCAAGATAAGCACGAGCTGAAAGTCTCAGCTGTGAAGGACGTTCGCGGATGTTCATGCATGTCGATGACGATACTGGCAAGACCATTGGACAATACGGTCAAACCACGATTCCAGAACGCAAAGCAACATTCCACACAACTTGTGTGGCTGAAGAGATGCAAAGATCAATAAAATGAATGCTTATCTTGGTTGCGCTCACCTTCCCCTCCTTATGATATTTCTATAACTTAGAACCTTCCAAGTTGGAAGGCTGTTGGAGTGCGCATCCAAGATGTGCTAGAGCTGTTAGCCAGTTAGTTGTAGAACGTCAGTACCGTCGGTCAGTGTCGTGCAATGTTATCGCATGAGCTGATTGTTTAGTAACTGGTGGTGTTAGTGGACAGTAGAGCGTAACTTGTAGTTCCTTGATCTTTCTCTTTTGTATAAATTTACAATTACATTAGTATTCCTTTCTTCCAATGAACAAAGCTAAAACAGTTTAAGTAGGCTATGTCGTGAGTTCCCTTCGGGAGCGGACACGATAATTTACTATTTTTTTTACTTTATGTCGTGATAAATCTAGTATTGCCCTCATAATAGGTGAATGCGTGAAATATAGACCTCGTGAAAGACCTCGGCTTCACCTCGGTCTTTTACTCGTTCTCTATTTCATAATTATATATGATGTCTTTAATTACCCTCTTTAATTCGTGATGCAAGCCATATATTTAAAATTGATCGAAGAAGGATAGATTTGCCATCACTGTGGATAAGAGTCATACTGTAGCTCAGTTGGTTAGAGGATTGCTCGTGAATAGCAAGGTCTCTGGCTCGAGTCCCGGTGGTGGGACTGATGATTTTTTTCTTTCTTTCTTGTCTGGCTTGCAAGTGTTGAGTTTCGGAGAGAAAAGAGCAGGACGAGACATGTGGCCTCTAATTGCAAATATAGATCCATACAACTTCTTTCTCCTAGATGGCAAATATTGTCGTGATGAAGTGAACTTTGGGGTATTTTAAGGGCTGAGTGAAAAGTCAGGAATTTGAGAAGAAATCCTGTATTGTACAGGGATTATGCATAGCGTTTCACTCAGCAACTTACTCCTTTCAAGGCTAACATTCTTGGACATTTTCCTCATATGCATGGCGCCAACAGATCCAACACGGGCCAGAGGTTTTAGTAATCTGTGCCCTGAAATGATTGAATGAGAGCCAGACCTGCAGATAGGACCATCAAAAGCAGAATACGTTTGATACATGGTATACGCAACAATGCCGTTGCATGGTTAGGCAAATTGCACTGGTTACCGTATTGATCACTACTGTACTTGAGACTGGTACACATCAAGAACAATAGCAAATTTTATGATACTTTTCCAAACGTATCGTAGTTCTAAACAACATTTTCAGTACTCTGGCAATGTTGTCTAAAATGACGGTCTACCGCAGTCTTGGTCTAAAAATAGGATTATAAAATCGAGTTGTTCAGCAACTCCGGCAGCAGAGTGCAATACCAAAATACACTTTTTTGAAATTGTCACCACCGTCGGTTTCTGGAACCTACTACCAGAGACTACTAGCAGAGGTTGAAAAATAAACGAGAGGGCTTGGAAGCCCAGAGCCCTCGCTATGCTTTTAGGTACTGTAAAAGCCGTGTATACAACGAAGTGCTAACTCTAACGAGTTAACGAGGAGAAATCTGTAGTTAAAATATAAATCGTTATACAGAAATCGATACATATACTGTCGAATTTAGCGTTCAGAATGAGTGAGAATCGTTACCTTTGGTACACGTAAACCAGTCAATTTTGGGAAATCGTTATATATGAGCCTCGTTAGAATAATGGCTTTTACAGTAATCATGTGTGTTGTTCGAAATGATAGAAACGTCTTTGCAATAACATATTATTTTTAAGTTAAAAAAATAAACTTCAACTAAAACTTCCAGACAAAACAGCACGGACAATCAAGACTTGGTTGCTGCTAGTTAAGTAGCGGCAGCAAACAAGCCTTGATTGTCCTTGGTGTTCTGTATTACGCTCTGGCTCCGCCATGGTGTTGAGCACTGTGAGCACACTGGGTACATCCTCCGGTAACTTCCAGACAGGTAAATTATAACAAGTAATAATATGCTATGGTGCTAGTTTTTATCGTTTTCTTGATATTTTCCATGCCTTTGCAGTGAAAACTTGTCAACACCTTCTTAGTTGGGCCAGGAAAAATAGCTCAGAAGGTTAGAGCATTGCTCATGACAAACAAGGTTCGAGTTCTGGTGGGGTTAACATTTTTCTCTTTCCAGGCAGTTCTTTTCTCTGACAGTTTGCATTGAAGAGAATTGGTGAGCACGCATGCTCATTCCCTGGGGACTGCAAATTCACAACTCATTTCATTTCACAGAATCATTTTCAACGTTTCGGCAAATTGCCATCATCAGGATGCAATATGAAGTGGAAGTCTGCCAAGGAGCAGTTATATACACTAATTTGGTGTTCTTAGGTGTTGATAATATTTCTATGACTACATATTATGTTATCTCAGTGCTAGAAATATGACATGTCTAAAACTAGTGAAAGATCACAAGTTTTCATTGACTCGTATGCTGGGTGTTGGTAATAAGTTAGCACAGCGCAGATGTCACCAGATAACTTGAGAAATGTCTGAACAGGTTTCTCGCAAGCAATACACGAATGTGACCATGTCAGTGTTTTCCAGAAAATACTGTCCCCTAGATAGCCAGTGTGGTGTGACTGTTTTAGAGTAATGACCACCCAGCACTGGTGTTGATCTCTGGGCCTTCGTTTCTGATCTCCACTGCCTCTCGCAATTTGCGGCTTGCCCTGTCGCTGGCTCTTGCAACCACAGACACTGCCGAGAAGATGCTGCCCCCAACACCTAGGTTGAGCCCTGCATGCTTAGCTCGCATGTGGTCACCCCATGGCTTATCCACAGTGCGCCTACGAGCTTCACCGTTGTGTTCCTCCAGTCTCGTCTCCAGTGTGCGACCCGTCTCTCCGATGTATTTTTCCCTGCACAACTTGCATTGCAGCCGGTATATCACATTCTTCTTCAAACATATTTTCACTCCACCCAATTTTACAAGTCAAACACGGTCCCATTGGGCGTCCTCTTCTCTTTGTCTTTCTGATGTTGGGCTCCTTAATGCAGCTGGGCGGACTTTGTGCTGAGTGACAGAGCTGACGTTTGAGGCTACCCGCATGCTCGTAAACCACCCGGACTGGTAACTTGTGCTTCCGGATAGCTTTGCTGACGCTGTGATGCACCCTGTCCGACTTATATGGCAGCTTCAGAAACGCACAACACGGATTACCTCGGCGGCAACGCTTGGGTTTCCTTGCTGCTTCTCGGGCATTGATGATGAGGCTCTCTGGATAGTGGTTGAGTTGAAGTTGGTCTTGAATTTTCTGTTCACTTTCTTTACACATAGTGTCATTGGAAGACAGACGTTGTGCTCTCAAGAATTGAGACTTGGCAACAGCAAGTTTGATGTGATGGGGCACAGCAGATGCGTAGTCTATCAGCAATCAACTATTGCATGGCTTTTGGAAGAGCTTGTACGTCATCTGGCCCGACTAGCTGTTGTATGGCAATCGTAACGTCCATGTAATCAATCCAGCCTTTGCTACTGCTGAGCTCGTGGGTGAACTTGAGTCGGTCGTTTCCTGCATTGAAGTGCTGTATTAGCTCCAAGAGGCGTTCCTCACCGTGGGTCCAGAGAATGATCACATCATCAATGTACCGCTTGTACAGCACAGGCAGAACCGGTGAATCGGCAAGAAGGCGCGTTTCCAGAGAGTGCATGAACAATATGGCGAATGGCGGTGCTAGATTATTGCCCATTGCAACTCCCTCTAGCTGGTGGTAAATTTGTCTCCCGAAACTGAAGAAATTGTTACTGAGAACAAATTGAAGCAAGTCCTTGACTTCGCACACGTCAAGACCGAACATGTTGATTCTTTTGAAATTCTGTTCCAATATTTCTCCCACTGCGTTGACTCCTTCTTCAATTGGAATGCTCGGGTACAGGCCCACGACATCCAAAGTGGCAAGAATTGTCCCCTCTGGAGCTTTGAGATCAGGGAATAAAGCGCAGATGTCATCAAGGGCTTCATTCGTATAAGTGAGGTGTGCTGGGTCGAAGTCTAGCAACTGGTGTAGAATGCGTTCTGGTACGATTTATATGCCCGTGACAGGACTATCACATGCTGACACGACGGGTCGTAGGGGTAGGTTCTGTTTATGATCCTTTGGGAGACCATAGAACTCGGGGAATCTTGTATCATTGGGGAGAATCGACTTCAGTAGCTTTGAATCCATGTTCTTGCATTTTTCCCCAAGGACAGCTTTCACCCGTGTCTCGAACTCGGTTATTGGTAGGTCAACCTTTTTCGTACGTAGCGCTATCTGATAGCAATGTTGCCGAAACGTTGAAAATGATTCTGTGAAATGAAATGAGTTGTGAATTTGCAGTGCCCAGGGAATAAGCATGTGTGCTCACCAATTCTCTTCGAGTTATGAAGCTGCTGAGGATGCCTCACCGCTACTTAGTTTGCATTGAATTTGAAAAAAACCCACACATGTACCATCAGTATGTGTGGCACATGTTGTGAGCTGCCTTTGGAGAGGTAACATGTCTGCGCCTTCTAGGATCAACCTGGGCCTATAGGTTAGAATGGTTAGTGCATTACTCATAACACGCAAGGGCTCTGGTTCAAGTCCTGGTGGGGGTGGACATTTTATTCTCTTTCAGGCAGCTCACTTTCCTAACAGTTGAAAAATATAGAAGATCAATTGCTCTGGAAGATAGTTTTAAATGAGAGAGCTTGGAAGCTCAGGGCCCTACGCTATGCTTTTTTTGCCTAGCGAGAGTCAACTTTCTCTTTCCAGTCGAGGGTAATACGACACCGTCTACCACCTTGATGACCTAGGGAAAAAAAGCATAGGGATGTCATATTTTTTTCATTTCTCCGATTTTTTCTCAAGACATAACCTGGGATTCGAACCCGCCCTATCGCCCTGTGCATGCATTCCCCCGATACACTTTGCATACATACTCATTCTTCCAAGTTGCTTCACGTTATGATCTTGCATTTGAAAGCCCTATTTGAATATTGTGGCCAGCTGTTTGTGGCCAGGCTCAGCTGTCATTTATGGTACTGTGCGGTATGGGACAGGTACGGTCGAGGCTAATATGACTTTGTCTACCACCTTGATGACCTGGGAAAAAAAAGCATAGGATGCTAATTTTCCCCCGATACACTTCATACATACTCATTCTTCTAAGTTGCTTCACGTTATAATAATCTTGCATTTGAAAGCCCTATTTGCATATTGTGGCCAGCTGTTTGTGGCCAGCTGTCTTTGATGGCACGGTATGGTACGGGACAGGTACAGGATAGCGCCAGGCATGTCGATGGCACAAACAAACAAACAAATAAACACCAAATTTAAGCTGTGTGGACCCTGGCTAGCGCCAGGCGTTACTGAAGTAACGTCTTTTGCATAGCTACGGGAATAAAACTAACTTACCTTTTCTGCTTGTACAAGAGGACCGCTAGACACAGGAGAATGACCAGGACTACACCAATAATCGCTCCCACGACTGTACCAACAGTGCTGAAAGGTGTAGTCTTCTCCGGTACTTGATCTGAAAAGGTACATAACGAAGAAACACATACATCAATTCGCCAAATCCATTCGGAATAGACACAAATTCAAATAAGCCTACAGTAACAAAAACTGTGGACTTGATAGCTAGCATCTGGTGCTAGGAAGGTGAGATATCACAGTGACAACCTAGACTCCCTATCAACTAAACATAGGATATCTTTGTAGGCATGTAGATTATTCACACCAGTTTCCTAAGAGCCATACACAGACTACTCTGCTGGAGTGGAGGAGGGTGAGAGGAAGTTTGCTTAGAGCCATACACAGACTACTCTGCTGGAGTGGAGGAGGGTGAGAGGAAGTTTGCTTAGAGCCATACACAGACTACTCTGCTGGAGTGGAGGAGGGTGAGAGGAAGTTTGCTTAGAGCCATAAACGAACTATTCTGGTTGTGTGTGTGTGGGTGTGGGGGGGGGGGGGGGGTATACAAATAATGAATCAAAATATTTTTAAAAAGAAACAATTTGTCATTGAGCTTCATTCATAACCACGTCTTACCGTCAGAGGTCTTGAAAAAGGTGGCCGACAATGTAATATCCTTGAAGTTAACCATTGATTGACCTGTGAAGACTTGGTTCAGGTACACATTCGTGGCAATGATATCAAAGGCGTAGAATGTACTAGAATTTAGACCGTTAAGTGTGATGCTAGTGGCATATCCGTTCACAGTCTAAAATTTAACAAATGTAGACAATAACATATGAAAGCGTACATAGGCACAGGCTTACGCGTACTGTCAAATGATTTAACAGAGAATGTCTGAGGAAACCAGAACATTTGTGCAAGTCGATATCTCCAATTTCGCTCAAATGTTGCAGGTAAGTTCCCTTTGGGGTGTAGATCGAATCTGCAAAGCTGGTCGAAATTTCACATGGTTCATGGGACTACAAACGAGCCACGCTGCAGCGTACAAGAACAAGCTAACACCAACACTCCATCAAACCAACATTACCTCACCTTAACCACGTCAGCATGCGAGCAGACAAGGGCCATCATCCCTTGACGCCACAAATGATCGTCTTGAAAATAGCCAAATTACAAGAGCTGATAAAACAGCGAGCTACGTCCTCAATTAGCAAACACTATACACCTGCCGATAGTAGAACACCTCTTCTAGAGCTACGTTCTCAATTAGCAAACACTGTACACCGGCAGATAGTAGAACATTTCTTCTAGCACTGAGGACATGTAACCCATCATCTTTTTTGGGTTTCTTGAAATAAACAATTTTGAATTTTTCCACTCGACCATGCTGTAATGTGTCCAATCTCATACCTGCGCAGGAAAGCTCGCCCCTCCGCGAGGTCTAGTCAGCAATTTTTACTCCAACACTACTCCCCACGCTGCAGCACAAACGTGTATTGTTGACACTGACAAGGAAAAGCAGCTGTGATCACTTGCCACTCCAGATTACAAGCTTCTCCTTACGCCACCAACATTTTTCAAAAGTTGATGCAAAAGTGACTGAATTTTTGCGTGTAGGTTTTGGATTTTACTGCAATTGTGCAAGAGGAATGATGAAATTGCGTGCCTCGTGACGTAGAATTATGCTTTCTGGTGCACGACACAATGCACACGATCATGATCGTTCCTGAGGCGGTATACCCGGAACGGACCATGATGGAGGCGGTGAGACGCACTATATTTCCTGCATGCTCTGCTCATAACATGCAGAAACTATCGTTATTACGCGAGCAGTATTGCATATTCAAGAATTCTTTAAGATATTTCCTCTTGCAGTAAAAACAGGTATGTATTTTTGTACACTAACCTCGCTCATCCCGAACATTGTTCAACAGGAGTCGTTGCTAGTTTACATTCTGATGCTCAGCGTAGATCTGCAACAGCAAGGAATGACTGTGGTCCATGCCATCAAGGTCGCTTGGAGTTGACCAGCACGCGGCCTACACTGGTTGCATGGGGTATGTGGCGAACCCACATGACACATCTGCTTGACTGTTGTGCAACTTATTGTTGTTGTTGTTTTATTTTACTTCATCAGATTTAAAGGAAAAGATGCCTTCTCACCGGCCAGGGGACAGTTGCTAGAAATGATGAAGAAATTGCATGGATGGCTGATGATGAAGATTAACCTAATACCTAGGGTATGACAGACATACATTTTATGAATTAATAGAAAATATGCCGCGTTTTGAGAAAATTTATGAGAAATTATGAGTTTGTAGAATATTACATGCAGAATACGGGGTGTTGGAGAACAGATGAAACAGAAAGGTCAATTGGTGACAGAAATTACATCAATATGGTCCCGTCTCAAATGTAACCTTAGATTCACAGTGCCGTCCGGGCTTCGAATGTCAGCTGGAAGCATATTACAGTAAACACTGCCCATAAACTGTATCAGCTTATGAGACAAATACAATTGAAATAAATAAAAATTACGAAGGATGCAGAGGCAAGTTCGTGTGACTTCATCAACCTTTGCACGCATAATTTCGACACCACCGCTTACTAGACTGCAATAAAAGGTGTATAAGTAGTTTCATGATCTCCAGTTGAGGTAGCACCGAGTGGCCATCACCGAAAGACCTTGAACTACTGAAGAAACAAAGAATTGAAGCTTCAATTGGCAAACCTGTCGTAGCATTTGGTTTCATTCTTTACTACTTTGTAGTAGATTTTGTACTCGAACCGTATGCGCAACGGATCGGGAGTTGGCTCACCGCCGATGTCTTGCGATGTCTTGTAGCGCGGATTTTTGCTTATGTGAACCAACCATTAAATCCAAAAACTACAGGCAAGAATTCAGTCACTTTTGCATGACCTGTTGCACCGAAACATGTTGGTGGTGCAAGGAGAAGCTTGTTATTTGGAGTGACAAGTGATCATCGCTGCTTTTCCTTGGCAGTGTCAACAATACACTTTGTTCTGCACCGTTGGGAGTGGTGTTGGAGTAGAAATTGCTGACTAGACTTCGCGGAGGGCGAGCTTTTCTGCGCAGGTATGAGTTTGGAAGTATTCATAGTCGAGTGGAAAAATTCAAAATTGTTTATTTCAAGAAAACGTAAAAAGGATGATCGGGGACATGTCCTCAGTGCTAGAAGAGGTGGTCTACTATCTGCCGGTGTACAGTGTTTGCTAATTGAGGACGTAGCTCGCTGTTTTATCGGCGCTTGTAATTTGGCTATTTTCAAGACGATCATTTGTGGCGTCAAGGGATGATGGCCCTCGTCTTCTCGGATGCTGTCGTGGCTAAGTGGTGCTTCTCCAAGAACTCTTGTAAGGTGAGGTAATGTTGGCTTGATGGAGTTTTCTTCGTAGCTTGTTCTTGTACCCTGTGGTTTGGCTCGTTTGTAGTCCTATGAACCATGTGATTTTTCGACCCTTTTTGAGGGGTATGCCAATTTCAAGGTTCCCCTCAGAAACGTTTCAGTTGGCTTTGCACAGTCGATCTACACCCCAAAGGCAAAATTTGAGCGAAATTGCACTTCCAGGTAACAATGAGAGGGAAAGGAGTTGCGGGGGGGGGGAGAAATAGGAAAGGGAGATTCGAAATAGGACAGAGAGCCTAGCCCACCTATTCTTGGTTTTGCTAACTTAAAAATGACACTTATGCCTCATAAACAGGGCTGGTCGAGGCAGCCCAAAGCATAGTGCTCGATGTACAAATACATGTATGCAGAGGAGTACACACGAACAACAGTAGTGACAAGCTTACTCCTGCATTGTATGCCTTTTGTATGCCTCTCAAATGTGGAATGGGACCTCTACAACATGTTTGCATTCCATTCTGAATGTAAATGAATGATGGATGGATGGAGAGAGATGGATGGATGGATGGATGGATGGACGGAGGAATAGAGAGAAAATGCTATTAAGCTTCGAAGTAAGAATGAGAGAAAGTCGACCAGAAATACGTCCACTCAGAACTTGGTCAGATTTGCATGAAGTAGCACAAAGGAGAGGGAGAGGAAGACATAGAGGGAGAAAGAGAGAGACAGAGAGAGAGAGAGAGAGAGAGAGAGAGAGAGAGAGAGAGAGAGAGAGAGAGAGAGAGAGAGAGAGAGAGAGAGAGAGAGAGAGAGAGAGAGAGAGAGAGAGAGAGAGAGAGAGAGAGAGAGAGAGAGAGAGAGAGAGAGAGAGAGAGAGAGAGAGAGAGGAAGGGAGGAAGAGAGGGAGGGAGAGAGAGAAATGGAGATGGAGATGGAGATGGAGGGGAGGGGAGAGCGGGTGGTAGAGGAAGCCACAGAGGGAGAAAGAGAGATATATATATAGAGAGAATTGGAGATGGAGATGGAGGGGAAGCGGGAGAGGAGGAGAGGGGGTATGGGAGGGAGAGGGAGACGGAGCGGGAGAGGGATAGGGAAATAGTGAGCTAGCAGACCAAAGTACAAGTTAGATATAATTACCTGCTTTATAGCCTGAACCAGAGTAGCATCACCACTGCTGGACATTGGCTGATAGTAAGCATACACAGTGTAGTGATCAGGCACTGATGATACCGTCCATGATAATAGAGCACTGCTACTGTTTGGAAACTTCACAGTTATATTTGATACTTTGCCAGTTTCTGTTAGTGGCAAGAAGAAAAAAATGATTTGAAACACATGCACATTAGAGAAAACTCGGCAGACAGCACCACTAGTGAAATTTATAGAGCTTGCTGTGAGCTAATTGAAGTTTAGAATCATAGATAATTTGGAAACGGTCCAGGGAATGGACGCCAAAACTGTTCCCGTTATGGCCCTTGAAATTTGCTTATTGTCAAGATGCAATTAGAGTGATACCTGTAGACAATGACAATTGCATTGCTGGATGCGGGCAAGGTAGTTGAGTGCTCTTAGTTAGACATTGTGTATGCTCTGCATGCTCTTGTGTTCACCAATGTCCAACCAAACGCTGTCTTTGATCGAATCTGAAATTTTAGTGATTTTTTAGGTTTTCCATGAGAAAAAGCAGCGATTTCCGAATCATGGCTTTTATTCCCGCCATTTGTACACGTACCACGTACAGAGTACCACTTTTGGCAAAAACGAATTCGGTGAATCTGGTCAACCCTGCTTGCGGAGTAGGGTTGGTCTGACCCAAATCCATTGGATCTGCATCTTGATTCGTTGAAACGAACGTTGATCTGGAGCCCGATCCAACTAATTGAACATGCCCTTAGACTTCTTGACCTCTTGACATTAATCTTTTTTTATTCTTGATATCCTATTGTGTGTCAAAACGATAATTATTCTCGGAGACGCCCTCGATTTAGGCTTCGGTTTCTCAAATTATTATTCTTGTTATTCTCGTATCCATACCGAATGGGACTGATGACCCATGAGAATGGGACTCACGATGGCAGAATTGAGTAATAACAAAATTATTATAATATCTGAAACAAATCAGAATAATGATTTGTTTCAGATTATTACAATAATTATTATTGTATTTTTCTAGACCGCAAAGGAAACCTACCTGCAGAATTTGAGTAAAATTGGATGGATGGCCAAACCCAGCCGATCTGGTATTCTCTTCATGCAATAATTGATGCTACTTTGAAGCATTTCGTACTGACAGTACACATCAGTGGTCAGGATTTGATGGGTGTGGTCTCGGTGATAGGCATCGGCGGACAATGCTAGCTGCGTGAGCAAAAATGCTTCTAGCACTTCTTGTTATGAAACCACAAGTTCTCAAGAGTGAAAGGCCTTCTCGCTTGTGACAATGTGTTCGTTTCAATGCAGTTTTATCTCGACTCCGAGTTACTGAGTTCAAATTTTATTCAAATGACATCTCCAAATTTTCGCTCTAGTGGCTTCACCAGGGAGTAAAATAATAATTCTATTCCCGTAGCTATGCAGAAGACGTTACTGAAGACGTTACTTCAGTAACGTCTGGCGCTAGCCAGGGTCCACACAGCTTTAATTCCCGTAGCTATGCAGAAGACGTTACTTCAGTAACGTCTGGTCCACACAGCTTTAATTTGGTGTTTGTTTGTTGGTTTGTTTGTTTGTTTGTTTGTGTCACGCCTGGAGCTATCCCGTATCTGTTCCGTATCTGTCCCGTATCTGTGACTACAAAGGCTCTACAGGATTGTACATAACAGCTGTCCACAACATTTGCGGGCTCCTGTATCTGTCCCGTACCGTACCAATATTCGTCGTATTATGTATACGACTCCCTGATGTAGAGGGAGATTTGGAAAGAAATAGGGAGACGAGGAGGAAATTAAATTAGAATAGACGCCGAATAGGTGATAGGATGCATAAGCAAAAACATACTTTGGAAAAGAGATCCCGTCGTCTCCAAAATAAGCGTGAACGAGCGATTCAGCGCCGGTCACAGGAAACGTCGGAAGAGAGATCCCGTCGACTCCAGAACGCCTGTGATCGGCAGAGTCCGCGCCGGTCCCAGGAAACGTCAGGACAGACATCCCGTCAAGTCCAGAACGCCCGTGATCGGCAGAGTCAGCATCGGTCCCAGGAAGCGTCAGGACAGACATCTCGTCGAGTCCAGAACGCCCGGGATCGGCAGAGTCAGCGCTGGTCCCAGGAAACAACAGGACAGACATCCCGTCGACGTGCAGAAAAACTAAATCTGCAGCCTCTTTTGCGGTCGGACAGGATACGTATTTTAGGAGACTGTAAAGTTATGTAATGTGCTCTGCAGGCAACCATGCATTTGGCGTCCTCATTGGCTCAACAGGTCAATGTATTACTACAAAAAGGCCAGAAAATCCGATTACTGTATTAAAATCAACTAATTTTCGCTGGCAATTTAATTTCGCTGATTTCGCCGCTTGGTACCAACCGGCCAAAGTAATCCGCAGGCCAAAGTTTGTCATAGAAGCAAATGATGCATGATTGAGCAATGGATGCATGTGAGAGCAAAAAATACCGATCGATTTCTTTTTGAAAACTCAAATCGGCCAAAGTTTAATGATGGCGAAAAGTTTCGTTTCGAGATCGGCCAAAGTTTCTCATCAGCCAAAATTTCTTGATTTACAGTATAAGGAGATAAAAAGAAAAGAAGGAGCAAACCAAAAGTATATGATAATAGAGAAATGACCATCCGCAATAAATTCTGCAAATACTTTTGCCTAACTAATAATATTCAAACTGATTGAAACGTTTTTGCAATACAATGATGTGGCCAATCAACGGAAAAAAACATTTCCATCAGTTATTATAACATGTACGATGAGCTAGGCAAAAAAAGCATAAAAGCATAGCGTAGGGCCCTGAGCTTCCAAGCTCTCTCGTTTGGTGTTTGTTTGTTTGTTTGTGTCACGCCTGGAGCTATCCCGTATCTGTCCCGTATCTGTGACTACAAAGGCTCTACAGGATTGTACATAACAGCTGTCCAAAATATTTGCTGGCTCCCGTATCTGTTCCGTACCGTACCAATATTCGTCGTATTATGTATACGACTCCCTGGTATAGAGGGAGATTTGGAAAGAAATAGAGAGACGAGGAGGAAATTAAATTAGAATAGACGCCGAATAGGTGAAAGGATGCGTCAGAAACAACGTACTTTGGAAGAGAGATCCCGTCGTCTCCAAAATAAGCGTGAACGGGCGATTCAGCGCCGGTCACAGGAAACGTCGGAAGAGAGATCCCGTCGACTCCAGAACGTCCGTGATCGGCAGAGTCAGCGCCGGTCACAGGAAACGTCAGGACAGACATCCCGTCGACTCCAGATCGCCCATGATCGGCAGAGTCAGCGCCGGTCACAGGAAACGTCAGGACAGACATCTCGTCGACTCCAGATCGCCCGTGATTGGCAGAGTCAGCGCCGGTCCCAGGAAACGTCAGGGCAGACATCCCGTCGAGTCCAGAACGCCCGTGATCAGCAGAGTCAGCGCCGGTCACAGGAAACGTCAGGACAGACATCTCGTCGACTCCAGATCGCCCATGATCGGCAGAGTCATCACCGGTCCCAGGAAACGTCGGAAGACACAAATGCAAGAAATAGTCATAGGAGGCTTAATCGTGCTGATCCGCGTCATGCTACTGCAGCTGCGCACATGGAAACTGTGCGATGCATGTGAGAGCAAAAAATACCGATCGATTTCTTTTTGAAAACTCCAATCGGCCAAAGTTTAATGACGGAGGAAAGTTTCGTTTCGAGATCGGCCAAAGTTTCTCATCGGCCAAAATGTGTTGATGTACAGTATAAAAAGATCAAAAAGAAAAGAAGGAGCAAACCAAAAGTGGATGAAATTTGAGAAAAATAGCAATCCGAAATAAATTCTACAAATACTTTTGCCTAACTCATATTTAAACTGATCGAAACGTTTTTGCAATACAATGATGTGGCGAATCAACGGAAAAAACCATTTCCATCAGTTCTAATAACATGTACGATGAGCTAGGCAAAAATGCATAGCGTAGAGCCCTGAGCTTCCAAGCTCTCTCGTTTTGCTCCCTGATTTACTCCCTGAGGAAGCCCCAAGGGCGAAAATTTGGAAATTTCATTTGAATAAAATTTGCAGCTTCAACGACTGTTGTGAACCCTCTGGTTCTCTAAAGTGTAAGGAACGAACGACCCCACACGGCACGAGGACAACTATTTATTCTCAACAGTATATTTCACTTCCATCGACTAACTAAACAATGAATGAATGAATGAATGAATGAATAACTAACACTAAAACCACCAGGTAGTTATAGCGTGAAAATGACAGCGTATATGAGAAAAGCATACACATACAACATACAACTACAGCGCACACAGCAAACCGCACATAGCCCATGTAGCGTATACTACGTCGTAATCATCAGCGGTACGGCGGAGTCGGGATACAACTGCATTGAAACAAATACAATGTCACAAGCGAGAAGGCCTTTCACTCTCGAGAACTTGTGGTTTCGCAACAACGACCTTTCTGCAGTGGTGGTGACTGATCATAATATGAATTGACTGCAGTGGAGCCTCCGTGTTCTAAAAATAATATATAATATCGCCCAATATCTTAGAAAATCGACCTTCCGGGCTATTTTGGTGAAAATGACTTTTTCATTGTAAAATGATTTCTGACCTGTGCTGTGAGTATTTTGACAACGTTTCACGGATTTCAGAGCAATATTCACCATGTAGCAATGCATTTTATGGGTAGGAGTCAGATTTTGGATTTGCACATCTTAACATTGATTTGAAAACTCAGCATGGTTGGTACTACTGTTTGTTTCCAAGTTGTAACAATAACAGAAAACAGTACAGGACTACAATAGAGTGTATAAGCACTTCTTTTCCAGCTTTCACTCTGTTGGTAGGGTAGCTGTGACAGCAGCAACGGCAGTAGGAGCGGGGCAGGTGATGTCTCTGTTCTCCTCGTGACAGTGCTGACGAATCTGCTTGAAAAGGTAGTCGGCACGAGCGTGTGACATCCCGGCTGGTTGCAGGGCAGGTGGAAGGACTTCCGTCTTCAATGTGCTGATGTCAGCATCCGGCTTGATAATCGACAAGGTCTTGTCAGCCTCCGTCGATGATCCAGACATCTCCACCATCCCAGGCTTGTCAGCTGAGAAGTGGACATTCTGGTATTTCGTGATGTTTTTCACGGGCTTGAAAACAGTGGAAAGGTATGCATCCCACTGTCTCCAATCCCATGAAAACAAAACGGCCTTGTTGAAGGCTGCTCATTTATCTGTTGCATCAGCTAGCTGCTGAATTGTATCGACGTCGGACTTCCTGTAAGTCTGCTTCAGCAACCCAAAGCCGCTATCGACAAAGCATCGAGTGTGCCCAACGCGCATGAAGCACAGGTCGATGGATTCGTTGAGCCCCACAATGACTCGCCAGCAGAGGTACCCAACAACTGTTTTGTTTTTATTTTTTCTCCATGTGCGCCTTCAACTCTTCCACTGTTTTTTGTCTGGAAATTTCCGTTCTCGCTCGGGTTATCTTCGACTGCATGTCTGAACATTCTCCACACACATCTTCCTTCGGAGTCATAATCAAAACATCTGGAGTTTCTTTCAACCATAGTTTGACAAATGTCTGGTAAGAGACAGTGCCTCCGGCATCTACGTACTTCTGGTGCAGCAGCTTCTTTGTAGTGATGCATGGCAAGTAAACTGGTGCTGGAGTGTTGTACCCCCTGGGTGCAGCAGGCTGTGGGAGACCATTCACCACAGCGAATTTACGAACGAAATCGCGTACCTGCGTTACAGCCTCCGCAGACACAGCATGCCAGGGAGAACGACCAACATTTCCATGCTGTGGAGGAGTCAGAACGCCTGCGTCGAGATGTGCCTGCACTTGATGCACATCGTATCGACTGGCGGAACTTATACACAAATACCGCCTTACACGTTTTCACACCACCGACTTCGTACCGGTATGTCACTCGAGATCGCGCAGCATGATGTGCTCCGTGATGTCCTGAATCGCCACGATTAGCCAGAGCATCCAGCTTGCCACTCAAGAATACGCGACGGTCATCGTCGCCAAGAACCTCCGTAGAATTTCGCGATGATTTTAGAATTTCTGGTGGGACACTCAGGAAACAGTTTTGACTCCCTGCGCAAGGGCAGCCAGCGACCCGGCGTGCTTCGATGTCCTCAGTGGATGACAGCTTGATAGCTGGTTGCTTGTCCCTGCCTACAGCAGCAGCAGCTAGCGCTGTGGCCGGCTCTGGTTGCCCCTGATCATACTCATCAAGGTCCTTTTCATCGTCGCTGCCAACAGGTAAGTGCGTCGTGTCAAGTGCGATCGTTTCATCTGCGCTATCAGAAGCTCTGGCGTCGCTGGAGGGGATATCGCCAAAGAACGATGCATCATCGTCGATGAGATCGCGGTTGGCCTCCTCTGTGAATCCAATAACAACCTGACACAAGGATCGCCTTCGATTTCCTTCCGCCATTGTCGCCTCCGCAGTTTGCTGTGACAGAATCGATTTTTTTGCGATCAAATTTGTTTTGGCTTTTCCTCAAAAAAAGTCGCGTAGCCCCGAAGGTCGAAAGTCTCAGATATCGGGCCATATTGGGTCAAGCAGTATATGCGAGGTAGCTCTAAATGTCTTCCAACATTATCCAGGCAATGGCTAGGGCACTTCACATCCAAGGCAGAGGGATAGAGCAACTCTTTCAGAGACCGCACACCAGCAGTATTTACGGCAGCACCGCCCCGCACAAAATTCATGATACTCTTTGCAGATACTAGCAGTTCTGTGGCGAGTGTAGTGACAAGCTCTCTTGCAAGCTCTGCAGCAGATGGACTCTTAGCGACTGTGCGTTCAAGGTGCTGATGCACACATAGCTCCTTGTCCACATAATGGACAATTACAGCTTGCCCTTCTTCCAAACGTGGGCTACCATTGAAGATAAAGGCGAGGTTGGGTGTGTCCTAAAGCTCCATTTTGAGCAGTGAAAACTCATTGCTATGTAGCAAAGGCACAAGTTGAGCCATGTGAGTGCTGAAAGTAAATCTGCCATAACCACTTTCCAATAGCGAACGGAGGTGATCAATTGTACTGCACGGGATGCCTGCATTCAGGAAGGCTTCAACAACGTTTGCACTCTTTGTGATTGCATCATCGGGAACAGCAGCTGACAAACATGCACCACTGAGATCCGCTTTGTGCTTGGCAGAATACTTCTTCGAAGAAGCTGGAAGGGTTTCTTGATGGAACACTGCTCTCGCCTTGCGATCCTTCCCTGATTCATCCTAGGAACTAGTTACATCCCCTTCGTTTGAATCGCTGCTGGACAGCTCCACTATTGCGTGGCTGCCTGTTGCAGCTATCCTGAGAAACATCTACCCAAATGTTTAAGCATGAAAACAACACTACAATGTGCCTGGAGTTCTTATGCCAACAGAGTTTGTGCTTGGATCTGTTCTGCATTCGGAGCTTGCAGACTTTTTCATCGATGGAGCTCGCTTCCGTAAAAAAAGCAGTTCAGGCCGCCGTAGAAGACCATTATGGCTTTTCAGGGCTACCAGAACAGGGGTTCTGCAAGATTCTGTGACCGGTCGCGGGGTTACATGGTTCCGTAACCGGTAGCGTACTATGATCTGCGGGGTATCCTTTTGTTTGCCTTTTCCGCTTTTGAGTTCTGTAGAAGTGAAAGTGCAACTTTCTCTCCCAAAACGCAAGTTTGTGCGGGTGCAGTGCCATATATCGAACATGTGCTAAAAGTGCTACTTTTGGTGCTAGCATTATCCGCTGATGCCTACTCTGTGATGATCATAATTGTTGCGTTTCTCATTTTAGCAAAAATTTGGAAAACAAATTGATGTTTATTTTGGAAAGATTAGCAGAGAGTTTCATTTTGTGTACCCAAGGACTTGGTGCGGCTGTGGAACGTAGAACTTTCTCATTTTAACCCTGTATTGGATGGCCCATACATTGATAATACCGATGTTTGATGGGGTAGGCATTTTAAAAGTATCGTAACTTGGTCCAATCTCTGTCCTTTGGAGAGTTCGAAATATGTACATCGAAGAGAAAACGCTCCGCTGTCGCCTCGAACAATTTCCAACGCGATTGGAAGTTCGTGAGTTATAGCACTTCAAGTGACATTTAATGTTGGTCGGGTGGGGGGAAATTTGCGCGCAGAGGGCGATTCGTGGGTCAACGTCAGGGATTTTCCCTGGTCATGCCATCTGGTTATAACTTTACCAGAAGGACCCCCTGATGAGATGACAATGTAAAGTAGGCACAAACCTGGCAGACTAATGAGACATTGGATGACCTGACATCCCCTACATCTCCAATGCCCACACAAACATTCTTCTAACTTAGAATGTTCCTTTTCCCGCCTAAGATTCCACGCGGGATGTGGGAGGACCAAGGAGGGAAGCTTCGAAAGTGAGTACAAACATACGCACAAGCTTAGTCCCATGGCAACAAGGTATGTCGACTGTCACATGATAATGGCAAGACCAGTAAATGACAATGCGGTCCAACTACAATTCAAAGAAGCAAAGCAACACCCTCCGTTTTGGCAAAGATTACCTTGAGTATTTTTCTTTCATATTTCTCACATGGTTAAGTTACAAATGTTTTTTATGATTCTCGCGATGGCTTGTAGCCAATGATACATAATGGAGTGAGCTATATAATCACGGGGGGGGGGGGGGGTGGCTTTCCTTCTCCAAAATGTAGTTTGATTTGCTGCACATAGAAAATGACTTACTCTTTGGCAAGCCAGTTCGCGTTGTGAGAGTGCTGTTGGCTCCAGCACCAGCGCTGGTAAAGCCCTGAACTATGAATTCATAGTTTTGTTTATCAGCCAGGTTCCTTAGAAGTATTGTTGAGACATTGGCTGGTGTTCTGACCTGCTTGGAGTGAAAGCCATTCACTGGCTGATAGTAGACTATGTAGGCAGTGATTGTGCCATGAATATTGGTGGGAGGTGACCAAGACACATTAGCAGTGATACTGTCAGTGCTGGACTGCAACTTCACATCTACACCAGTTACTTGAGCCGGTACTAAATAACACACAGCAAAGCAACAGCATGGAATGGCATTCTACTGTGGCTGCAATTAACACGATGATTATACATCACATCCGTTTTAGAGTAAACTACAGCGAGAACAACTTTCCTGCGACCTACAACTGAGCGTGACTTAGTAGTCAAGTGCAAAATAATTAATTAATGATTACGCAGAGACCAAAACACCTGTTACATCTTATGATGAGGGAAACACTCCAGGCACAATGTTATAGAGCATCATAGCTTGTTGTGTAATCTACATGTAATGAGATTGGTGCAGACTATTTAGAGCATGAGATTTGTTAAGCTGGGGAGTGCATGCAGACTAAAATATAACCCAGCTACTCATTCACTGACCTTAGCCATAAATGTATAGTGCACTCTTGACCAGACGAGAGAGCTTGGAAGCTCAGGGCCCTACGCTATGCTTTTTTGCCTTGATGACCTAGACAAAAAAGCATAGGGATGTTATAAATTCTTATAAGTTTCTCCTTTTTGTTTTTAGGCATAACCTGGGATTCGAACCCGCACTATCGCCCTGCATGCACCCCCCGATACACTTCGCAAACATACTAATTCTTCCAAGTTGCTTCACGTTATGATCTTGTATTTGAAAGCCCTATTTGAATATGATTGTGGCCAGCTGTCTTTGATTCCACGGTACGGTACGGGATAGGTACGGGACAGGTACGGGACTGGTACGGGACATGTACGGGACAGGTACGGTCGAGGGTAATACGACACCGTCTACCGCCTTGATGCCGGCAAAAAAAGAAAAGGGATGTTATAAATTTGTCAATTCTCTTTTTTCAGGCATTACCTGGGATTTGAACCCGCACTACCGCCCTACATGAATTCCCCCATACACATCGCATTCATACTCATTCGTCCAAGTTGCTTCACGTTATGATCTTGCTTTTGAAAGCCCTATTTGAATATTTCGGCCAGCTGTATGTGGCCAGCTGTGTTTGATGGCACGGTACGGTACGGGACAGATACGGGATAGCGCCAGGCGTGACACAAACACACAAACACACAAACACCAAATTAAAGCTGTGTGGACCCTGGCTAGCGCCAGACGTTACTGACGTAACGTCTTCTGCATAGCTACGGGAATAAGTTGCCAACTTACAGCAGTTTGACATCCCATAAAGTAGTACTAATAAAGTATTTTCTGTAAGCATCTAGCCGAGTCTCACGCAAACCGTGAAATTCTATTTCATGTTTTGCCCCAAAAGCACTGAATCGAGAAAAAACTATGAAAATCCAGGCCGTTTCACCCCACTTGCAACATTACATTGTGCGGTTGAACCCAAGTTGAGATACCATTTTGGACCCTTTTTCAAGTTTCAATTTTTTGCTGCACTGTACCCTAGGAGAAATCTGAACAATGTCATCACTGTATCATTATTACAGTACAGTGCTCAGCAGACCCATGGCAACAAGGTATGTCGACTGTCACAGGATAATGGCAAGACCAGTAAATGACAATGCGGCCCAACTACAATTCAAAGAAGCAAAGTAACACCCTTCGTTTTGGCAAAGATCCCCCTTGAGTATTTTCTTTCATATTTCTCACATGGTTAAGTTACAAATCTTTATTCTCACGCTGGCTTGTATCACAACGTTGACATGATGTTCAACGTCATGAGATTATTTTCAATGCAGTTTCTCTAGCCAATGTACACGTCATAGTTTGTGTTCTCATGCCCAGTTTGTTTCTGCGTTCCCACTCCGAAGCTGGGCCTCGAGTATATTTGTTTCTGCTCTGACTGATGCGGTTTACTCGTCATCAGATTTATGCTATGCAGTACTTCCGTACGCATACCGCAAAATTCCGTAAATAAGCCACCGTAAATAACGCCCATGTCCAATAATAAGCCCAGTTTTAGGCGGTGTACACTTCAAGTCCGTTTTAGCGCCCATGCCCGAAATAAGCCCAGGGCGTAAAGTGGACTCAAACTGATGACCAGCGTGCAGCGTGTTTTCTACCTGCTTCAGCGTCACGACGTTTTCAGCCATGCCGGTCCCTGTTGTGCCTTGGACTTTCCATACTCCATAGCAAGTGGTTTACCTATCAAATCTGTAATTTATCGCTACATTCTTGGTTACGACCAAATTTCCAGCTGAGGTTTGATGTACCTGTACCGCGCTCAGTGTGAATGGTGGTTCACTGAAACTAGTGGGTTGCTGATAGATTGATCTTCTGCAGATTTCTTCCGAAATAACGCCCATGCCCTAAAATAAGTACATGCCCAAATACACGCCCGGTTTTTGACCCTCTGCAAAGTATACGCCCGGGGCTTATTAACGGAATTTTACGGTAGATTATTCTAGACGTACGCACTCACCTCTAAGCTACGTCCTCCATGTCTTTTCTGCTCCTTTTTCTCTCTGCGCAAGCGCCTTGCGCATTTAGTCATCTTCTTTCTCAGTTCACAACAAGAACACGAATTTACCCCTTGGGCAATATCAGCAATAAATTCAGACTAATCAAGCTCTCCCAAGAATAAGGATATTGAACTGCCTGACGTGTGCACGGCTTGTAGCCAATGACAGATAATGGAGTGAACTTTATATCATGGGGTGGGGGGGGGGGGGTGGCTTTCCTTCTCCAAAATTTAGTTTGATTTTTGCTGAATGTAGATAATGACTTACTCTTTGGCAAGCCAGTTCGCGTTACGAGGGTGCTGTTGGCTCCAGCACCAGCGCTGGTTAAGCCATGAACTTTGAATTCATAGTTTTGTTTATCAGCCAAGTTCCGTAGAAGTGTTGTTGAGACATTGGCTGATGTTCTCAGCTGTTTGGAGTTTAAGCCATTCACTGGCTGATAGTAGACTATATAGCCAGTGATTGTGCCATGAATATTGGTGAGAGGTGACCAAGACACATTAGCAGTGATACTGTCAGTGCTGGACTGTAACTTCACATCTACACCAGTTACTTCAGCTGGTACTAAATAACACACGGCAAAGCAACAGCATGGAATGGCATTCTACTGTGGCTGCAATTAACACGATGATTATACATCACATCCGTTTTAGAGTAAACTACAGCGAGAACAACTTTCCTGCGACCTACAACTGAGCCTGACTTAGTAGTCAAGTGCAAAATAATTAATTAATGATTACGCAGAGACCGAAACACCTGTTACATCTTATGATGAGGGAAACACTCCAGGCACAATGTTATAGAGTATCATAGCTTGTTGTGTAATCTACATGTAATGAGATTGGTGCAGACTATTTAGAGCATGAGATGTGTTAAGCTGGGGAGTGCATGCAGACTAAAATTTAACCCAGCTTCTCATTCACTGACCTTAGCCATAAATGTATAGTGCACTCTTGACCAGATAAGTTGCCAACTTACAGCAGTTTGACATCTCATAAAGTAGTACTAATAAAGTATTTTTTGTAAGCATCTAGCCGAGTCTCACGCATACCGTGAAATTCTATTTTCATGTTTCACCCCAAAAGCACTGAATCGAGAAAAACTATGAAAATCCAGGCCGTTTCACCCCACTTGCAACATTACATTGTGCGGTTGAACCCAAGTTGAGGTGCCATTTTGGACCCTTTTTCAAGTTTCAAATTTTGCTGCACTGTACCCTAGGAGAAATCTGAACAACATCATTACTCATGAAGTTGATTGTTCCAACTAGGAACACACGCTTCTTGCCGAACTTGACACTTGACTGACTCACGACTGTCATCCGGAGCACACTAGGAGCACGTCGCACCTTCCACTCGGCAAACCTGCAAGAAAGCACCACTCCCTGCTCAATACACAGTGTTTCGGGGAACTCACCCCTCATCAGTTGAGCTTGAGTAGGCTGAGGAAGATTGTGCCTGAAAAGCACCACTTTTATACTGCTCTCCAGGCCAAACCATCACCAGGGATACAAACTTACAGAGACGCTTTGTTTCCAGCGCGACAAACACCTCGTGAAGCTCCAGGTAGCAGCGTGAGTCAGAGTCGCTCATAGAGTTGTGCTAAATATCATTACTGTATCATTATTACAGTACAGTGCTCAGCAGTGTTTTGAGTTTCATTTGTTGAAGTAAAAATGGTGGACCGTTCTTTTAGCTTTTAGGACTGTTTTGACATTACTTTACTACAAACAAACGGGAAAAGTCTGAAGAAAAAATTGACTGTCACCACCAGGACTCGAACCAGGGACCCTCGCTTGTAGCCAGCGATGCTCTAACCACTGGGCTATGGGTTTTTTGTTTTTTTTCCTACAAAATCCACATGTCTCCAGACAATGGGGTGAATAATGGAGTGTGGTGGTGGAGTACATTAAGCTCAGCCGACCCGAGGTCTCGGCTTCATAGCTCCATGGATCAACCACAGGGAGATCGGGTAGGGTGGATTAAATTGAAAAAAAAAACAGAAGAAAGAAAATGAAAAGTTTGTATAGCTCGGTGAGCAAAAGAATAAGTTGAGTATTGATGTGAACGCTGTTAGACTCTTAAATTCAAGAGGAGATTGTCTGTGAGGAGAGATTATGTCCAAGAAGGGTAGGACACTGTACCCTCTTACTAGAGAACAGCCTCAGACATAGCTTGTCGAATGGGTCCCTGAAGGAGAAAGAATGGTGGACGAAGCTAAAGTGCGCTTGTGGCAAGGGTCGGAACACTGACATTCCCCTGCTCGTTGATAGTGAAGGCTGCGAGAGGGCCACAAGCTATGAGAAATCGGAGGCATTTGCACGTTTCTTTTCCAACAATGCAGATAGATATTATCTGAGTCCGAGGTGGGTAATGGCTGCGAAGTCATGTCTTGACCTGACGAGGAAGAAACCGAAGATGAGGTTGCGGAGCCACCCCACGCTGGATGCAGCTACGAAAATGCCGACCATTTCTCCGCACTCCACAGCCATTCTTTATTAGTTTAGCTGCACTATTTCAGAGGTACTCAAGCTGATCATGCACCGTACAATGCTGAATAATTAATGAACAAATACCGGTACCTCATAATACATACATTGGACCAATTTGGAGTACGCCTTGTATATTAGCGTAGTAGACCTGGTGTGAATAGGATAATGGGACTTTTTCATCAAATTTCTGACAAAAACAATGAATAGCTCAGTGGTGAGATCATCGCTGGCTACAGGTGAGGGTCCCTGGTTCCATTCCTGGTGGTGGCAGTCGAATTTTGTCTTCATACTGTTCCCGTTTGTCTATTTCCCTCAAACCAGTTAAAAATGGATTCAGAACATTTTGTCCGTAAGGGCAGGTTCCACTGGTGGTGTGGGGCCCATGTAGTGTTATTACTGCCTGCAGAATGGGCATTGCAATGAGATAGCTGATGTGGCCTGCATGTCAACACTGCTCGGACTGAGCGCAACGCTGACATGAGCCCAACATTCACTAGGCTTCTCTGTCCTCCTCAACAATTGCCACAAAAAATGCACTCCCTGCAATGACCAGGCATAGTAGAATATGGCAGGATGACTTACACCCCTCTCTTAAAACAATAATAGATCACTGATAAACACAATACACTGCAAACAAATTCCTGGCATTACATAGAAACTCTGACCACACATTGCAGTGTTTTCTCTGAGTTCTTTGAAGTACATATACCCGCCTCCGTGTGGCATTTCATCTCATAGCCACATTTTCGGGTAAGTTTCTCAAGAATTCGAAAAACAGGCATGCTACCATCCAACTAGCTTGTGACACACAACGTCACTACACGTTTTGCTAGAGACACCAAATACTTCAAACAAAGTCAGCAACGTTTACACTCACCATCTTCTTCACTTCTTTGTGATGCTGTTGCTCCAAGTGGACCATACCCAGGCCCAGTTCTAGCCTTCACAGAGACGTCGTATACTGTGTATGCAGTGAGGTTAGTCAGAACGGCTGAGGTAACTGTAGCGTTCACTTCTACCGACTTGTTCTGACCAGCAGTATCTATGTATAGCACCTGATAACCTTGTAGAACACCATTGAGTTCTTGTTCTGTGAGTATTGACCAGTTAACATAGATAGAAGAGCTGGATAGAGCAATGGCTGACAGTATGCTAGGACCAGTTGCTGGCACTGGAGTGACAAATCAACAACAACAAAAATAAGATTCAAAAGACTGTAAGAAAAGAAGTCGAAGAGCCAGCTACCATGTCCATCAAGCCAGCTACCATGTCCATCAAACGTTTGCTAACCCGATAAGAATGAAAGAAGGGGTTGGAATTCGAGCAAGGGCGAGTTTATTCATTCCTGTATCTTGGCATGTTGATTGACTTCTTCACTTTTAATTCCCAGTGACTACTAATCTTCTCACTAGAAGTAAATACCGATGTAGATGGAGATCGATGGGTTGAAGCATTTCTTTACACTCTGCTGGCTCCTGTAGAGGAAGAAGGGAGTGCACTTTCTCCTGACACGTTCAAATTAGACAAACGTGCCGCCTGAAAAATGCGCACGGAGCACCTACCTTTTGGCCGAAAAAAAGGAAAGATCATCTTTTGAGGCACTGGCAGTAGCAAACAGTAAAGTTAGCCGGATTGGCGGCCGCATCACCTGACATCAATTCGCCCATATATCCTTAGTGTCGAATGCAGACCTCACTAGTGAGTCAGGGGAGAGGCGATAAGTCTCTCAACAAGCGGGCGTGTAAAGGCCCTATAACCCCATAAACCGCATCCTTGTTACCCTCACACCGGGCAAGTGAGTACCCAGTTCACCGTGGCTGTCAGCACAGTTCATTGCATGTAAAGTGCACAGTACAAGGTACAGTCAAATTAACATGATTCAAGCAACAGCACTGCAACGCGCACCACACCCACTGGTCATTGGTCTTATAACTATGCATTGCATGTGTTCAGCAAAGTAAAAGTTTGAACTCACCATCTTCTTTAGTAGTAACTGTTGCTCCAACTCCATATGGGCCAAAACCAGGATTGGTTTTAGCTTTCACAGAAATGTTGTATTCCGTGAAGAAGGACAGTTTACTTAGAATGGTGAATGTTCCAGAGTCGTTCAAATCCACAGTTTTATTCTGACCAGCAGAATCTATGTATTGCACCTCATAACCTTGTAGAGCACCATTGAGTTCTGGTTGTGTTAGTATTGACCAGTTAACATAGATAGATGAGCTGGATAGAGCAATGGCGGACTGTATACTAGGACCAGTTGCTGGCACTGGAGCACACATTCAACAATGAAAGACATACATAGAAAAATCATACGCACAATCATGTGCATATCACACTATCAGCCCGGATCATTCACTCACGCCATAATCCAAGCTTGCTGCAGCTTACATGTATTATATCTTACGGAAATTGTAGTCACATTGTTGTCTGGTGATCGGTGAAAACCGTGAAACTCAGAGTTACAGCAGAGACACTTTTGATTCCCTCTTTCAAGTGTGTGGAGAAGGCTCTGCACCTAGTAGTAGTAGTTGTATTCATTATTTTACTTGGGTATACCGAACAGGTCTATGGTCTTCTTACAGGTTGCCCAAGTGTATTGAGCACTGTCACGATCACCTGCAACTCTGTCCCTGAGTGTACAAAAAATGTATAATCAAGAGACATGTGTCCTGTCCATTCAGCAATTACATGCACCTACTTGAATACATTTGTTACGCGGATGCAACAACCACACATACAGCATCCCATCACACAAACACACACACACACACACACACACACGCAACACAACATCCACTCATGCTCCAACATCCAAGCGTGTGCGTGCAACAAATTTCACCTGGCTGTGCTCGAATATTTGTCTATTGCGGAGGGGCAACCAGCACTGTGCTCGTGGATGAAGTACCCGTGGAATTTGTCACTGTTATGACATTGTAGTACTGTAGTCCCTACTGCAGTAGTTTGTTATGCTCTGTTACTTTCACTGTGAAGTTGGTGCCATTTGCACTCTTTTAGATGCTATATTTGTCACTGCTCTGACCCCACAAAAAACTGTACATGAGCATTTGTTTGCTGCTGCTCCAAACACCATTGTAATGATATCGATTATTGAAAATGCCTAGTTCAAAATTTCCAGTTGCTTCTGTGCTGCATGTACTAATCTGTTCTCCAACGAAGATTCTATACAAGAATACACTACAAACTTGCGTAAGAGGAAGGTCAAGATGCCACACTGAATTAGGACTCAGTCCACCGAGGTTACGAGATAATATACATTCAGGTAGTGTCCCACTACCATGTACATGTATGCAAAACACAGCTGAGCACTCTGAGCAAGGCCAGGTAAGCGGGTTAGCAGGTCTGGCAAGTGACGAGCTCGAAAATCACAGGGAATCTGCTGACCAGTACCAGTTGCTGTCTCTCAGGTGCCGGTAGACCTTTGTCTTGATTGACTGGAAACGTGTTTTGTGTGGGTGCTGTGACAGCAGCCTGTTAGGAGGGAGTTCCATGCGGAAATGCCGCAGTATGAGAACGACCGCTTCACGACGGAGCTGAGCCGATTTCATGTTGGAGTCGGTGTCGGAGAATCGGCCGAAAAGTCTGCCTCGTGTGGCATAAGAACTATATATCTACGAATAGTTAAGAAACCAATTGCTTTGTGCCACAGCTGGCAAGCCGGGGACCTCCATGCCCAGGAACAAATGCATGAAGTAAAACATGCATGCACACGAACTTCGCACGGTTTGTCAAGTGACTTGAGCGAAGTGTCTTTTTCAAGCTTTACTATTTATTTTACTATGTTCACATACCCGTCTCGAAAAGAAAAATGAAAGACAATGATACGCAGACTAGGAGAAACGTAACAACTACTCAGCAGGGGCTGTACCGAGTCACAGCAGTGAGGGTGGGGCAGTGATTTCTCTGCCGACCTGAGGTCTTGGGGTCACTTTGTCGAGCCAGATGAGCTCTAAACAACGACCTGTGACCTTTCGTAGTTCGTACCCATCACAATAGGCCATTACATTACTGATAACAATGCTATAGTGGTAATCATGGCAAATTGTGCTAGGAGCTGTGTTCACAACCGGCAAGTGTACTGGTGAAACCACGCATTTGTGTGTATTTTACTGCCTCTTTTGGCGTCATGCAGGCCAGCTAGATGGAAACGTTCAAACTATATTTCATATTTCCCAGATCCGAGTCACTTTGACTGGCGGGGTCAACAAATTAGTAAAAAAATAGGCGTAAAAAATTCACGGTTCGCGTGAGACTCAGCCAAAGGCCCAGTTTTCCGCATCCGCAGAAACGCCACCACCCTCTTGGATCAAGGCGCAGATGCAGCTCCTAAGCGGTGGGAGGTGAGTAGATCAGACCCACGACAAAGTGATCAAAGACCGAAAATCCCATTCACTGCATCCATGTTTCCCTTGTGCCAGGCCACGAGTTCCCAATTAACTGTGGGTCGCAGCACGGCTGGTAAAATTCCTTCCGCTTCCAAGCAGGACTTGAACCTGGTACCCTCTGTTTCTCAATCATGGTCTGAGACCATCCCACTAATGCCTGCCTGCATCACATGCCCTATAATATGATGTCGAATTGTTTCCTGTTGTGCACGCCTGAGCCGCAAACGTGCCATGTACACACGCCAGTTTTGAACACAGCATAGCTTATTAGGCAATTCACACGACCGCCATATCCACATGTGTCATGTGGCAGCAGGAAGGGAAACGTGAGGACAAGTTTCGGTCGTGTGCGGGAAATTCTCCGAGGTGATTTTTCTGTAACACGTTGATTTCCCGTCGTGTGAATTACCTACATGTATATGGACAGCAGTATAGTTTGAATAATTATTGAATTCGGCAGGGAAAGCGCGAACTCGCATGCAAAGAGCAATGGCACAATTCCTCAGTTTTGAATGAAAAACACTAGATAACCTTGTATAAAAGAAACCAAACATTTTATCACACGTCGCAAGAAGGTTGCCACTTTCATTCGCTCAGTCAACTGTCTTCCAACCAAGGACATCTTTCTCAATCATACTTCCTTTTTGTTAGTGTATAGAGTTAGCACTAAATCGCATCCAAGGCAGATCCTTAGACATGTACCTACAACTTACCAGCTTCGTTGGTATTTTGTAGTGCTGTTCCTCCAAATGGACCATACCCAGGTACAGTTCTAGCCTTCACAGAGACGTCGTACACTGTGTCTGCAGTGAGGTTAGTCAGAACGGCTGAGGTAACTGTAGCATTCACTTCTATCGACTTGTTCTGACCATCAGTATCTATGTATAGCACCTGATAACCTTGTAGAACACCATTGAGCTCTTGTTGTGTTACTACTGACCAGTTGACATAGATAGATGAGCTAGACAAAGCCATTGTAGTCTCAATACTAGGACCATTTGATGGCACTGCAGGCAGAATGCCAATACAGCAAGCATGTGTGCGCGTATCAAGAATCAGCAAAGCAAATGAGCCGTTCATTTCAGGTGAATGTAGGGGAGGGGAAAAGGCAAACTAATTCATAGGAGTGAAAGGACAAAATGTTACGAGTTATGAGTACTGAGTACTGAGTAGGGAGTACTGAGACATTCGGCGACCTGACACTTAGCTGCAACACTTCTCCAAGGCGCAAACCAACAACCTTCCGACTTGGATGGCTCATGTTCGGAAAGGTCCAAGAGGGGATTTTCACAATTATTTAATTGGCTCACCATCCGAGTTACAATATGATAACTTTTAGCATAAAAATAGCATAATTCTGCAATGAAAAGGGGCTCAGCATGCAAAGGGTTAAGCAATGCGAAAAGCATAATTTCACGAAAATATTAGCATAATCCGTCAAGGCCTGATCATAGCTCAATGGTCCTTGCTTTTTTTAAATTTTAATAGTGCTTATAATTCCTTTAAAAGTCGGTGATTGACCCGATTTGCATGAATGCGTTTTCCGTCGGAAAGTTGTCTAGTGAAGCTACCGGCAGGAAATTGGGTGAAACGATTCCAATTGAAACTATGAAGTCTCTCAATCCCTCAATGATAATTCTGATAAATCCATTGGTCCATTGAATTTAACTCGGATGGTGAGCCAATTAAAAGTATGGTGAAAAAAAGAGGACAAAATGTTACGAGTTATGACTAACTGTCCACCAACGTAACCAGATCTTATACAGTCAGCGAGTGCGACAAAATGGCACAAAGCTCACAAGGAGTACTCAGATATTCGGCGACCTGACACCTAGCTCCAACACTTGTCCAAGGCGCAAACAACAACCTTCCAACTTGTCGCAACAGGCCGCCGAATGTCTCAGTACTCCTTGTCAGTTTTGTGCCACTTTGACGCACTCGCTGACTGTGTAAGATCTGGTTACGTTGCATGGTGGACAGTTAGTCATGACTCGTAACATTTGATCCTTCTTCTTTTCACAGTTATCACATTATGCCGCATTATGCTCACATATGCTGCTAATGTATATGATGGTTCTGTGCAAAATAACAGGGGATTTTTTTTTAACAGGGGAATTTTTGTAGAGGGCGTTGTACTGTAGTAGCAAAAGTTCAACAGGGTCAACGCACTGTCGGACCTAGCTACGACCGTCACTGCTTGTACTCGTAGTGGACTGGACATGTTATCAAGGGAGTCGTAAACTTACGACTTCCTGGTGCATCTACTTGTACATGTACTTGTACTGTTGAGTCACCTCCACCATTAAAGGGGAAGTGCATCGATTTTTCAAGTAGGGCTCAGATGAAAGACAATTGGATATCGGTTCCGATGGTATTTCTCGCTTGCGCGTACGGCAAGGGAAACTTGCCATATCGCCGATTTCCTGATCCCGTTTCCATGGCGACTGCAGGTGATGACGCACATTCTGCTTAGCTCCGTGAGAGAGAAGGTCGATCACTGCAGAATTGTGTCATTTTCAGTTGTCTTCTTGTATTCACGAAGTGAAAGAAGTACTGTGTTCAATGCTGTTAGTGCCGTGAACTGTTTATTAGTAGTCCTATCCGTTGTGTACTGGGACGTGACACCGACAGGGGAAAGCTGGAGTGCGGAGACGTTAGCTGGCAAGCGAAAATAGTGACGAACCAAGTGCTGAAATCTTGGTTGGGACAAATCAAACATTCAGCATTTACCTCAACCAAGGACCATGCCGTTTGCTCTTTCCACTTCCTGAAGATGGATGCGCTGCCTCCTGGAGACTCTCCTATCTCTCGTAACATCTTCTGAAGCCAGGTGAGACGACGAGTAGCGGAGATTAGCGAACGAAATAATGTCGTATGTTTTGAAATTTTGCTGATCATATCTCAGGAGAGATGGCATATATGAACTTAGTCCATGTGAACTCAATCAGCCCATGAACTAACCCATGAACAAATGCTTTCCTTGCAGACGTGCATGTGTCTATCCAATCTACACGTAGAGATCATTCCATGCCCTCAATGAATGGCCTATTTATATATTATTTGTCCATACACTTCATCTGCATGTTGTCTCTATGGAGAAGGGTATTGTTCATTTCATATGAAGAAGTTCGGGCAATAGATGCTTTCCTCTGGTACAATTCTGTTGACCTGATGTTCTTTCTAGCTTCATGGGTAGCTTAGGTGAGGTACCATGACCATCATGACTGTTTACATGAGGGTCAAACACTGCACCGTTCTTTGTTGTGACATGACGTAAGTTATTGTAAGTGCTCGCAGACTCCATACATTCCAGCAACACCTAGCATGGTTTTCCGTCAACGTTGTGGGTGAACAAATTCCTCTCCAACATATTTATACAGACATGCCAGCACACACCATGCGCCATACACACACTTGCCCTGCCCTGTTGAGTCACAGCCACGTGGGCCCGGAGGGGCAGTGGAGAGAGAATGGGAGAACGCCGCCCCATGGCGCCCGGGACACAAAAACAAGATTTTGTCCGGCTACGTAGGGAGCAACACACATACATATACATACACCACACACACACACACACACACACATACACAAAATGAGAGTTCGGATCATCTGCCACGAGACTGACGTACGGCCGGGGAGAGCTTCAGCAGCGGTGTCTATTCCTGCCCTGGACTGAACGGATGCAGGGGTCGCAGGACACACAGTATGCACCACAACACGGCCCCACTGTCGTTGGGGGCTGAGCCACACACTTGTGACGGGCAAGAACGCCACAGCTAAGAAAGCAACGGCCACAGCGATCACTCTGGCATGCTCCACGCTGCTCCTGCACACACTCTCTCCCTCTCTCTCTTTCTCTCTCCCTCTCTCTCTCTCTCTCTCTCTCTCTCTCTCTCTCTCTCACACACACACACACACACACACACGTGCGCACATACTGCAAGAAAGAAAGAGCGCATGAGTGTCAGATTCTTGCATAGGAAGTGTTTATCAGCACACACTTATACATGCACATGCAGGCACTCCACGACCAACTATGCACCATGCCGTATGTTCGTCAAACATAAGATTGCAATAGCCAATACCAAAGAACAACATAAACAAGATCACTTACTTCGTTCTCCTCCAAGTGTGTCCTCCCCAGCCATTTCCCTAGGCGGAATGTAGCCTACGAATTGGTTTCTCTAGACTAGGAGAAGATGCTTGGTATTCGCCATCTCTCCTGAGAAATGTTCAGCACAAATTTCAAAACATACGACATTATTTCGTTCGCTAATCTCCGCTACTCGTCGTCTCACCTGGCTTCAGAAGATGTTACGAGAGATAGGAGAGTCTCCAGCAGGCAGCGCATCCATCTTCAGGAAGTGGAAAGAGCAAACGGCATGGTCCTTGGTTAAGGTAAATGCTGAATGTTTGATTTGTCCCAACCAAGATTTCAGCACTTGGTTCGTCACGATTTTCGCTTGCCAGCTAACGTCTCCGCACTCCAGCTTTCCCCTGTCGGTGTCACGTCCCAGTACACAACGGAGAGGACTACTAATAAACAGTTCACGGCACTAACAGCATTGAACACAGTACTTCTTTCACTTCGTGAATACAAGAAGACAACTGAAAATGACACAATTCTGCAGTGATCGACCTTCTCTCTCACGGAGCTAAGCAGAATGTGCGTCATCACCTGTAGTCGCCATGGAAACGGGATCAGGAAATCGGCGATATGGCAAGTTTCCCTTGCCGTACGCAAGCGAGAAATATACCATCGGAACCGATATCCAATTGTCTTTCATCTGAGCCCTACTTGAAAAATCGATGCACTTCCCCTTTAAACTGCGCTCTTTAGCCGACTAGACCCTCCTGCACACAACCATCACCATTGCGAGGACACTTCCGTAGACGATATTGATAAACTCCTTGAGACAGCTGTTTCGCTAATACATAGCTCATCAGTGAAGGTAGATGTTGAATGATTAAAAATATAGACCAAACTGCTATTATATAGGGGTTTTCCACATACAAAACTGGCATAGCCAAGGTGATAACGCGGGAAAGAGAAAAGTGTGAAGTACTGTTGACGGGCATTGGACATGCATGCAGCGTCGGAAAATCGGCGCGGAAAATCAATCACTATTCAATGCAGAAATAACGTCTTTTTCTCTCTTTTTTCTTTCTTTTTTTCTCCGCGAGGACACGGGATTCTTTTTTCATGGAGGGGTGGTATGTTAGGCCCACAAGTAATTACAATATATTAATTCATATAATTCATTAGTTCATGCATTATTCATTTGGCCTGGGTAGCTACTTGCGCGTCCATGTTTGCCATAGCTACCCAGGCCCTTTATATTGCGTCGCTCTCTCTTCAACTCTCTCTCTCTTCAATACGCTCTCTTCAACTCGCTCTCTTCAATAATCACCATGTAGTCGTTTCGTCTCCTCCTGGTCTTAGTCATCCCGTCTCTAATAAATGTCGTTCCACCATCCTACCTGTTCCCGTTGTCCTAGTGAACAATAAATGCCTCTTGTTCGGACCCAATAATACTGATCCTGTTGGGCTTTTTCAATGGCATTGTTGCTGATGGTGGCGCAGGCCAATCATCGAAATGTCAAGCATCATGAATAGTTGCGATGTGCAGCATTGTGGGAATGGGGGTCCCACCAAATCCCTGTTTGGATGGTTGAAGCTTCAAGACACTTCAATTATTTATGAATTTTGCAACAAGAACTCAGATGGAGAGCGAAGAAAAAAATTGTAACATGGAAATTGTGGGCACAAGTTATGCGATCGAGTCCACCAACTAAACCAGATTTTAACCCTTTGGAGTCAATAACTTTTTTGCTTCCGCAGAATTTGTGGCAGTCACGAAAATGCGCACTCAATTTCCAACATAACTTTGGTTCTACAGCACCGATTTTGAAGATCTTGGGCTCGTTGGAAGGCTCTTGATGATACAAATACGATGAGCCCAAACTCGCCAAGAGCACAACTCATTGTCCGCCACAACGCGAGTCCAGCTGCAGTTGTGAGATGAACTCGGTCTCCTGCAGCCATTTCACTGAATCTAGCTCGGAACTTTTTTCGAGTAGAAGCTTACCTTGCCGTGACTTCGCGCCGTGCCGGTCCTGGTGCCGCCTGTCGTGAAGCTCGCAAAATCTCTTTTTTTACTCACTGCTGACTCGCAGCACGCAGCGTAGAAAATTGAAAATGTTCGATCGCTCGTCGCTCACTCAAACTTCATCGAAGAGACTTCGGACCTGATTTGGCCGAGAACCAAAGGTTTGACTGCGCCCACATGCATACAAAATGCCCATGGTTCGAAATCGAACCATAAATTCGCAACGAGATGAGTGGCTTGTCTATTGAAAGCCTATCCACTCACTCTCAGTAAAATATGCGAGTTTGTGGCTGTGTAAAATCATGGCTGACATGCCTTTTATTCCCGGTGTTGAAGGAGGAAAATAAACGCACAGCAGTAGGTATCCTAGCAGGATTCCAAAGCTCACCATCTTGCAATGTTCGTAGTGTGGCCACAGCTCCATTCGGTCCATATCCTGGACTGGTTATACCTTTCACTGATAATTGGTAGACTGAGTGAGGAAATAGATAGCTGAAAGTAATGGAAGTCACTGAAGCGTTCACATCAGCAAAGGTATTCTGCCCAGCAGTATCTGTGAGTTGCACCTGATAACCTATTAGAAGACCATTGAGTTCTTGTGGTGATAGTGTTGACCAATTGAGGTAGATAGATGAGCTAGACAAAGCCTTCATGAACTGTATACGAGGACCAACTGATGGAACTGCATAAAGCATAGTAATTATTGGAATGAACATGCACTCATACTATATTTACACGCTCTGAAGAAACACTGTGGCATTTAAATAGCAGCAATCGGTGAATAGGAGAATAGTTAGTAAGCATATCACAAGACATTCACCACATCTATTTATATTACAGGTTAAGAACTAAGTCTTACCCACGACCCTGTGCAAAAGGCAATACTACCACCTACTGTGCTAAAAGCTGCAACAGTCATGCATCATACTACACTAAAAACTATCAAGCTTATCACGACAGCAGTCATGCATCATACTACACTAACAACTGTCAAGCTTATCACGACAGCAGTCATGCATTCTGCTATGTTCTAGTGCTGACTATTCAAGGATTATTCAAGTACATAATTATTGTGATATGCAAAGCACAACGTTGTATGGATTCTGATTGAATATTAACTCACCGCCCTCCCCAGTTCTTTGTGCTGCGTAGGATCCATAGGAACCATATCCAGCCCCAGTTTTCGCTTTAACAGAGATGTTGTAGACCGTTAGGAAATACAGGTTACTTAGGATGGTGGATGTTACAGAGGCGCTCAAATCCACAGTTTTAGTCTGACCAGCAGTATCTATGTATTGCACCTTGTAACCTTGTAGAACACCATTCAGTTCCTTTTGTGTTAGAGTTGACCAGCTGACATAGATAGATGAGCTAGACAAAGCCATTGTGGTCTGTATACTAGGACCAGTTGATGGCACTGCAGAGTACAATAACACACAGTTGCTAGTGGCAATAACACTGCACGAACTATGCTTAGGAAGTTTATAACAGACGTTGTCCACCATCCAACACGACTACCATCTCCTCACATTTCAAAGTCTACAGATCATCCAGAATCCCTGTTATTAGCCACAGCCGAATTGGTGAATCATGATCCTCAACTTCTGACAGAAAAGGCCAAAATACAACAGGGATATGCTCAAATGTGGGAGGTACAGTATATTTAGCACAATTACCTACCATTCTCATTTGTCAGCACTGTTGATACTTTCCCAAAAGGACCATATCCAACACTTGTTTTAGCGCGAACCGAAATTGTGTAGGAGGTGTACACTGCAAGCATAGTTAGGGTAGTGGATATGATCCCAGCCGAACATTCTACAGTTTTATTCTGGCCATCAGCATCTATGTATTTTACCTGATAACCTTTTAGAACACCATTCAGTTCTTGTTGTGTTAGTATTGACCAGTTAATATAGATAGATGAGCTGGATAGGGCAATGGCTGACAGTATGCTAGGACCAGTTGCTGGAACTGAAGAGTGGGCGACAAGAAAATTAGCCATGACAAGATTAGCGTCCAAAGCTTAAAAGTATCTTCTATGGTGGAAGTTAATTTTCAAACCATCTTCAAACCATCACCCATACTCACCAGGAACATTTTTCTTAAAACAAATCAGGCATTGACGGAATGACATTGCAAACCAGTAGCAGCAATTAATCGTGAGCAATTTTAGAAAAGTAGGCGAGCATCCTGGGATAGTAAAATACACTGATTGACAAACAGAGGGTACCAGGTTCAAGTCCTGCTTGGAAGCGGAAGGATTTTACCCGTGCAGCGACCCACAGTTAAAATAATGGGAACTTGTGGCCTGCCACGAGTGAAAAATGGATGCAGTGCATAGGTTTTCGGTCTTTGATCACCTTGCTGGCGGGCTGACTACTCACCTCGCACAGCTTTAGGAGCTGCATCTGCGCCTAAGACCTATGCAAGGTGATGGCATTCCAATGTATGTGGAAAACTCAATCTAACTGAGTCTCAAGCGAACCATGATTTTTTGCTATGCTCTAAGCTCTGTTCATGCATGATATTGAGCACTCTCTGCAGCTCGGAGATCAACAGATTTGTGAACTTGAACGTTTATAAAGATATTAGTTATTTAACATGTGTGATAAAACGATTATATAATTATAATGAATTAACTCAGATGGAGAGCCAAGGTTTAATTTATACAAAAGAGAAAGACCAAGGAACTACAAGTTACGCGATACTGTCCACTAACACCACCAGGTACTAAACAATCAGCTCATGCGATAACATTGCACGACACTGACCGACGGTACTGACGTTCTACAACTAACTGGCTAACAGCTATAGCACATCTTGGTTGCGCACTCTTGCATGCGCATCTTTTGCGCCGCACAAGTTGTGTGGAATGTTGCTTTACGTTCTTGAATCGTGGTTTGACCGTATTGTCCAATGGTCTTGCCAGTATCGTCATCGACATGCATGAACATCCGCCAACGTCCTTCACAGCTGAGACTTTCAGCTCGTGCTTATCTTGGTTGCGCTCACCTTCCTCTCCTTATGTTATTTCTATAACTTAGAACTTTCTAAGTTGGAAGGCTGTTGGAGTGCGCATCCAAGATGTGCTAGAGCTGTTAGCCAGTTAGTTGTAGAACGTCAGTACCATCGGTCAGTGTCATGCAATGTTATCGCATGAGCTGATTGTTTAGTAACTGGTGGTGTTAGTGGACAGCATAGCGTAACTTGTAGTTCCTTGGTCTTTCTCTTTAATAAATTAGTCGAAAAATGTTCTGACGATATCAAACATTAATGATGTGAAATGTGTGGGTTACAGAGAAGGTTGCGCCCCACCCGCCTGTATGGATTCACAGGAAGTATGAGTTACGAAGTCTCAAGAATATGTTGAACGGTCTGTCCTGGGATGACGACTACACCATAGCTCAGTGGTTATAGCATAGCTGGCCTCAAGCCAGGGTCCCTGGTTCAAATCCTGGTGGTGACAGTCATTTATTCTTCAGAATTTTCCCGTTCGCGTCTTTCCCTCAAACCAGTGGATATTAACATGCATAAGGTGTTAGTGTAGTTTAGAGCTATTGCATGATGCTTGTTGTGTATGAAATTTAGCGTGCAGCTAAACATTTTCTTTCTATACAGACATAGAATGATATGTGTTCATTTCTCGTGGAAATAAACGAGAAATAATGTTCTTTGTAGATTTTTGCACGTGATCATCGATGGGTGCGAGGGCACAGCAGCTGCTGAAAAAGCGTGCTAGCGCAGAGTGCTGTTCTTTCTTTTTCTTCTTGCCAGACAGAAATTTGCCCACCCACCCACCCTGCTGTTCTGTTAATGCCATACGTCAAACCGTCATTGCTACAAATGCTGGTGCTGCTGATTCTGAGTATATGATTGTGCTTCATATGCACTGGCAGTATGGCCACTGTTACGAAGAGTAAGCTGTTGCAGGTGTGGCTGACTCTGGCTAGCTGTTGCACATGCTTTAGTTGCTTATTGTTCCATAGGTATGCTGCTGCTGCTGTTTGTTTTTTGCTTGTTGTTGCGGAAGCTAGTTGTCTGATGCTGTTGCTGTTGCGAGTTTTCACAAAACGTTTTCTTTGGCAAGAAGGTCTTGTGCAGTAAGCCTACACACCCCGTATTTCGTTCTGTGTGCAGTGGTAGATGCAAAATAGACAAAGAAGTAAACTTACCATTTTCATAGGTTTTCTGAGTCACTGGTTTTCCGTATGGACCTGCTCCTGCGCCAGTTTTAGCCCTGACTGATATATTGTACTTCGTGTACGCCTGAAGCTGGGTGAGATTAGCTGAGTTAGCTTTAGAGCCCACCTCAATCGTTCCATTTAATCTGCTGGTGGTATCAATATATTGGAGAGTATAGCCTTGAAGAACACCTCTCAGTACTTCCTGTGTCAGTGACACCCATGTGATCATGATTGAAGAGCTACCAGTTGCTCTAATGGAATCTATCGAAGGGCCTCCTGTTGGTGCTGAATGGACACAGGAAAAAGTATCTTACATTCAATATAAGAACTATTAGAAGCGCTTATATGGTAACTCAGGCTTATGGCGCCAACATAACTCGCATGAAAAGCCTTTTTTGTCCAATTTTGCCCATTCGTTGTCGGTTGAAGTAGCAGAAAGGAACACTATTAATCCCTAATTGCTTGTTTTACAAGGTTTGTGATAAGCAATGAATGTATGCAGTGCTGCCAAACTCAAATGTGGAATTATTCCCGTAGCTATGCAGAAGACGTTACTTCAGTAACGTCTGGCGCTAGCCAGGGTCTACACAGCTTTAATTTGGTATTTGTGTGTTTGTTTGTGTGTTTGTTTGTTTGTTTGTGTCACGCCTGGCGCTATCCCGTATCTGACGGCAAAAAAAGCATAGGGATGTTATAAATTTTTCAATTCTCCTATTGTTTTCAGGCATATCCTGGGATTCGAACCCGCACTATCGCCCTACATGCATTCCCCCATACACTTCGCATTCATACCCATTCTTCCAAGTTGCTTCACATTATGATCTTGCGTTTGAAAGCCCTATTTGAATATTGTGGGCAGCTGTATGTGGCCAGCTGTGTTTGATGGTACGGTACGGTACGGGAGACGGTGTCGTATTACCCTCGATCGTACCTGTCCCGTACCTATCCCCTACCGTACCGTACCATCAAAGACGGCTGGCCACAATGCATATTCAAATAGGGCTTTCAAATGCAAGATCATAATGTGAAGCAACTTGGAAGAATTAGTATGTATGCGAAGTGTATCGGGGGATGCATGCAGGGCGCGCGATAGTGCGGGTTCGAATCCCAGGTTATGTTTAAAAAAAGGAATTTTTAAAAGAATTTATAACATCCCTATGCTTTTTTTGTCATAGCGTAGGGCCCTGAGCTTCCAAGCTCTCTCGTCTATAAAGTATAAATAGAAAAGTGGTTTGCCAAAAATACTGATAGTCTGCTTTGCATGGATATTTGTCCATGGAAAACAGAATATCAGTATTCGGAGGGTCGGAGCATTTAATGCTCCGACCCTCCTAATGCTCCGACCCTCCTATTGACATTATTTTGCACATACTGCATCCAATTGGTTTGAGAAAGACAGATGTCCATCAACCAGTATACCTAAGTATGGAGCGGAAGCAGATGGGACTATGGAAATGCCCCAGCAGTTAACTGCGGTGCCAGGTGGCAAGTCTGTGCCCAGTCGCCGGAGCAGGACAAACTGAGTCTTGGACGGGTAGCAGACCAAGTCTAGGTAGTGATCCAGAGCGACTAGGTCATCACTTAGCTGGGTTGTGTTGATCTTGATGGACTGGTATCTCCTATAGACAAACAGGCATGACCGAGCCCTTTGGCCGGAGGAGTCCACAACACCCCACCTACACAGCTGTGCTAGTGGATACTGTAGTTGTCAGCCCCGAGTCAATAGTTGTTTGTTCTGTCAACCCTCAACTTCTGTTTTCTAGGCGTTTCTTCGTTCTCCCTGCATGCAACTTTGTTATCTTTCTTAGTATTATGTTTTGTCTCGAGCAGAGTTTGTGTTCTTTGTATATAAAATAAAAGGAGCAGCAGGTGCTAGCGAGGCTCACGCGTGCATCGATGCATCGATCGTGCAAGTAGAAAATCACTAAGTAGCAGTTGGGCACTCGAGTATTTCAGGTGTGCATTGCAGTTGGAAAGTCAAGAATTGAAAAAGGTTCTCTTTGGGGCGTAGCTGCGGCCCTCCGGTACCTGAAAATCCATGATATAACCGCGCATTCACGGGAAGTACATGGGCTCATAGCAACTTGAGAGAAATTTTGAATTTTTTCATGGGAGCGTGGCACGCATGTGAAACTCACGTACACTAGCTGCCCAGAACAAAAGATCGTTCTGGCCAGATCTGGGCCATCTGGCACTACTGTTGCAGTCCTTGCGTATTTGTTGTTGTGGAGTGCTTCTTCTTTCTCGTCATGGCGGAGAGTTCGAAATTTGATTGTTTCCCCAAGTGATTTTAGTCGATAACGCTATTCAAGACCACCTGTTGGTGCTTGGGGACATGTTGCAGCAGACTATGGTCGTCTACCCCCAACTTGAGGACGTAACCACGTTGCTACTGGTCCTTGAAGATGGCCTTCGTAATGGCCGCCATTGGAGAGGCTGAATTCATCGATTCGAGGTACTCAGCAAGTCGTCAATCGAAAGTTGGATGGCTAAATATTACGAGGTGCTTGGATAGACATGCGAACATAGTTGGTTTGGCTGCGCACCGTTGTTGTGAGCAGCAGTGACCCCTCGCTATTGTACCTTGTGTCAGTTCGTATTTTAGCCGATTTTCGTATTTTGCACAATATCCAAGGAACCTCTCTGGAACAAACTGTCATAGTGGGCGAACAAGGTTCACTCAGGGATAACAGGAGCCAACTTGTAGTGAAATCGGAAATTTGGCCACTTCGGGCGATGTTTGGTCGTTACAGACATTGACTCTTAATCCACCATATTAGAGGTTTGTCACTTCTATTTCATAATTTTTAATAATAGAGAGGTTCCGCATAACGTAATTACGTTAGTAAAAAACGTAGTCGATCTACGGAAAGTCTTACGTAAACTGCATGCGCATCTGGGTTCCGCCATACGGAGTTTTCAAATCACGTAGCTGCCCTTGACAACTCCGAACGCGGCAGTGTACGACCAGATCGACCTGGGGAGAGAGTCATAAATTTGTACCCCAATCCACTTACGGACCAGCTACGTTATCAGAGCCCTATCTACGTACTCTCCGTAGTCAACTTTCCGTAAGTGGAGTGCAAACTCGCGAATTCACGGGTTTTTCCCGCCCACTAACGTAAAGTTGCTCAACTTTACGTTGTGCGGAACCTCTCTATTAGCTATGAAATGACATTGTATGAATGCCGCAGACATCACCACGCAACATGACAATTTGTTAGAGGTTTGAAATTGCGCGCTTCCAGAATCGATTTTCAATCTCCGATCATCAGTGGAAATACGGAACTAAAGTGATGAATTGAAAAAAGGTTAAAAGTCCAATAAAGTTTGACAAATGACACAATTTCACAAGAATAAGATTACCACAACACTACGAGCTGATCCACGGTTTCACTACGCGAGGAGCGGTTCTCTTGCTCACATTGACTGCACAATGAGCAATTTATCCTCCAATGAGGTGGTCTCATGCACAAATTCATCACATGAGGTGCTATCCTCTTTGACATATTCTCTACACCAGAAGCCAGTCTCCCGCAAAGCCTTCTAATAGAAACTGGTCTTCAACAAAATGCGAACACGAACCCAGGCGATGCCTCTCACTGGCAGTTTTTCTTCTTTTAGTCTTTCTCCTTTGCCGGAAAAAGGCCGAGGCGGGTTTACACATCTGGTTTTGCTTTGAAATAATATGAGCAGTGGTTCTGCTATGTGCATGACAGCATCTAGTCCTAAATTCATAGTGACCATAATTCCTTTCCTAGCTCCCTTCCTACTTCCCATGCTTCCTTCGCACACATCTCGCAAAATTGGATATGATTCCAATAGGTTTGTTGAGGATTACTTTCATTATATATTCGCTTCCTTTTTTGTTTGTGTCTTCTTCTCTGTTTTGTCGAACGTTACGTTCATAAACTATCTTGCCAAAGCCGATGGTCAGGTGATTGGGTATTACATATTAGTAAAACGCCATACCATGCATATAACAAGCCATACCATACCCTACCATACCATAAATGGCCATACACATAACACACCATAACATGACATACCATACCATGACACATCATACCATAACATAGCATTAACTTATTATTTTATTGGCATGACATACCATACCATACCATGACTCACCATACCATACCATAGCATTAATTTATTCCCGTAGCTATGCAGAAGACGTTACTTCAGTTACGTCTGGCGCTAGCCAGGGTCCGCACAGCTTTAATTTGGTATTTGTGTGTTTGTTTGTTTGTTTGTGTGTTTGTGTCACGCCTGGCGCTATCCCGTATCTGTCCCGTACCGTACCGTACCATCAAACACAGCTAGCTGGCCACATACAGCTGGCCGCAATATTCAAAAAGGGCTTTCAAACGCAAGATCACAACGAGAAGCAACTTGGAAGAATGGGTATGAATGCGAAGTGTATGGGGGAATGCATGTAGGGCGATAGTGCGGGTTCTAATCCCAGGATATGCCTGAAAAAATAGGAGAATTGAAAAATGTATAACATCTCTATGCTTTTTTGCTTTTTTTGCCGTCATCAAGGCGGTAGACGGTGTCGTATTACCCTCGATCGTACCTGTCCCGTACCTATCCCGTACCGTACCATCAAAGACGGCTGGCCACAATGCATATTCAAATAGGGCTTTCAAATGCAAGATGCATAACGTGAAGCAACTTAGTATGTATGCGAAGTGTATCGGGGATGCATGCAGGGCGCGTGATAGTGCGGGTTCGAATCCCAGGTTATGTCTTAAAAAAAAGGAATTTTTTTAAGAATTTATAACATCCCTATGCTTTTTTTGTCTAGGTCATCAAGGCAAAAAAGCATAGCGTAGGGCCCTGAGCTTCCAAGCTCTCTTGTTATTATTTATTACCATGACATACCTTACTATACTATAACACGACATACCATACCATACCATACCATAACACCCCCCCCCCCCCTTCAAACTCCGAATGCATTAATCCTAGGCGACTTCAATACTGATGTCCTCCAGCCAACGACTCCAGGCCTATTCCTGCGCACACTCACAGGCTGATTCGGAAGCCTGCACCCCATTCTATGGATTTTGACCAATGTGGCCAGGAAATCAGTGAAAGTTTCAGAATTTCGGAGTCGCCCACCAGCCTGGACGGTCAAGTGAAGCACTTTTTTCGAAGTGTTTGAGACATGTTCTGGACAGAAATGCCCCGATCACTCAGCTCAAGGGGTCTGGATTTGGCAGGCCTCGTCGGCAACCATGGGTTAGGCCACCCTTTGTTAATTCATTGTTTAACGTCCTTTTTTTCGCGAAAAGGTACGTGGGAGGGCGGAAAAAAACAAAAGCCCGTTCCAAAAACTGGAAACCCCAATCAAACATTTTGAACAGTAAAGCATGTGATATATACAATATATCTGGGTCTAACGGCACTTGCAGGCATAGAACAACACTCTTTGATGGTACATTGGAGCACATGCCTGATGAATCCAACAAAACAGGTACATAGCATGGAGTTAGCATGTCATGAATTCATTACATCTGGATTTTTACTAGGACACACACCGTACGATATTTAAAAGCCAACAAAAAAGGAAAAAGAACACAAGACAAAGGCATGCCCGGGAGGCAAGATTATAAGTTTAAGGTCATGATCGGCACACTGTGAAACTACACAATCATGTATTTACAACTTCGCATATTATTGGTACTACTACTTTCTTGTTTTTTTTCCGGTCGGAGGCAAAAAGGTACGCGGGCGCGGACGTTAAACAACGAAAAAAGAAAGGGTGGCCTTACGCCACACTTGATAAGGCTTCTTCAGCTTCGAATAAACTTGCACAGGAAATTACGAAGGAACCCAACCGACGGCCCCCTCCTCCAGCAGTACCGGGCAGCACGGCGCGAGGGAACCCTCTTGAATAAGAAACTCAAAACAGAATACTGCGTGAAGGCCTTCAACACCCACAAACGCAACCCCAGAGCCCAGTGGCAAATCCTGAACAAGCTTGCTGGACGAGAAAAAGTCAAATCACTACCTAAGGCGACTATATCCGACCTGACAGCCACATTTGCAACCGTAGTTTGTGATCCTGCAAGACCGTTTGAACTTGTTCTACCCAGCCCACCAGTCGACATTCCCACTCTCAACGAGTTTACACCAGTCACAGTAGAGTATGTTGAAGATGTCTTGAAGTGATTGAACAGCCACAAAGCACAATGTTCCGATGAAATACCACCATGTCTCCTCAAAGGATGCCGCACAGACATCGCTGGCCCACTCACCGCTATCATCAATAAGTCTCTGCATACAGGCCAAGTTCCAAGTAGTTTTTTAAAAGCATGCACATGTGTGCCCACTCTTCAAAGCTGGCGACGCAACTATTGGCTCCGACTACCGACCAGTGTCACTTTTGCCGGTGATATCCAAAGTGCTTGAGAAGGTAGTACACCGATAACTTGTAGCATTCTTCGACAATCATCCGGAACTCGGTGCACTACCAGAGGAGCAGTTTGCTTACAGGCGCAATCACAGCTGTGAAGACCTTTTGGCGTATGCAATAAACGACTGGCAGTTGGCCTTGGACAAGAAGCAGCTGTGTGGAGCCATGTTTGTGGACATGAGCAAGGCCTTCGACCGCGTTCAGCATAGCAAGCTCGTGCAGGAACTGGCTTCAGTTGGCGTCGGAGGTGTGGCATTGCGTTGGTTCGCAGACTACCTTACTGGGAGAACCCAGCAGGTCGTTGTCGGCGATGCCCGAGGCAGTACAGAGCCCTGCTCACGTGGTGTACCACAAGGCTCCGTGTTAGGCCCCTTACTTTTCTGCATTTATATCCGGCGTACCCCTCAGAAATTTCAACATTGCCGTGCTCTCCTGTTTGCGGACGACATCGCGTTCTACGTCATTGGTCGCAAGGCTTCAACCGTGCTTAGAATGCTGCAGACAGATCTCTTGAATCTGGAGGACTTCCTCAGGGAGCGAGGACTGGTGCTGAATCCCAAAAGGTCTCAGCTACTGCTGCTCAGACGACCTACTGCGTAACTGGACGTGATCCCCAGCATCACCTGCAAAGGCACCGTTACTTCTCCGAGTCCAGCCATGTTCTGTACCTTGGCCTCCTATTGGACTCGTCGCTCAGCTTCGAGCAGCAGGTTGAGCGTGCGTGCGCAAAGGCACAGTGCAAGGTTGCCTCATTCCGCCACGGGCGCCGCGATGTCTCCATGACCGGCCGCCGCATGTTTTACCTGACAATTGTCCAGAGTACCTTGGACTATGCCAGCATATGTTATGTTCACTGCTTGTCTGCTAAACTCAGAAGCAAACTTGAGTCAACCAGCAATAGGTGCCTAAGGCGAGTGTTTGGCCATGATCAGTATACTTCTATCGATTTCATTCTCGCCAAATATAACCTGTATACTTTCTCTCGCCGTGTAAACTTGAAGCTGTTTGTGTTTGTTTTTAGGTGTCTATCTCGTTGCACCAGTCCTCTTTTAAGCACGATATTTACCCCCCGCTCTGCATCATGCCGCACAAATGCTGCTACCCGCGGTCAAGCTTCAGCTGCTCTGAACCTACCCAGAGCTACGTCTCGTTACGGCCTGAATGCTATTTCATTTTTGGCAGCAGACAGATGGAACATGCTTCCACCTGGATGTCGTCAAGCTAAGCCCCTTTCTGCATTTCTCACAAGCACCAAGTCATTCCTAGGGTTCCCAGTAAAAAGGCAACGCCTGTTGGGAGTTCCCTAGTAAAATAATAAATTCTACTACTACTACTACACAATACCATGACATACCATACCATAACGCACCATAGCAAACGACCTTACCATACCATACCATACCATACCATACCATAGCAAACGACCTTACCACACCTTACCACACCATAGCAAACGACCTTAACACACCATAGCAAACGACCTTAACACACCATAGCAAACGACCTTTCCACACCATGACATGTGTTCACTTACACGCTTCACGTGTTGCGACGGAAATTGACTTAGCAGGACCAAACCCTTCTGATGTGGCTGCAGATACTGAGATTGTGTAATTGGTGTGCGGCTGAAGATTAATCAGCTTGCTGGTTGTGACATTACCAAAAACTACATTATCCTCCTTGATATCGCTTTCCGCTCTAGAAGTGACTGCAATCTTATAGTGTGTAATAATACCATTCTGATGAATTTCTGCTGGTGGATTCCAAGTGAAGACAATCTCCGAATCACTGCTGGAGGCGTTCATAGACTGTGGACCTGAACTTGGTACTGTGGTACAAACAGAGTATAATAGGAAGTCAAAGAAATAGTAGAAAGTAAGAGCATTGTAAAATAGCGGAGAACACATCCTGGCACCCAGCTCTAAAACATCTCCAGTGTGCAAACCAACAGCCTTCCAACTTGGAAGGTTCATGGTTAGGCAGCACCGAAGAGGGAAAGATGAGCACAGCTAAACTGTGCTCAAGCTAGGTCAAAAGCCAACAAAGAATCACTGCAGGGCCATTAGCTTTCAACACTATCATGTGACCATACTAATCCAAACAAATGCGTTGATCCCCGAGCTGCAGAGAGTGCTCAATGTCAGAGACAGAACTTAGTACATAGCAGACTCAGCAGAGGGCGTTCAGGGTTGGTTTTAACTCTGAGACTACGTGATCTACTCTCAGACAACTGGTACTCGGATCTACCCAACAGTATGCTTATAAACACATATGGCCACAAGCATAAACAAATTTAGCGCTAAATCTAGTGTAAGGTATGGGGAGAAAGCTGGCGCGGGCCAAGGCGCAATAGTAGAAGTGCCAGGAGGGTGGTGGGCAACAGGCAGGCGTGAGCATGAAAGTGCGAAAAGAGGTGATGGGGAGACAGTGTACAGCAGATGGGTGGAGGCGCCAGGAAGTTGGCGGACAATGGGCCAGTGAGATCGCTAGGGGATCTTTGGGTGACGGGCAGGCGTGAGAAGAGTGGCATAGCCAACAACAGGCCAAGGGATTGTGTTTATTAATAAAAATTGATATTGGAGTGCTGAGGCAAAGTGCAGTTCAGTACTTGGTCAGTTCATTTGATATGTGTGAAATTTGCAAAGTGGAACGTATTCTCATGCCTGCATTTCGAGATCATCTCAGACCGCAGACCGCTTGTCTACGTCAGCAAGCAGTCCAATCACCCGCCTGGGATCACCAACACCATCCCTGCAGCTGTCAACAAGCGCCTTTCCACTATATCAAGCGACGCCGAGGCATCCAACCATGCAGCCCCCGTGTACCAGACCGCAATAAAGGGTTAGTGGATACAATGAAGTGCTGAGCTTTTTCTTACTTTCTTTTATCTCTGACTTCTCACACAATCCCCAACAAATTATTCCCATTGGATCCATTGTTAGGCTTATGGCTGTTTTGATTCCCATTATAAATAAAGTATACAGCAAATTTTAAAATTTACACTCACTGCTCGTTTTAGTTGAGATATTCATGATCGTATTCGCACCACTGACTCCAAGCGTGTTAATTACCCATGAAGTAACTAAGTACGTGGTGAACTCCTCGAGATCTGAGAAAGTTTGTATATCTTTATCACCACAAATATGCCTTGTGTTGAACGTTAAAGTCCAATTGCGTCCAATCACTGGTATTGCATCTATAGTAATGCAGAATTGCTTAGGTTTCCACAATTTTGCTAGACTTGGCTGTATTTCTACTGTAATGTTAGTAGTTGTTGACGTAACATTCAGTGTTGGTGAGCCTGGAGGTACAAAATCAAGAATTGCAATATAAGCATTACAATGCTTCACCCATACCTACAAACATTAGTACATAGATACTCAGTAAAACTATGCAACTGCAGCTGCCTGTGCATCTGCCTGATGATTGCACACAGTGGATAAAACTCAGAGTAGCAAAACGCTACGAGTGATACATTGTTTGTTTATCACGTTCCTCGTCCTTTTCTTCTGCTTGCTCTTTTCCTGTGTGAACTCTAGCGTGCTCAGTTGGCCACTGGCGATGAAGGCCTCTGCGTATATAGGAATTGTGTCATGTAACTAAGCTTCTGAGCAAGAGAGGCTTGCCAGTCGGTTGTTGATACCTGCTGGGATGTTCTTTAAGGAGGTGCGGTGGGTGATTGTAGAGGACGTTGACGTACAGTGGGGTGTCGTGCTTTCAGTACGGTTGGTAGGTGTCTGCAGCGACGCTCCTTGTGGTGTCTAGGAAGTTAACGGCCTTCAATTTGACGCCTATAGTGATTTTAGACCTAGGGCTTTGAAGGAGTTTTGAAGGTGTCGGTGACACCTTTCCTTGCTCTGTCCGCACTGTGGCCAGAGGCGTTTCGAAGGACAGCAAGACAGTCATCGCTGTAGTGACCGACCGAGCCCTTGCTGAAGTGGTGTTCGGGTTTGCTGAGGATGAAGGCACCGACCAGTTCACATGCTTCAGCGCCATCGTATGATCCCATGGTTTTATCTATAATTATACGATCTGAAATTGTCACGAACTGCTTAGCGTAGGAAAAGGCTAGGCGAAGTGGGTTTTCAGAAATACTTTCCAGCATCGATACTCTTGCAAAGACCTGATCTTGACGCTATAATTTTTCTTCTGCTTTTCTCTTCTTTTTTTTTATCAATTTTCCCATCCCACGTATTTTATCACTCAAACGAAAACAGGAAACCCCTCGACAGACGAACAGCCTTTGGGGAATCCTTAAATGCAATACAATAAATGAAATAGAAAGGAAAAGGAAATATGGAAACGAGTTAAGAATAACTCTCCACCACTGTAACTAGATACTATATATTCAGTCAGACAGTTTCCATATGTCCTTTTCCTTTCCACTTTTATTATTGGCTCAATACCCGAGTTTAAAATATAAAAAAATAGATGCATTAAAATCCACTACTTCGAAGAATATCAAACATCACGAATGTGTGAGAAGCTTTTTCCTGGATTACCGTGAACCAGTTTATGATGGAGGATGTGTGTTTTTCCATATGTTGATGTTGGGTTTGTCCCGGAGTGCTTACAGTATGCCGCTTAGTATCTCTCGAACTTTGCTGCGGTCTGATGTGAGGATGTGTTACTTCTCGGCTATACAGGGTTGCATCGCTTTGTGGTGTTCAAGTAGCACTGAATGGTGCATGCAGGACCACTACCATGGTGCGCGCCGCAAGCGGCAACTCAGGCAACACCTTGAGAACAGGCAATGGGGTGTCGGCACTGGAATTCAAGAGCAGACACTCAAACCACATGACCTCGCTAAGGCATGAGCGCCTTGACAGTAATACTCAGTTGGCCGGGTATATATAGAGCCTTAAGAGCCAGGATAAATGTCACGATATTTACTGGGCAGTCAAGGAGCGTGCTAATACCTACTAGGCATAGGCGAGTAATGCTACTTGTTTGCTGCGGTAATGCTAAAGGCAGTGCTAATAATATGATATAATAATATAATGCCACATATGATGCTCACACTACTACATAATGCCAGTTTGAAAGTTGGAAAAGTCGATTTAAGAAGGCCGTCTTGGATCAAGGCCAAAGAGTAGAAGAAAAAATTTTAAACAACAGTGAGCATGTTGCCTGAAACAATCCACTGAGAAGGTTGATTTGCAACGTCAAGTCTCCGGACGAAGCCGGACGGGTTCAGATGCACAATTTTCGGAACTGGACCTAGCCAGCTTCATGCATGACACTGCTGTCGACTGGCAATTATGCTTGTAATGCCAATTTTGCATGCAAAATGGTGTTATATTGCCAGCATTATGCCACCTGGAAAAAAAGGGACTATAATGCCAGCCATAATGCTGGCATTACCCACCCATGCCTAATGCCTACTCCAACACCACGAAACGTTGTCACCTCTGTATAGGCGAGAAGTACCACATCAACCAAAAATGGATTGGTGTGGTAGACCACGAAAAAAAGAAAGGATGTTACAAAAAAGGAGCCCTCACCTTGATCCAATGTCGTGACATTGGTAGATGTCATTGGTCCAAGTTTATACTGATATCCCCTGGCTGCAACTCCAATTTGATATTGCGTGTTAGGACTTAGGCCAGTCAGTTGAACAGTCAAGTTTGTGGTATTGAGTCTATTGACCACAAGCCTGTCATCAATATCCACAATGTATCCAAATATGGGACCATTGCGTTCCTTCAAGGCAAGTTCCCTCCAGGATAGGGTGATTGTAGTATAGTTTACATTGGTCACATTCAGCCTTGGTACAGCACCTGGCGCTGCAGGAGATTTGCAGTTTGATAGTGACAACATACATGTACATGGTTAAAAAACTGGCTTTGGAAAATTTATACAAAAGACAAAGACCAAGGAACTAAAAGTGTGGAAAATTTATTTTTCTTTTCTATCAGTTTCGGCCTCATTTCCTCTGTGCTGCGCTGATGAGTCCACAAAGGACGAAACAGTTCTATCCGCAGATTGAGTACATGTATATAACTAAGTCCAGTGTGTTGTTCTTGCGGGTTGGTTCGGAGACATGTTGGGTGAGGTAGTGCGAGGCGCACAAGTCCTCTAAGGCTTCCCCAGCAACAGTGGTCTTGGTGCTGCCCAGCCAAGCGGTGTTGTGGACATTGAAGTCACCCGTGATCAGAACATAGTCACCGAGGTGCCGGACAGCGAGCAAGGTCTCCTCAAGATACTCAATAAGACTGATATCTGACTCACTGGAGCTCCCAGACCGGTAGAGGGCGCAGAATACAATTTTATGATGATCACACGTTTCAATAAAAAGCCAGATGACTTCAAAGTCATGACATGGCACGGTGTCAAGGTGACAAAAGCACAGACCTGCTTTTAGCCATACAGCAACACCGCCTCCATGTGCAGTGCGGTCCTTGCGTACTGCGGGGCAGTATCCGGGTATTATTGTTTCAGCTGGAGACATTTTCTCGGCAGTGAGTTTTGTCTCAGTTACTATGGCAATGTCTACAGTCTGCTGACGGAGGGCATGTTGTAGCTCACCGAACTTGGACTGGAGACCGAATGCATTGGTCAGAAAGATCGATAGACTTGACATATTTGTTTGTGGCTTAGTTGCTTCCTGGAAGAGGGTGTAGCGGTGGCGGAAGGGGAATCTGAGACGGGGCATCCATGTCTATCACTGGCTCCTGGTCGGACGCGCTCATGTGTTGATCGTCTGGAGATTGCTTGTCGGACAGGTGCTGGTACTTCTCAAAATTCCACTGGCGTGAGTATAAAGGTCGAGGACAGAATCCCTTGGAGTTGACCCGCGCAGCCGTTTTCGAGTTGAGTACGAGTCGTGCGGAGGATCTGGCTTCCTTCCGGAAGATCTTGCACTCGTGGATTTTGACTTGAGTTTCGGCTGAGCTTGCTCGGGTGGTGACGAACTGACTGAGTTTCTCCGTAGTCGTGTCACTCGGTAAGTTCCCCACAAACAGTACTTTCCGCTTTCCCTTGGGCTTTGTGCTGCAAACTAGCTCACAAAGTCCACTGTCCTCGTTGGCGTCTTCAAAGCTGGGCAGCAGGTTTGAATTTGCCGATCTTTCATCACGATGCACCTCTGGTACACGTGCTCGAGCAAGGGGCTTTGGACTGTCGGACTGTGGGGTCGGTTCGTGAACCGAGCTCACAGAAAGTTGTACGTGTACAGGGGGTCACGGATGCGCGGTCAACCCGTACATGAGCTTTTGAAGTCTCCTTGGTGGTTTTCTTGCCGTTGTTGGCCTTTGCCGTAATGGCGGACTCCTTCAATGATGTTACCTCTTGCCTTAGCTCAATGACAAGGTTGGAGAGATCGTCTAGTCTTTGCCGGAGGCGGGCTTCATTGTCCCTTGACTCACTAATGAATGCAGCCAAATTTTCTACTATACTGATCACGTTGTGGTGGATCCCGGGAATACTGCTGAGTACCTCTACCTGCTCCGCGCTTGAGAGCTCGCCCATGGCGACAGATTGCTCCTTGTTGCAACCTGGCTACCAAGCTACAACTAAACTACGGTACACTGAAACCACTGCTACCTGCCTGCCACCAGTCCGTCCTAATGCCGGCTGGGCTGTCCGAGACGATGTGAAAAAACTGGAGCTCGAAAAACGCGTACCTTCCCCTACCTGCTTCATCTTGGACTTTGGAATTGCCTAGACTGTTTAAAGCTCATTTTCCTGTTTCTAAACCTTCTCTCCCGCACACAGCCGCTCACCGACAATTCTGCTATCATGAGTCCCGTTCGGGACGTATACCAGAACAATAGAAGAACTATTTGCTGCAATGGAAATCAACGCTTCTCTTTATTTATAATCAGACTATTTTTTGTAATGCCTTTGTTCCAAATTTATTTCTAGGATAGGAAAGGGAAAAGATTTCAGAGAAACATGATGATAGTCAAATGTCAAGGTATGTATTTGGCAGGACAAGCAAGCTACAATGTTCAGGGCAGGCACTTTATTCACAAGGCTTTGAACGATCAAATTGTGATCATTGTTCCTCCTTGTGAGGTGATGTTCTACACAGATGAAAAGAAACGTTCAGACTGCTCTTAAGCCGTGGTTGGCTATAAAAACCCTGCAATCGCCACGCAAAGTGGTCATTTGCTACCACAGCCATGTATTGCTTGGAACGAGAGAGCTTGGAAGCTCAGGGCCCCATGCTATGCTTTTTGCCTTGATGACCTAGGCAAAAAAAGCATTAAAAAAAGTATATTATCGTGTCCGTTCCCAAAGGGAACTCATGACGGCCGCTAACACCCGATAAACCCTAGCGGCAGATGCAGCGCCTAACGGTGGGGGTGAGTGGATAAGTCTCACAACCACTGGCACAAGTGCCGAGAAAGACCCCATTAGCTGCATCCATGTACCCCTTGTGCCTGGCCACAAGTTCCCAGTTGAGTGTGGGTAGCAGGACGGCTGGAAAAACTGCTCCCAGGCAGGACTTGAACCAGGTACCTCTCGTATCTCAATCATTGTCTTTGACCATCCCACTGTGCTTGCCTGGCCGCAAAAAAAAGCATAGGGATGTTATAAATTTTCTTATCAATTTCTCCTATTTTTTTTTCAAGACATAACCTGGGATTCGAACTCTCACTATCGCCCTGCATGCATCCCCCGACACACTTCGCCTACGTACTAATTCTACCAAGTTGCTTCACGTTATGATCTTGCATTTGAAAGCCCTATTTGAATATTGGGGCCAGCTGTTTGTGGCCAGCCGTCTTTGATGCTCCGGCACGGTACGGGTCAGGTACGGTCGAGGGTAATACGACACCGTCTACCGCCTTGATGACCTAGGCAAAAAAGCATAGATGTTATAATTTTTTCAATTCCCCTATTTTTTCTAGGCATAACCTGGGATTCGAACCCGCACTATCGCCCTACATGCATTCCCCGATACACTTCGCATTCATACCCATTCTTCCATTTTGCTTCACGTTATAATCTTGCGTTTGAAAGCCCTATTTGAATATTGTGGCCAGCTGTTTGTGGCCAGCTGTATTTGATGGTGCGGTACGGGACAGATACGGGATAGCGCCAGGCGTGACACAAACAAACAAACAAATACCAAATTAAAGCTGTGTGGACCCTGGCTAGCGCCAGACATTACTGAAGTAACGTCTTCTGCATAGCTACGGGAATAAAAATAAACTACAAGTGCTCTTACCTGCTGCTTTAGTGCGAATGGAGAGAATTGATTTGTTGGATTGTTGACCAGACAGAGTTTTAACAAATGTTTCCACCTTGAAGTCAGAATCTTCTTCCAGATTTTGAAGTGAAATAGTACTTTCATTTTTACATACAGTTGTCGTATTTTTAACCACATCGCTGACATTTGACACTGATTGCCGTGTAAAGTGAACACAGTATTTGCTGATTGTATAGTAGCCAGTCATTGGAATTATTGTGCATGTAATCATGTTCTGCGAGGATGTTTTCACTACTTGGAAAGTCTTGTTCTTGATAGCTGAAACCAAAACCACATGAGCACATACCGTACATTTTTTGCAGCAGGCCATAAGTGCGTGGCACACTCCTTAACACTCAAATTCGGTTGTCTAGAATTGAGGAATTGAGGTTACCATACTTTCCGAAGTATACGTCACACTGGAGTACAAGCTGCGTCCAGATATTTGTCATGAAATAGAGACAAGTGAAAAGAGAAAGGATCAAAAAGTTACTAATTATGACTAACAGTCCACCAAGGTAACGAGATTTTATACAGTCAGATTTAATGACAAGTCTCAAAACTGACAAGGATTTTGAGACATTCGACGATCCAACAATCTAGCTCCAAAACATGTACGAAGCGCAAACCAACAACCTTCCAATTTGGAAGGTTTAATTTAGAATGTCGAACCTTACAGGATGATGATGACGAGACTAGTAAGACCCTTGGACAAACCGGTATCACTACAAATTGAAGACGCAAGGCAATAGACCCCCAACTTGGGAGGCTCAAAGGTAAGTAAAAATTCGTAAAGAGGGGAAGGCAAGCGAAGGCAAACTATCAAAAACTGGAAATCACTACGGTATCCTACTAAACTCAATGTTGATGTAACGATGATGAACAAGATAGGTACAATAAAAAGTAGTTTCACACGACGTACGTTTTGCCGGTTTTCTGGTGACGGCTCATGACATGTGCTTATTAAAACTCGGATGGTGAGATAATTATTATAAGTGAAAAAGTAAGTAGTAGTAGTAGCATTCGTTGGTGAGCTAGCAAGGCTCGTAGGTGGCTTTGCCACAGGCGCCTGCCTAAGTGCCGTGTCCTGGACTGCTGTCGTGGTGGCCAGTCAGCTGCTTCTCCAGCGGCCACATCCCGAGAGCCATTCAGCGGAAAACGCCAACCATCTTAAAAGACGACTGGGGATGTGGTTAGCTGGTGACTTCGACGACCTTCTAGATGAAGGTAGATGCATCCAGGCACATCTCAGGCCACAAAGCAGTAAAGGACGCAACGCTACGGGCTTGGATGACACCATGTTTAGCCGACTGGTTTTCTTCGGGCGCATTCAACCGGCCTCCAGTATGGTGCAGTCAGGCGGAGTGGGTCGGATCCTGAGGATGGAGGACTGCGTGTCGGAGGACAAGACGGTCTGAGGCGTACTTCTAGAGAAGCCCCTGCTCCCCAATTGGCTGCGAAGGAAGTTCTGCTGCTTGACGAGGCAGTTCCAGCGAATCCCATTTTATTCGATCGAATAACGTCACAACTCATAAAAACCGCCAGCAGATAAATAAGCGGCTCTGCTGGTCCATCCGGGGTAGACGCTGAGGGGTGATCCACATGCTGACATGTTATGGGTCGGTGTCTAACAATTATTTGTCCTCCTCGCTTCCTGCCTCCTCGCGCGTCCTTTGCACTGATGATATAAACCCTTCGTGCACCGAGGCTCTGACCGCGGCTCGCCTAGTCCCTTTGGACAAATCCCCCGGGGTAAGACCCATAGCCGTTGGGGAGGTTTCCAGGCCCATTATGTGTTGTGCGGTCCTGAAAAGTATCGAGAGCGACGTTATGGACACCACTGCACTACGACAGTTTTGCGTTGACGTGCCCTCTGCTTGCGAGGTCTTGGTGCATGCCATGCATAGTCTGTTCAATCTGGACAGCACTGACGCCATATTACTCGTTGATGCATCCAATGCATTTAACTCATTAAACAGAGAAGCAGCACTGCATAACGTACCCATTCTTTGCCCTGCTCCAGGCCAAGTCTTAAAAAAACGTACAAAGTCCCTCCCGCCTGTTTGTCACAGGTAGCGGCGAGATTCTCTCACGCGAGGGAACATGCCAAGGGGACCCTTTTGCAATGGTGATCTATGCGGTAGCGATCATGCCTCTCATTAAATCTCCATCCACCCAATGTCCAAACACAACACAGATCTGGTATGCGGACGATGATTAGGCTGCTGGTACTGTCAGCAATGTATTCGACTATTGGTCCATACTAGGCGAAATCGACCCAGAATATGGGTACTACCCCAATGCGTTAAAGACCGTCCTTCTTGCAAAGGAGGCACGTGCGGATGAGGCCCGTCGTATCTTTTCTGGCACGGGAATTAGCATCATGACAGAGGGCTGCAGATACCTTGGTGGCGCGCTGGGATCGGATGAATTCCAAGAATCATTCATCCGGGAGAGGGTTGACAAGTGGGCTGCAGAGGTCGATCGCCTTGCGGAGCTTGCTGTCACCCAGCCCCAAACGGCATAATTATACTGTACTCGTGCGCAGCATAATTTGTCATTGGTGATACTGTCTAAGGGCGGTCAGCTGTGAGGCTACACAGTCTGCGAAACTAGATCAGGCCATTCGGGATAAATTGTTGCCCGCAGTCTCCGACATGATTTTGCAAGATGATGATCCGCTGCGATGTTTAATTTCATTACCTTGTCGAATGGGTGGGTTGGGTATCCCCAGGATCTCAGATTCTTGCGGAGTCACGCACAAAGAGTGGAGCACACCTTCCGTCTCATTGTTGAATTGTGTGCATCAATTACAGAAACAGCCTGCATCATCACCTGCGTGTCAAAGCCTTGATGGGTCTCAAAGCCTTGATTTTGCATCGCCTCCTGCCGAATCGTCGGCGGCTTCTTCCAACACGCAATCACACGGTGTTGGAGAGGATGTATGCGAGGAGGTTGGTGATGATTGGCCGCCGCCACGACCTCCTGGAACACCAGTCGCTACCACTGTGACGGTGCCATCTCACGGAGCTCGCAGTCCCATTAGCAATGCAGTCATGGAATGTCGCAGGCGTCTGCAGAATACCCGCAAGAACAGTGTTCGTCGAGAACAGCAGGCTCTCAACAACATTAAGCACAGTTTGTCTGAAAGCCAACGGTTTCTGGTAAACATTTGCAGTGGCGCCAGCAAAGGAGTCTCATCCTGGCTCACGTCATCACCAGGAGTTGCCAATGGTACGGTCTTAAATTGCTCGGATTTCAGAGACGCTATCGCCATTCGGTACGGCTTGCAGCTGGATGGCCTATCCCCTAATTGTGTGTGCGGCAAGGCAATGACTGTAGACCATGCGATGACCTGCCCTTGCGGAGGGTATCCATCCGCCAGCCACAATGAGGTCCAGGATCTCCTAGCAGATGTAATGCGTGGAGTTGTTCAAGACGTGGAGGTCGAGCCGAAGCTGCTTCCAAATCAGGAGGAGCAGCTCAGTAGGGTGACGGCGAATCGCTCTGTTGAGGCTCCTGTTGACATACGGGCTCGTGGTTTTTGGACGCGGCAGCAGGAGGCCTTATTCAATATCCGGGTAACGCACCCTAGGGCCAGCCTGCTGTCGCGTTCCAAAGTCATGTGTCAATTGGAGCGTAACGAAGGAGAGAAGAGGCGGCAGTATGGCGAGAGGATCAATGCAGTTGATAGAGGGAGTTTCACTCCGCTGGTGTTTGCGACAAATGGCATGGCGGGGAAAGAGTGCACTATATTTTTGAAACCTCTGGTTAGCCTGATTCTCGAGAAGAATATCGATCTATCGTACTCTGTTGTCATGAGTCATTTGCACTGTCGTTTATCGTTCTGTCTCCATCGTTGGTGCATCACTTGTTTACGTCGCTGCAGAGCGTCCTATCGCACTAAGCGCTCTGCAAAATTTGTTCATGAATGCCGTGTAATGTGGCGTGTTTAGATGTCTTGCTCAATTTGCAAAAGATCTCCAGTTATTATTATTTTATTATTATTACTTTTTGTCTTCTATTACGAATGCCCTGGCGAAGAAATGGGGGGGGGGTGTGCCTGACTGACGGTACACATTCTAAAAGGTCTATTGAACCTGAAATTCAAACCTGAAATTCAAACCTGAAATTCAAACCTGAAATTCAAACCTGAAATTCAAACCTGAAATTCAAACCTGAAATTCAAACCTGAAATTCAAACCTGAAATTCAAACCTGAAATTCAAGCACCATGGCGCAAATCTAGAAGTTGGGAATGACTGGTGTGGTGAGAGGTATCACTTCAAGTGACAAGCACTGGAGCTGGGTGTCTCCTACTTGATTAGGTGATGGCTGTGGATGGTTTGAAGTTCCGAAGGTAGTACCTATTCTCGTGAGGACACTTTCACACAAGTGCCCTCCTCTTGTTGAGAGAGGTGCTTGGGTGCTTGTGCGATTGCGCTTTTTCCGCCAGGCACAGGTTGCACCTTTTGCTTTTGTTGCTGTAGGCCACTGGTCTGCGGTGTACCGCCCATTGAATGCTGCATGCGTTCCCTTCATCCTTTTTGGCCCAGACGTACTGCGATAGGCGAGTGTCCTTCTCGTGTTGTCTGTCACGGAATGATGATTTGTGTTTTTAGTAGCATTGTTTGAATGTTTGAACCTGAAATTCATGAAATATATCTTTACTTTCTCAATATCCTCATTCTCTTTTAACTCAGTACACAATAGTAGTCGTGTGTCTGCATCCACAGCGCACAAGAGAAAAAAACACAACATACAAATGTCACTTACAATCTTCTTCTTTCACATAAAGTGCATAGGGTCCGGTTCCAGCCGAAGACACTGCTGCCACTTTGAAAGTAGATGGAATGCCAAGTAATGGTATTTCGACTTTGAACATAGTGCTTGTGGAATAGTACGTCGCATTGGAGTGGCCAATTGTGGATATAATGACATAATTGGAAACATGATAATGAGTATATGTCACCGCTGTCCATGATATTTTCAATTTTCTGGTTTCATCTTCTGTTGACTCCACTTTGAGATTGGATGGTGCCTTCAGTAATTCTATAAGCAGCATAGAATACGTAGCATAGAATATTTATTTTTAAAAACGTTTTCGAGGCTGTCAGATAATCATTGCCCACATTCTCTGTCAGCATTGTTGCGAATAATGTTGCATGTGCTAGATTTTTCCTGTCTGATATATTCTCTGGAAAAATCTACGCCAGTGAAGAGAATACCCAAAGGGTAAGGAAAAGCGTTCGGCTAGTCCATCAATGAATTTGTTCCACCTCCACCACATTCGCTCTCTGGCCGACCTCATCACACCAGCAACATGACTACAAGTTGTAGATACTGACAAAGAAACTGTTCTCCATACACAACCTGTATTCCTGGTCCTCTTGTCTCACTTCGCACGTTCTCTTTCTCCCTTTCTCCTTTTTTCTTACCTCCCCTTCTGCATAAATTCTTCGCTAAATGTATCACCTAGTTGTAATGGTAACCACTCTTGTGATGCTACTTATCTTTATGTTTCACTGGTTCTGGTTGAAGAGAATGTCTGAAAACTGGTCCATGAATTTCGGAGTCCTTATTGATGATGATGGTGATCAAATACCTTGTAGTTTTATTTAACCAATAAGTTCATGTATTTACACAATTGGGTGAACTCACCCATTCCACAATTCTCTGCAAATCTGAACCATTCCATTATAATACAACGTTTCGGCACTCGGCCATCGTCATGTAATAACAATGAAGTTCATGTATTTTACATAATCAAGTGGTGTGCTTCACTGTCAGAAAAGTGCTCAATACCGATGTAGGGCAGAGCCTTGTATACCTGCCTGAGGATCGTCGTAATAGGTGAAACTCAGGGTTGCGACATAGCTTCCAATTTCTCTCGTGTATTTTACATACGTTTTAGCCTCCCAAGTTTGATGGTCTATTGCATTGTGTTCTCGAGTTGTAGTTTGACCGGTTTGCTCAATGGTTTTACTAATTTCAACATCACTATCCTGTAACGTTCTACATTTTTTGTTGCCAAGGGACATAGCTGGTTCACATCTTCAGGGTACATCCCTTCACCTCATGGGAACTTTCCGCACCTAAGCCCGCTAAAACGGAAGGTTGTTGGTTCGCAATTCGTAGATGTACTGAAGTAGCACTGTCAGGTCACAATATCCTTTTCAGTTTGTTCTACTTTTTTTTAAATTTCTGACTGTATATTGCGGTAAACAACCAGCAGAAAACCGAATGGGCGCTGGCGTCGGCTTCATCTTACACATGAAAGAAAATTAAACAGCTTGGCTCTCTAATGGGACAGCAGGAAGATGTGGCAGTGCCGGTTTCCCGGATGATTCAGAAGCGCCGTATGTCCATGCTGGGACATGTGCTTCGACTGGATGACGACACACCTCCACGAAAAGAAATGGAGAGCTATCTGGCGCATACCGGGCCAGGCAGAAGGGGCTGACGACTCACCACCCTCGCTACAACAATCAAACAGGACCTGGTAGGGAAGGATATTGCCATGGAAAATACGAAAGATTTGCAGAACTTGAGGGAGATGGCTGGCGACAAGCGTGCCTGGAGCCGGTTGTGGAAGTGAACGATAGGGTATTCGTTTGTAGAACTCCACTCCATGATTACCAGCTGTGTTCAATATTCAACAATAGAATTTCATTCCTATCAAACCAGCCATGTTTTAATATTTATTATTCACATATTTTACCGCTAGCTCATTACGATAAGCTTCTCGGCAATCAAGCAATCAGAAATGCAGAAGCGGAACGAGGTATTATTTTTGCTACGAAAATATTTTATCTCTATTACGCAAACCAATAATAATAATAATAATAATAGTAGTGTCGTATCCATACGATTGGCACGTGCCTTTTAGGCCTCTACGGGACAAGTATGCCTTATTTAGTTGTTTTATTATTTATCTATCTCCCGTAAACGGGTTCATAATCGTCTTTATTTTATATTTCCCCACATGGCTCCCGCTCTTTATGCAACAGTTCGTACGCATATTTATTACGGTGATACGCTATTGCATGCGGGACCAGCAATCTCGTGGCCATGGATTTCCATGGCCACAACTAGATCATATTGCCATCACCTTGCTTTTCGCTCTCTCTTGCCTTCCGCCTTCAGGCGGAAGCTTCGGCTTTCGTCTGTCTTGCCTTGTGCTCTCATCGTCTCTTGAACCAAGTTAGCTCCTTTGAAGATGTGAGTCAACCTGAACGGTGGTGTGAGTGTACGTGTCTGTATATGCCTGAGTGTGTGTGTGTGAGAGTATGTCTAGGTATATGTGCGTGCGTGCGTAAGAGTAATTCTGTTGGTGGACTCTCTCCAAGTGGCCACCACTGCACGGCCTTGTAATGGGAAGGTTTAGTAAGTAAGTTAGTTCATGTCGACGACCGCAGCCTTGGGGTCAACCCCGGGCCGTCCGGATACGACATTTGGCGCAGTGAACAGGATCCGACACCTTGTGTGCTGTCAACGAGAGAGACATTGATGATTATGACATTGTGATGCCCCGGTCGTTCGAATGGACGGGCAGTTTGGATTTTCCGCTGCCCGATCCGCGAATGACCGGACTTCTACGAGATCTCAAGGATATCAAAAAGAAGGTATGGTTGTTCTTGGTCTGTTTCTCGTGATCGTAAGTTTGATGAAAATTCCACGTGGCGTCGTATATCCATTATTTTGGTTGGTGTCACTTGGTATGGACATTCGCATTCTGGAAACAGATGTGGAGCGCCGCCAAGTCAAGGGTTTGATCATGGCGTTAATGGAGAATTTGACCTGTATGACGAAGCTGGCACAGTGGCAGCAGTTTTCCTGCTGTGCTTGTGGTTTGTGGGTTTTTTTTGTGGTTTTGTGTTTGTGACCTTATGGTTCAGCAGGTGCTGTGAAAAAGAGTTGCTGTTACCTCCTGCGCTGTCTCGGCAGCTGCTCATGCTCGTGCAGCTATTGTAGCTGAAGCCATTGCTGTAGGGTTTCTACCGCCCCATCGGTGGGAGTGGAATCGACGTCCCTACAGTGCGATCCTCGCTGGTCCCCTGACCTTGCCGTGAGCGTGCGGACATGTTGGTGCCTCGAGCGGTGAATGGATGTCCAGTGGACGCTGTGATTGATACAGGATCCGCCGCTACATTGTTGTCAGAGGATTTTGCCGACCGCCTACCTAAGGAGCTGGAAAAGGAAACCTCTGACCAAGGCCAGAAGTTGATTAGCCCCAACGGGCAACCACTAGAAGCCGTGGCGTCAGCAATTGTTCAGTTGGAACTCGGAGATGCAACCTGTTGGCACCGGGTAAGAATTGTTAAGGGGTTGCCGCGTGATTGTATTGTTGGCCAGGACGTATTATCCCACATTCCTTGCACAATTTCTTCGGGACAAGGGCGAATGTTCTTCTCTACCTCCCCCGCCTCAATCAGTACTGTGGGTTCGGATTATGGAGTGTTGAAACTGGGCCACATTGTTACCCGGGGAGGGGGTTAGGACCGACCCGGGTAAGATCGAGGAAGTCGGAAACTGGCCTACCCCTGAAGCAGTTGGAGAAGTGCGTGGTTTAGTGGGATTCTGTGGGTATTATAGGCGGTTTGCCCAAGATTTTGCCACCATTGCCCGCCCCTTGTACAGCCTGACGAAAACTGGCCAAGTGTTTTTGTGGACCCCTGACTGTGAAACCGCTTTCCTGAATCTGAAGACAGTGCTGACGACCGCCCCAGGACTAGCTTACCCCAGGTTTGGGCAAGATGCATCACCATTTCTGGTAGACGTAGATGCTAGTGGATTAGGGTTAGGAGCAGTGCTGTCTCAGGTTCAGGAAGGTCTGGAACGGCCGAGAGCGTAGGCTAGTCGACTTCTGGCCGATACAGAAACACGGTACGCATCCACGAAAAATGAATTGTTGGGTTTGGCGTGGGCTGTGCGACATTTTCGTTGCTACCTGCTTGGTAAACAATTTGTGATTCGTACTGATCATCGTTCTCTAGAACACTTGGCTAATTTCAAAAATCCACCGGCGATTGTGGCTCGCTGGCTGGAATATTTGTCTGAATTTGAGTTCACCATATTGTACAGGGCAGGTCGATCGCACGCTAACGCTGATGCATTGTCACGCCGCCCTGACGCTTCGACGACGCTGTTCGTAGGGGCCGTGAACAACGACGTTGGCAACATCCCCACATCCCTCATCCGCCGTTTCAACTGGCCGTGGTCAAGATGGGAAACGGAACAGGAGAAGGACCGAGATCTCGCCCAAGTAGTGTCCTGGCTAGGTATGGACTCTCCGCCTTGCCCACAGGACATGATGGGTAGCAGTCCTGAGGTACGTATTTTGTGGAAAAATCATGAAATGCTGGTTCATCATGAGGGGGTGTTGTGCCGTCGTTGGGAGGACCCTTGCCCGGTAAGCCGTCTATCTTGCAAGTTGTTGTTCCCCGGCATTTACGTTCATTGGTTTTGCAAGAGTATCATGACCAGGGGGGACATACGGGTTCTACACGCCTGCAGAAGAAACTGACGCAACAATTTCACTGGGTAGGCATGAAGAAAGGTGTCTTGGATTGGGTTGCAAGTTGTTCTTCCTGTAGCCAGTTGAAGCGTCCCGTTGGCAGAGGGTCTGGCGCTCCAATGCAGTCTTCCTGGACGGGGTATCCTTTTGAGCGAGTAGCTATGGATTTGATCCCCAATTTGCCGGAGACAGCGGAAGGGAACCGCCATATTTTGGTTGTAGTTGACTATTTCACTAAATGGGTGGAAGCTTTTCCGCTTTCGAGAATAGATGCTTCCACTATTGCTTTGGTGTTTGTTAATGAGTTTGTGTCACGTTTTGGTGCTCCTGATCGGTTGCATACCGATCAGGGCAAAAACTTTGATGGCTCTCTGTTTCGCAGTGTTTGCTTTCTGCTTGGCATAGATAAGACCAGGACAACTGCGTACCATCCACAGAGTGACGGTCTGGTTGAGAGATTCAACCAGACGCTTGAGCGTGGCCTGGCGCACTATGTCTGACGGAATCATCGAGATTGGGACATCAAGTTGCCAGCCTTCTTGATGGGATACCGCTCGACGCCGCAGACTAGTACCGGCTACAGTCCAAGCTATCTGCTCTTTGGTCGGGAGCTATGCTTACCTCAAGACTTGGCATTTGGATTACCGCCAGGAGCAGCATCCGCAGTAGCGTCCCAGCCGGAATTCGTGAGTGCTCTCCGCCGACGCCTGGAGGACGCTCATGCGCAGGTTCGGGAGCACTTGGGCAACGTGCACCGCTATCAAGCGCATATCCGTGATCGCAACGCTAAGGCCGTGACGTTTGCAGCTGGTGATGCAGTGTGGCTTCTGGTGCCGGCCATTCCGACGGGTACAACCGCCAAGTTTTCTAGACTGTGGCACGGACCGTACCTAGTCGAGGAGAAGCTCTCCGCCGTCACCTACCGCATCAAGCTGTCTGAGCCCACGGCACGTCGGCTGATAGTGCACGTCAACCGGCTGAAAAGTTGTCATCATCGACCGAGTCGGCTGCAGGAGGTTCACGAACAAGATGAGTCGGACCCACCACAGCCCATGGCATCCACCCTGACTCCGTCCTACCAGCCTGATGCCACTGATGCCGCCGCCCGAGACGAGGAGGACACCGCTTGGGTATTCGACAGTGCTCCGCCAGTTGGCGTGATGGAAAGGCGAACCCCGCGTTCCCGCCATCCACCTCAGCTGTTTGGGAGTCCCGTCTGGCACGAGTAAGGATTTCAGTGGTATTGACTGGATTGGTTGTGGCCAATATTACAGCTAGTCTTTGAACAGTTTTTTGATCGGAACTCCAATTTTGACCTGCACTCGTTTAGTTAAATTGTTAGCTATAATCTTAGTCTAAATTATTACGTTACTTATAACACGAGGACGTGTTCTTTTCCGTGTAAGCGGGGGGATATGTCGTATCCATATGATTGGCACGTGCCTTTTAGGCCTCTACGGGACAAGTATGCCTTATTTAGTTGTTTTATTATTTATCTATCTCCCGTAAACGGGTTCATAATCGTCTTTATTTTATATTTCCCCACATGGCTCCCGCTCTTTATGCAACAGTTCGTACGCATATTTATTACGGTGATACGCTATTGCATGCGGGACCAGCAATCTCGTGGCCATGGATTTCCATGGCCACAACTAGATCATATTGCCATCACCTTGCTTTTCGCTCTCTCTTGCCTTCCGCCTTCAGGCGGAAGCTTCGGCTTTCGTCTGTCTTACCTTGTGCTCTCATCGTCTCTTGAACCAAGTTAGCTCCTTTGAAGATGTGAGTCAACCTGAACGGTGGTGTGAGTGTACGTGTCTGTATATGCCTGAGTGTGTGTGTGTGAGAGTATGTCTAGGTATATGTGCGTGCGTGCGTAAGAGTAATTCTGTTGGTGGACTCTCTCCAAGTGGCCACCACTGCACGGCCTTGTAATGGGAAGGTTTAGTAAGTAAGTTAGTTCATGTCGACGACCGCAGCCTTGGGGTCAACCCCGGGCCGTCCGGATACGACAGTAGAAAGGAAAAGGACATATGGAAACGAGTTAAGAGTAACTTTCCACCACTGTAACTAGATACTATATACAGTCAGAAAGTGCAACAACTAGGCACAAAACTGACAGAGTACTGAGACATTCGACGTCCTGACACCTAGCTTCAACACATCTCCGTAGCGCTAACCTGCTGACTGTATATAGTATCTAGTTACAGTGGTGGAAAGTTACTCTTAACTCGTTTCCATATGTCCTTTTCCTTTCTACTTTTATTATTGGCTCAATACCCGAAAAGAATTCGGGTGGACACACCCATTCCCATAGCGCTGCACATCACATCCGAACCAGTTCCGTTATTTTTACAACGTTTCGGCGCTTGGCCATCGTCAGGTAATAACAATGAATACCATGGAAGCCACCCAAGAGCAGTATATACGCAGAGTGTAGCGCCAAAAAAGATGCGAATTATGTCACCTAGTATGCAGAAGGGGGGGACAGAGAGAGAGAAAAGGCGCAACTAGCACACCACGGAGGAGAAGCAGCAGAAGGTAGCGCGCATTGTGCTCTGTGAATGGCGTTACGCAGAGTGTAGCGCCAAAAAATAAAATGATGCGAGTTATGTCACCTCTATACAGAAGGGGGGAGAGGAAAGGTGCAACTGTGCACATCATGGAGAAGAAGAGCGCGCCGTTGTGCTCTACGAAGTGAGGGTACATGCCAAATAATTATGGTGTTAATTCTAGCACAGGAGGGGAGCACGGAGCCCCATGATTCAATGCACTATGAGGTTAAACTTCCATGCCAAACTGTTACCACCAGGGACGCGACGAGGCATCAGGAACAGAATGGATTTGAGTGACCCGCCTCATATTATAATTATTCAGTGATATTGAAGTAGCAGCAGGTGAAGCTGAGAAAATTCACAACAAATCCCATCCGGTGCTTATGTTCACATGGGGCTTGGCATCACGAATCTCAATCGCCTCGCGCAGTTTGCGACGGGCTCGATCAGGCTCTCTTCCTATTACTTCAACTGCAGAGAATGCACTTTGCCCATAGTTAAGCTTACATCCAGGGTGAGTGGTACGAATATGTTGGCCCCATAGCTTGTCGAGTTCCTGGCGTCTTGCCTCACCATTATGTTCTTCCAGGCGAGTTTCCAGAAAGCGGCCAGTCTCACCAACATATTGTTCCGGACATTCTTTGCACTTCAGCTGATATACAACATTCTTCTGCATACATACATCCTGTCCCCCGGATATACACGAGATACACGGCCCCTTTGGGCGGCCTCTCTTTTTCGGTTGTAGCGGATTTGCAGCCTTGACACATAGAGGAGGAACGAGGGCGGAGCGACACAATGTGCGCCTCAGGCTACCAGTGTGCTCATATACGACTATAACCGGAATTTTATACTTTCTGATTGCTTTATTCACTGCTTGATGTACTTTATCTGACTTATATGGAAGCAGAGCGGTTTCAGGCCTAACAGAAGCACCTCGGACGTAATATGGTCTTACCGTTGGGCTATAGCCCGATGCCAACGCCTACAACAGAAGTATGACATTATCGGTATCGACATGTCGAAAGCATTCGATACCATCTCGCGTCCGAAACTGATCAGTGTTCTTGCGTCATTCCTTGACAACGACGACGTTACACTGATTTCATATCTTCTGCAGCACACCACCTTCCAGGTTCGATTGCCGGGAACGGATGGCATTAAGTTCAAAACCGACAGAGGCACCCCACAGGGGGACTCATTATCTCCTGTGCTATTCATCGTGTATCTAGAAGCGGCCCTGCGGGACGTGCGAAATATCTTACCGATCCGGCCACAACTCGACATCGACCTGCACCTCCCAACTGACACATCATATGCTGATGATGTTGACTTTCTGTCATCTAGCGGAGCTGACCTCCAATCATGCCTCCCTGTTATTGGGGACACCTTAAAGCAATGGGATTTGACAGTTAACTCCGCCAAGACAGAATTCACCCATATCGAGAGGTTCAGCGACTGCATTGCAGAAGAATGGAGGCTGACCCGGAAGCTGGGATCGCTACTGGGTGACAGGGAAGATGTATCTCGGCGTATGCAGCTGGCCACAGGTGCGTTTCAACGGCTTTGGGCACTGTGGGTGAGAGGCTCGCAGGTGAGAGAGAACAGACGTGTCAAGCTATACAATGCATTTATCACACCAATACTTCTGTACAATTGCTCAACATGGGGAGTCCCAAGCAATGTCATCAAGCGATTGGAAGCATTCCACAGACGTCAATTGAGAACAGTCGTCGGGATCAAGTACCCTCAAGTCATCAAAAATAGCGAGCTGTATAAACGCACCAACTCCCAGCCCCTTGGGGAAACCATTGTGAGAGCGAGGTGGCGGCTCTTTGGCCATGTCCTGAGACTAAACGACGATGTACCAGCACGCGTTATGATGGCAGCATACTTCGAAAATCCAAGTTCCGCTGCCACCTGGCGGGGCCGGCCACGTACCACTCTGCCACTGAGTCTGCACCAGGACCTGCAGCGTATCGGGGGGTCGCTCAAGAAACGCGAGGAACTTGAGAACCTCCATGCCATCTCCCAGTCACGACAAGACTGGAAAGACCTATGCAGCATTGTGATAAAAGCATACATCAAAGCCTAATAATACTGCTTCCACCTGTGGCAGCTGCATGGCCGTACGGTGTACCATAACATAACTCATTGACTAACATATTTTGTGAAAATATTATCCTGTAAAAGAATAGGAATGTAAACAATATACCTGTGAAAACACAACCTTGAATGCTACTAACACAACCTGTGACTACAATAATCATGAGATCAACCCCAAAACATTTCTTGCAGTTTACTTTCGTAGAGTTTGCAACTTTGTGTTCCTCAACACAACTTGCAGCTTTCTTCAAACATATCCTCAACCTTGGTTCTGTCCTAGATCGTGTATACATACATTCATTGTTTCGTCTCATCATTATGGAGCAGCTTATGCGAAGGCTAGCCAAGCTTGCTTGGCGATGCCAACGCGGAAAAGCCTATAATAATAATAATAATAATAATAATAATAATAATATGGAAGCTTTAGAAATGCGCAGCATGGGTTGGCATGGCGACGGCGCTTTGGCCTTATGGAGGCAGTGCGTGCCTCTTCAATGATTCTCTCTGGGTAATTGTTCAATCTTAATTGTTCATGAACTCTCGCTTCACTTTCTGCACGCATTCTGGTATTCGATGAGAGCCTCTGAGCTCTGAGCTCTGAGCCTCTGTGACGAAGCAACTGCCAATTTGATATGGTGGGGAAATGCCGAAGTATAATCAATGAGTAGACCACTAGCACATGCCTTCTGGTACAGCTTGTATGCCTGCTTGTCTTCCTGGATCATAATTGTGATATCCATATAATTTATGGAGCCACTCACCTCGCTGAGCTCATATGTGAAGTTGATACTTGGGTGTGCAGAGTTGAAATGCTACACAAACCGTATCAAGCTCTCTCTGCCGTGGGTCCATAGCAGCAGGATATCGTCGATGTAGCGTTTGTAGAGAAAAAAAATAACGGAACTGGTTCGGATGTGATGTGCAGCGCTATGGGAATGGGTGTGTCCACCCGAATTCTTTTCACAGATGAAGCTGCAGGAAGCCTCAGCCCTTCTTCAAACTCAATACCCGAGTTTCAAATAATAATAATAATAATAATTTGAAACTCGGGTATTAATAATAATAATATTTGTAGAAAGGAAAAGGATATTAAGGATGCGATTAATAGTATTAGTGAAGCGGACATTACAAAATGATGAATGAGAATACATGTATCTAAAATGGTTGTTCCTAATCGATTTTCTTGAGATTATCATCAGGGAAAATCGTCTCACAATAGAGGCTATACGGAGAAACAAACTACTTATAGGTTAATGGATAGTGGGAAGTATACAAGGTGAGGTGTGAAAAAAAACTAAAGTGGGACTGTGTTCACTGGGCAATACATTGTCTACGACTCCTATTGCTCGACTTTATACAAAACTAATCTCGTACGAAATTTGATCATGCGCGCTAGGCGGATTTGCTCGCCTGATAAGCTTCAGCAAGAGCTTTGTTTCCTGAAGAAGGTATTCGTTCAGAATGGATATCCTGTTCAGCTCCTCAGTAAGCTGTTTAACGAACATGATATTCAGGCTGCCGAGCCTGAGTTTGGACCTGACCCATGTCGTGTGTTTTTACGACTTCCATGGAAAGGTCAAATTTCGCTGGATGTGGCCCGCGCCGTGAGGACTGTTGTCAGACAAACCTATTTTGCCACAGCATTGACAACAGTCTTTACTACGGCCCGTGCGTTCACGGTGAAGAAGGATGTTCTTCCTACCCAACTGATTAGCCATGTAATCTATCATTTTGAATGTCGGCATTGTGATAGCCGATATGTAGGAAGAACCCTTCAGCACCTGAACGCACGCGTCAAACAACATGTACCATTGTACCTATTGTCAGATGGAGCCAAAGCCCAGCGACCTGGATGAGGCCGTCCCCGCAAACAGGTGCCAGTTGCACAATTAGAACAGAACCACACAGTACCGGTTGAACGGACTACAAGTACACAGGTACGTGAGACTGAAGGAAATGGCCAAACACAGGTACGGAGACCAGTAACTAGGAGCATGACTCGTGCGCTG